GCTCTGCCCTGATCTATATGTTGCAAAAATGCATGCAGTGTAGCCCTCCTGAGACTGTATCACTTATGGTGGAGATGGGGAATCCCATGTTCCAGTGCTGCTCCAATCAAAATGTTCTCTGTATGCAGAGGAAGTAGCATGTCATGGATAAGGACAGTGAAGATATTTGGATCTTTCCTGAACTAACCTTCAGCATACTCAGAACATGGGACAAAGTCAAGGAATGAACAGCGTGGAGGCTTCCAAACTAGAAGGACGTGCTTTCTGTTTATACATCTAAAGGCAGTGCATACCAATTACATTCTCTTTTCTGGCAGATTTCGTCAGGCAGTATGCAGCTGCTGTCCTTTTTTTAATTTGGTATGTATATATTAACTGATGACTCACCAAATAATTCTAATCTTGGAAGCCAGCTGCTCTACAGAAATAAACCCTAATTGAACAGAAGTTTGGCCAGCAAGGGTGTCCCTGGAATGCAAGTGAGTGCCAGAAAGACATCCTCGTTAGGGTGGAGAGAAGATGGTGTTGGGATGTATTCCAAATATTAGTCAGAAGCTCAGATAAGCAATGTGTGCTGTACATTTGTGTTTGCACATGTGGATGAGGCAGAAGAGTTATGCACATGGGGATTCTCAACTCCTTTCCTCACAGTTTTTCCCTCCACAAGATTATTTGGATTAAATATCTGTGACTGATTTTTTCTCAAGGTTCATGGCTCATGTATCCTAGACCTCTTTTATTCATTTTGCAGAATATATCTGGACCACTCCAGATATATAGTATCTATGGAGTTTGTTAGGGGTATGGGGGAAAGTATCCAGTTATCCCTGAATACTGGTATTGACCTTTCAGTGACCTTAAACCACCCTGTTATAATGACAATTAGGGTAATCAGAATGATAAAAGCCCTGGACGGTGTTTATGGGAGATGGACAGTGGGGAGCTGGTCTTACCAGGCACTGGTGGCGCAAGGTGTCCTAGCCATCCCACCATAGCTGTCTAGACTGTGTAGATGGTTTCCAGTTTCATATTGAAGAAAGACCCCTCAAAGCATGGCGTTCAGGTCTGGGCTGCCTACTAGATGTCCCAGTGCTCTCCTAAAACAATTTGGTGAGCAAGCTCTCTGAAGCAGCTGCATTAGCTCCTGCCCTATCTCTCAGTCTGGGAGAGACCGGACATGTGTTCCAGAGAGTCCAACCATCCGGTCTCCTGCCCTGAGGACACTCCCAAAGCAAGAGATCCAGCAGGTGGCTTTTCCTTGGAGCAGCACCCCCATGTCTATCTAGTAGAGGAATTACAGTGAAAGATAAGGAGTGGGGCTCCTCCAAGGAACCCTGCTGCCCACTCTCCTCTGTGCCATACAATGCAGTGGGTGACTGGGTCCAGCTCAAGAGCAGCAATGCCCGTGGGGGCTCTCCTGGGTGGTGTGAGTGTGTAAGGTCCACCATCCTTCCTGATCTGCCACCTGTTCAGGTGATTAACCCTGTTTCATCAGAAGACCAGCTGTGCCCTCAGGGCTATGCCAGGCTCCAAACCTGGATGTTCAACTTTAATTAAATACAATAAGACTCTCTAGCTCTTTTACTTGTGAAGATATATGGAAAAGAGTAGCATTCTGGAACAACAAGCAACTCTGCATAGTTACCATGCTTCATTAAAAAAAAAAGCATGGTTTATCCAGTAGATGATCAGGTGGTTTTTACTTTTTCATAGCTTCCATTCTCCCCACTCAGTCCTCTAGCTGTTGGGGAGTATTCCATCAGCCATTGTACCTGAAATTCAATCCTAGGATGCCTAATTTCCTGCCAATGTCACCTACGTCTTTGTCATTGGTCCACACATAGAGACTAAATGGCTGGAACAGGTCTTGCAGCTGCTGCATTTTCCAGAGGATTCTGTGGTAGTTTTATGCCAGGATTGTGAGAACCATGATCCTGGGTCCAGACCACTTGACAAGCCATGGAGATATGGAGAAACCATAGAACAAATAAAGGTTTCTTATTGTGATTTCTAAAGATGCAACTTACTGTAGTAAAATACCACAACTGGGTTCAGACAATATGACAGACCCACAATGGTAAAAAATCACCATGGCTTGTTGTGTTGCCTGAACCCAGCCTCTATTTCTAATATTCAGGTGGTAAGTGTCTGTCTTTAGATAGCCAAAACAGTACCAACCATGCACAAAAGGAAAGTATCAGCTCTTTTGAGGGAAGCCAAAGGATTTCAAAAGTACAAAAACTTTAAGCAAAAGCATAAACGGGGGAACAGCTAAATGACAGCCGAGCATGCTCAGTAGTCAGGGACTGATCATTTCAGGAGTGGAGTTAAAAAATGAGTGGGGAGCTGGGGGAAACAGAGAGGCTGGAATCTTGAAGAAAGAGCACTGTATGTTGCAACATTTTGTTGCAGGACCTATTTGTTCTATCCCATTGTTCATTTACAGTGCGATCTCACACTTCTTTACTCAGGAATAAGTCCCACTGTTTTCAAGGGGTTTTACTGCCAAGCCAATGTATATGTGATGGCAGCTTAAGTATTAAGAATGGGACAAGTCTAGCGTAGCTCCCTTGCTACTTATTCTTCTGTCTTTCAGTGGCTTTTGAGAACATTATGCACTATATCCTTCTGGACTAGTTCAGTGAGTCTGGGGCACCGTATTGCAGTGGTTCTGCTCCTAACTGGATGATTGTTTCTAGAGAGAGGCACTGACTGTTTCTCAGCACTCTGACTATTCTGCTATGAGGTGCTGCAGCATTTTGTACCCAATGCTGTTATAAAGTCATTGTTGTGCGTGGGCCAGCGACTCACTCTTTGCCGACGTTCCAAAGGCCTGTGCAATCTGATGAAGGGGAGTACACGAAGGAAGTAGTTATGGCAGAGCAGAAGAATCAAAGGGGGTTAGGAGCCTTGGAAACTCCATCCAGGTCATTGTCCAGAGTTTTCCAGGCTAACCATGAGGGCAGACATGTTCTGGAAGAGACAGGAGGGGACTCAGGAGGAAGGGCCATTGCCTTGCCCCATCAGGGGAGACTTCTGGACCTCTTTGTTGCTATAGCCCAAGTAGCTTCAGTGACTCCGACTACCCTTTACCAGTTTCAGGCAGTACAGCAGTTGTAGCCACACGTTCAAGCACTTGTAACCTTTAAACTGGATGACTACAATACGCTTCATGAGGAGCTGCCCTTAAGGTATGGTCCAGAAGCTAACACAGAATACTTCAGCTTGGTTGCTGAGTGGGATGACCTGTGGTAAAGAACTACACTGGCTTCCTGTTTACCAGCAGGCCGGATTGTAGGTTTTATTGTTAGTGTGGAAAACCCTAAACAACTTAGAACAGGGATCCTCAAACTTTTTGAATAAGGGGCCACTTGAAAGGCTCCGGTGGCCCTCACGGGCTGGTGAGGTGGGGGTGCCTGGGGGCACAGGCCGGTGAGGTGCCGTTGGGTGTACGCGAGGAGGCATCAGGCACGTGCAGCGGTGGCTCTCTCGCTCGGAGATCTCCCAGCGAGTCCAAAACCATCTCCGAATGAGCGAGCCACCACCTCCCCACCTGTGCTGTGAGGCAGTGGCGAGCACCGTGCATATGGGAGGCAGGGCAGCGAACGGCGGCACGGGCCAGATGGATGGCCATGGCAGGCTGGATCGGTCATGAGGGCCGTAGTTTGAGGACCCATGACTTAGAAGCTGCCTTATTACCTGCCTTCTCTGCTATAGATAAATTCAGTCCTTGAGGATGAGTGCCACAAACTCCTCTGGGCTGCTCTGCAGTTGTTCAGAGCAAAGGATTTTGCACAATGACCTTTCTCAAGATGATATATGTGCCAACACTTTGTATTTTTAGGCACATGCGGAAGACACTTTTGTTTATGCAAGGTTTACAGAGTACTTTGCCTAATAGCAAATAGCTATGATGCAATATATTTTTGTATTGGTTTTTATATTGTGTTTTATTATTCGTGTACACCAGTTACAAATACTCAAACTTGCCTTCTCATGTTCTGGTCAATCAGTGCAAAGGGCCTGAATCAACTGACAAGCACTGACCAGTTCTTTAAAAAGTGCTTTAAATAAAATTAAAACAGTAACATTTGATGTACCATTTGGTATTTAGAACAACCAGAATTTAGTTTTTGGTTGTTGTGCAATTACTGTTATTTGCAAACCCCGACCCCTTCCCTTACTGCAACATTACTGGCAATGAGCCCCCAAACCAGGTAAAGGTTTAAGCCTATGGCACGAAGTGGAAATTCAGATCTGTGTGATTGTTAATACAGAAGCATGGTGTACTTAACCAGCTTGGAGAGTACACGTAAGTGGCTCTGTGCAGCAGGGCACAGGCCCAACAACTCCTTCATTTTGTGACTGAATCTGGACCTCTAGCAAAGTTGCACTACCGCACCAGCTACATTAAAGGGTCGTTTCGAATACTGTATCAGTCTGATTTTATGCTGGATTCACATGCAGGTTCATGGTCAGCCTCAATGTTCTGGAAGGGCCAACAACAAAATACTTGGTGGGCAGTTCATCTAGTTTACAGGCCTTTTAAAGACAAGATTGCAAACGGTCTTTAAATATGTTTTAGAAAACAAAAAAGGGGCAGCTCTCCCCATTCCTGACTACAAGCCTGCTGACCCTGGATACAACCGGGAGACGTGAGGGAGGGAGGGGGCAATGCATTCTCATTTCCTCCCAAGGCACAAAGCCACCGCAAGCTGCTCCTTCGCACGCGCGGTACTCTGAAGGCCGCATCCAATGCTACTCCTCCTTAAAATAGACCCGCAGAAAGGAATAGGATTAGATGTAGCCCTGGCTCGAAGCGGATCCGCTCTGAGGGTACCAGCCTTTCTCCCTCCCGGGGGCTCGGCAACGCCTCCCATTCCAATTGGCCGAGCCCGCACAGAGGCCTGCCCGAGAGGCGAGGAAGAGGAAGGCGGCGTAACTCCGCCCCTGCTCCGGGAACGGAACGGGCTGGGCCGGCTTCTTGGTCAGTGAGCGCTCGGCCCCCTGGCGGGATGGAGGCGGCTCTGCGGCGGGAGCTCGGCACGTCGGTGCTGCGGCCTGCGGGCCACTCGGGTGGAGGCTGCATCAGCCACGGCGAGAGCTTTCACACCGACTTCGGGCTCGTATACGTGAAAAGCAACTCCCGTGCCGAGGTGTGGGGAGGAAGAGAAGATGGGTGGAAAGAGAGAGTGTGGAGCATGGGGCCTTCCAGCCGAGAAGGACAAGGGGAGGTGGTGCAAAGCGTTGGCGCGCGGTTGAAAGGTTGCGCTACAGCGAGCCGGGGGTGGTGGTGGTGAACTCTGCCACGCTTCACCGACAATGCCCCCAGACCCGACGCCAGTCACGAGCAGAAATGCAGGAGAGGGTGCTTTGGAGATGCAGTGATGGAGAAAGAGGCCGCTTCAGCCTGTCATGCAGCTCTGAAAAGAATAGGGGGTTTGGAAGGGACAAAGACCTGTACTGCCCCTTTGCAAGGTTGACAAATTAGCAGCCCATTGGACGGCGGTACCCTGCCGTTATATTTGCTGTAGTCATGCTAAAGTCCCGCAGGCCTCCTCACTGCAGATTAAAGTTATGATAAGACATCTTGGCAGTGCTTACTTTTAGGCCGGCCTTATACTAGGATACCTTTCAAATCCCGGGATTTTGCTGTGATGAGGGACGACGACGTCGTTGACGTGTGCAATACTAAACAGGAGTACTTTTGATCACTTGCGGAGTGCCACGATTCCAGTATTGAATAATTATTACCAGCCTGATCTAAGAAGAGAATGATATTCCTAGGAACTCTTCTCATCTTAGAAAATGGTCACTTGGTTGGGAAATTTGATTGACAGAGGAGTGAAAGCTAGTATAATGAATGAAATGCGCAGACATGACCTAGCAGTTTGCTAAACAATAGCTGCTGTGTGGTGCAAATCCCATGTTTGTTCTGATTAAATGCTGAAAAGGAAGATGTGCCCAGAACAGAATAGATAGGGCCTAGCTGATAAATCTGTGTGTGCAACAACAATAGTTGATGTATATATAGAAACACAGAAATGGAGTCAGAAGGGGCCTCCTGGGCCATATTGTAGTCTGACTGCCTGCTCCAGCCGGCTCTGCTCATGGCATACCTACTATGTGCATGTCCATATGTTTCTCTTAATTCTGTTGCCTGCCTGCCTTGTCTTCTAAGATTCTTTTATATCTGGCGTTTTCTTTCTAGTTTGTGAATGAGCATAATACTCTTAAGTTTGACTTGTAACTTTCCATTCCTTTATCTTAATATGTGGAGGAGAAAAACATGTGTAGGAAATCAGTGATTGGCAGCATTCATTGGCATATACACATGCTTGTATATTTGTGTGTGAAACAGTGCTTGGGGTAACGTCTTCAGTGAAAATTCTTGTTCAGCCAGAAACTAGGAGTTGATGATGCCAAGGTTCTGGAAAGGGAACTGGGATGCAAAAAGGGTTAATTCCTCTCTCAAAAAAGGTTAATTCCTGAACATTGTGGTCTACAGATCATGTTAGGCAGTGACAGAAATTCCATAGACTTTAAGTGTATTATAAAATGTTCTAACAGTTATGTCTTACACTGTGTTATGATTTCTGTTCATCTAACCCTAAACCTCATGGAAGTAGTTGCAATGCTATTACAAGTTTATTAATTTGCAAATATAAGGGCTGCTTAGTGGGATTTAAAGAGAGCTACAATTTTCTGTTTTCCCATCTTTGGACAGCCTTAGTTATTGTAGGTCAGTGTAAGTCCAGGCTCAGTGAAAGTATAAAATGAGGCAGCTTAGTTTGTGTGTGCACTGTTGTCCTTATTTGCACAGTTATTATTCTCTTGTTTGGCATGTAACTGCTTTGAGAAAAGTATACATGTTGAATTACTCATGCTGTATGCTGTTGTTAATAGGTTGCGTTAGTAGAAGAATTAGGGAATGCTTGCATTTTAAAGTAATTATAGAGGTTTTTTCCTTTTATCTCTGACAGGCTCGAAGAATGTTTGACGGAGAAATGGCCAGTTTAACTGCTATTCTGCAAACACAAACTGTAAAAGTTCCTAAACCTATAAAGGTTATTGACTTACCAAATGATGGTGCTATATTTGTGATGGAGCATTTGGATATGAGAGGCTTAAATAGGTAAGTTTTGGTTGTTCCATTTCTTATTGTGATTTAGTTGCCTGTTTGAGGAGACAATTAGTACTGTGTAATCCACCTTTGCAGGAAACAGATTAATACTAAATCAGATGTAGTATTGACGTATTCAGTGGTGTAAACTGGAGCTGGGTATTATATTAGCATTCTAAGTAATTTTGTGTAGCCTTCTGAATAGAATGTAGCGATTATTGGCTTTCATTGAAATAGTTAGATTTCTGTTTCTTTGCTTCAATCTGCATACTTTGAATAACTCACTTAAAATGATTATATGTCAGTTTAAGGTTGAAGAAAAAGTTACCCTTTCTTAATTATATAAGATTCTTACAGTCTTACTGACTAAACTGATAATAAATGTTGAAAAAGGAAAAATTAACATTTGACCTTTAATGCATTTGGCGAGTTTTAAATATCAAATACTTAAGTCTGTATGTACTTACCAAATGAATTAAAAGTCAAATGTAAAATTTTCCTTTTTCAAATCATATAGGTCTATGCTGAATTCAGATGCATAGCATTAAGTCAATGGTAGGCTTTTTTTTTGCTCGTGTGGTAAAGTGTGCACAGGACTTCCACTTTTAACCATCATCTTATGATTAGCCAGGTTATACCTTCTTGAGTGTGATGTATGAACTTAAACTCTGGGTTGTTCAGGGCCTGAAGATTCAGATCTTTAAAAACAGATTTACAGCTGTTTGCAGAATATAGCCCGAATGGCAGCAATGGTCAGGAACTGGCACACAAAGGGAGCCTCTTCTCTACTTAGAGATGTGCCTTTCAGTATCTTAAGTGTTTCATTTACTGAGGGAAAAATGTCTGTAGAGAATCCCCACATACAATGAATTGCCTATTTTGGTTCCAACAATTTAATTAGGTTTTTTTTTAATATTTCTGTCCCATGTTTGGTGAAGACTATTACTCAAGTGTAATAAGAGAGCAAATATATAGAAATTTGAAATTAACAATAACGCAATCACAGTAGGCTATAATGCCTCAGTATATAAAAGCACAAAACAAAATGAGGAAGAAATAGACCAATACATTGATCTTTTTGCCTTTTGCTGAATATATTTTCTTCTTGCTGCTAAAACTATTGTATTTTGACTTCTTAGACATGGAGAGAAACTTGGAACACAATTGGCTGATCTCCATCTTCATAATCAAAAACTTGGAGAGAAGTTGAAGAAAGATGCAAACACTTTTGGCAAAGGTTAGCTCAGTTGTTAGTGGCAATTAAATACCATTAATTGAAGATTGTAACTATAAATGTGTTCAAATATTTTGCTACCCCTTGGAACAAGAAAATTTCCATTGAGTGAATAGAAAGATAATACAAATAGTGACAAGTTTATTCTTTGTCTATATAATTGCTACAAGAATAAACTTAAAATATGCAGCATTCCTTAGTACTGGATATCTTGTTTCCTTGTTATGCATGGATCATAGAAACTGGAAAGCCATATTCACATTGGTCCCGATACACTAAGATTACTTGGGATGATCTAAATAAGCTTCTATCCTTTCTCTCCTAAATTCTATACTTTAAAAAGTTCTATGGACTCTGCAGCTATTTATTTAACATAATGAAAAATGTAAACTAAGGCCTTTTGACTTGTAAACTTTTAAGTTGTAAAAGGACAAAAATATAATTTTAAACAGTTATCTTCTTACACTTTATTTGGAGGAGAGCTCATCAGAATATTTAAGTTGCTGTTTGCATCTGACTAAGGATCCATTTAATTCATCACCATGTTTCCAGTTGTAATAGTCACATACAGTGGTACCTTGGCTCACGAACTTAATCTGTTCCAGGACTCTGGTTGTGAGCCAAGTTAAATTTCCCCATAAGGTTCAGTGTAAATAAGGTGAATCCGTTCTGTAACTTTTTTTTTAAATCAGAAAAATGTGAAGCAAAGTGACAAAGAACAACAAAGATCGTGGCCATCTCCCCCTCCCACCCCAAGCACAAGTGCAGCCATCTCCCCGCCCTCCCAGCATGACCGAGATTGCTCCTGTCATCCCTGCACACGCCTGTCATCCCTGCACGTGGGGGGAGGGGGGGAGAGACAGGCGTGATTGCGGGCGCACTGGGGGAGGTGGAGACAGGCACGATCATGCTGGCAGGGGGCGAAGACGGCCAGATCGCAGTTGTGCTTGTGCAGGAAAGCCGGACACGATCTCGGCCATCTCTCCGCCTCCTGCCCCCAGCATGATCGCGGCCATCTCCCTGCTGTGATCTTGGTCGTCTTGCGGAGTTCATGACCCACATCAACATTTTCATGAAATTTTTGTTCATGACCCAATTTGGTTGTGAACCAAGGCATTTGTGAGCTGAGGTACCACTGTATTTATGGGACTCTTACCAGCAGGACCTGGAGACTCTGTTGCAGCAAATTATTAAAAACATGGACGGCTAGTCTGAATTACTGAAAACATAGTGGTATAGTGCATTCTGAAACTTAAAAAATTCAGTGAAGCAATCTACCATATCTGTATCTAAGCTACTGGAAATTATAAGCAAGTATAGCTAGGACATATACTTTAAAATAATAGCAGTGTTCTTCTTTTTAGTGTACTCTGCTGTTCAGAGCCGGCAGTCACCAACTTGCTCTTTTTATTTTAGGTAAGAATGAGGAACAGACAGATGTCCAGTTTGTGGAAAAATTTGGATTCCACACTGTCACTTGTTGTGGGTATCTTCCACAGGTATGCTCTGCAGATTTGTTTCTGTACTAATGGCTTTTTTACACTGGAGAAATACAATGTTAGCATGGGGGCAGGGTTTTGAGGCCTTTAAAAATTCACTTAGAGAAATCTAAGTGGGGATAAAGGTTATAGGGCTAATGATATGAGCACATGTGTAGTACTGGATTTTTGATCTTTGGCAGTTATATATCTTAGTACTGCTGTACCAGTGAGTGTCCCTTAAAATAGCTATACCCTGCAGTGTCAGACCTTGTGCTTGTAGTCATCTATTAACACAGAGCCTGGAAGCCAAAATTCACCACAACTCTGCCAGCATTTCCTGTAATAGGATACTTTTAGCAGATGGTAGAGAGCTGACTATCTCAGCATAACTAGGTTAGGATACTGCTTTGGTTGTTAATGTATGTATAGTAGTGCAAACAGCTACTGAAAGAGGAGATTAATCCATTTAAATTTGACAGCAGCAGTAATTTGTAGATGCGCGCATGCACGTGTGCATGTATGTATACATGCATGCACTGCAGTTTATGTAAATTTAATCTGCTTGCTTTTAGGTTTCTTTTCAGTGTAATAGGAACTTGGCTGTCTCTGCATTTTTCTCTTCTGTGTTTATATGCAATGGAACTCTTCAAAAAGAAAGTGTATAATTTTGTGCTTTGTCAGGGCTGTAATAGTCTGAAAGGCTGATTCACAAACAGCTTAAAAGAATAATCTTACGGTCCCTGGGTGAGCATTGCAGAAACCAGAGAATGGGTCATAAAATCCCTTGCAAGGTTGGAGAAAGTGCTCAGTCCTCAAACAGGGGAGTCAGAGACAGGGTGTATAAAAATCAATGATTAAAAATAAATAATCAGGAATCATAGAATCATAGAGTTGGAAGGGGCCATGAAGGCCATTGTGTCCAGCCACCTGCTCTTGCAGGAGACCAGTTTACACCACCCCACTGCCATTTTCTAATTTAAATCAGAAATGTTTGATTTAAATTGAATTTTGAAAAAATTAAATAATATTTTTAATAAAATGCTTTTTTGAAAAAATCTAAGGTACATTATAGTCTGAAAGTTATTCCTCATGAAATAAGGGTTCATTTTTAATTATGTAGCATGAGACTGTATTTTCATGCAGTTTTTCTGTCTAGAAGATATTATTACAGATGCTTGGTTGTACAATTTTCAGAACTGTGAGTTTGTGTCTGCAGAGATCACATGCCTCTTCTTCACAGCAAAAATATTATAATATAAACAAGTTGAGAAAAAGACCATAATTCTGTTGTTCCTTTGTAAATGTATATACACAGAATCAACCCCTTACCTCTTAAGTGAGACATTAAAAAATATCAATGAATAGAAGAATATCCTTTGGAGTGGAATAGATCTGCACAAGAAGCTAAGTTTGAGGGAGGAGGGGCAAGCAGTAAAAATGAAAGTGAAACCTTTTGAGCAGAATACTCCAAAAGTCTTTGGCTCTTTTTGTGCATAGCCTGAGGTTTTTCATATTCTTTCCCTGGGGGAGAAAACCTATAAGGACAGCAGGCCACAAAAGAGACTCAGTTTGGGAATATTTTAATGGCATTCCTCTGTCTACAGATAAGGCAGGAGGAAAAGGGGAGGGGAGGATCCTTGAGTGGCTAGGATATGAGGCATCTTGAGCCATCTTGTTTGTTTGAACTTTTTCTATGTCGCCCCATTACTAAAAAGTCTCTTGATGGCTTACAGCCACCTTTCCCACTTTCCAAAGCACTCTTGCTAGATGAAAGGAAAAGACCATCTAGCAAAAATCCCCAAATATAAAGGAAGCTGAGGTGACCGTTGCCTCTTCTGCTCTTACTGCTTGGCTGTCTTCAGCCAGGCAGGATATAGGAGTCTCAAAGCCTTGAAGCTCAGAGGTTTCCAAACAGTTAGGACACAATCAGTGAGACCATAACGAGTTTTAATACCGTAGAAGTCAGTAGGACAATATGAGTTTAAATAGACTTCTTTTTTTTGAATAAGTTTTATTCTTAATATATACCTAACAAAAAAACCCCTAAAACTAAAAAGCATCAGTCATTGATAACATCAGACCTACTTGGTCAGCCCCCCACATTTTTTCTTTTTATGTTAAACTATATAAACATATTTAAGTCTATGCGTAGTCCTGTTTCTCTAGCCAATGATAAAAAGAGTCCCAGTTTTGATAGACGTCTGTATCTTCTTTCTCCTTCAGAGACAAAGTCAATCTGTGGAGTCTAAATAGACTTCTATGACTGCCTATTTCATCCTTTTATCAGAGAACCTTGTTCTAGTGGTTGCCTTTCCTATAGAACCAAATGCTTGCTGAATGTCTGGCTGCCTATTTGCAGGTAAATGATTGGCAACAGGATTGGGTGACTTTCTTTGCCAGGCAGCGCATTCAGCCCCAGATGGACATGATTGAGAAGAACTCAGGTGACCGGGAGGCAAGAGAACTTTGGGCACAACTCCAGGTAATGAAGTTCCATGAGAATCTTAGAGGTCAATCTCACATTTGTAAAAGTGATGCAGGTTTTAGGGAACTCTGAGAAGTTAGGTATGTTTGCTTCTGTTGAAATCATTAAATTTAGGCACATGTGTTTGCACAAGATTGGCTCATTAGATACCTACTGAGTGAAATCACAAATCAGAATCCCTTTTTATTTCTTCATTGGTAACTTTTATTTTTCTTTTCCAGCTGAAGATACCCAGTCTGTTTGGTGATATGGAGATAGTTCCTGCTCTTCTTCATGGGGATCTGTGGGGAGGAAATGTAGCTGAAAATGACTCTGGACCAATTATCTTTGACCCTGCATCTTTCTATGGTCACTCCGAGTATGAGTTAGCAATTGCAGGGATGTTCGGTGGCTTCAGTGGTTCATTTTACTCTGCCTATCACAGTAAAATCCCCAAATCACCAGGGTTTGATAAACGCCTCAAGCTGTACCAACTATTTCACTATATGAACCACTGGAATCACTTTGGAGGCGGGTACAGAGGCTCCTCTATCAATATAATGAGAAATCTGGTGAAATGATTTCCCACTTCAAGGTTTTGTCTCCCTTTTTGAAAATTTATGCACACATCTCCTGGGTGTTTCAGCTGCATGACTGCATATATTTTACAATAGACCCTGACCTCGCAGCCTCTTTCCACAGTTGAAGGTTGAACCCTGCCGTGCCCCAGGCTTGGTGTCCCATTCTTGCAGTTTTTCAAACAGCTGCCTGAGGTAACCGATCTTAGATTTGCATGAAAGAGTTTTTACTGTTGAGGGTTTTTTGATAGATTAAGCTAGAGAACATTCCTCTCAATAATAGTTTGGAATAAAATGTTTGCTACCAGATTAGAAGGAAAAACCAAATAGACCCTTGAATCAGGTCTCATATTGCCAGTTATGTTTACATTCACATTCAGAGGAAAACCGATGATCTCAATGAATGGAAAGGTGTCTTTTCCTTCATAATGATATATATGAACATTATGGAATTTTTATTGTTGTTTTTCTTAGATTACTCCCAATTTGTCTTTTTTGATGAATACCAAAGGAAAGTAAAAGCCCCATGCCAATTATATTTAATTGGAAGCATGTCCTGCTAAGGCATATGAGATTTGCTTCCCAGGAGGAGTTTTCAGTGAACACTCTCTGTATGGCTCTAGTATTTTCACTGAACATTCTCAGTATGGCTCCTAGTGGCTGATGTCCATTAGGAATAGCTGGGCCATTCCTAGTCAGCTCTATCAACTTAGAAATTAATTTGCTGACCTGTAATGTTTGTTCTGTCTCTGATAGCCAGCTCCATTTATAGGGATATATAGCTGTCTCAGATTTTCGTTATTGAAGCAACTTAGTAGAATCCACGCCTTGAATTCCTTTTTATTGCTTTTTGCTCTATACACTGAGCAACCCTGACCATTTGTGAAATGAAACAACATTCCTACTGGCAGAAAGTTAAAGCATGAAAAATGTATTCTTAGTAAAGTATTTTAATTTGAATACACTGAAGGTGACAGAATTGAGAATACTGCTCTCCATTTTGGGATGTTTGTGTCCTGTAATGACTACTTTCCAACAAGGATTGCCAGCCAGTTTTCCAGTTGGGCAGTTAAAGGCATGGGCACCCAACTACAGGCAAAAAGCTGGTGAATCCCCAGTGCAACATCTCCTTGCTGGGGAAAACTTTACCAGTTGATCTTTTGCTTATCGTACTGCTATTAAGGCAGAAGAGCCCAGCCAGAAAAACGGTGGCAGCCCTATTTTGAAAGCAGATTCTGTTGCAGCACTTGTTTCTTGAAGTAAGGAAAATACGTTTCTGCATCAATTTCTCAGCAACTTAACATGGCTGACTGATATTTAAAGAACTTAATTTCAGTCCTAATTGGTACTGGCTACTCATACAGTTCATTAAGGTTTTGTCACGGCCCCCTTCTGTCTTGTTAGCAGGCATGCTGAACTGGTATCCTTAACAATTGCAAACCCTCCCTTAAGTCCGCTAAAACTGCATGGTTCCATTTTGTGGTGTACATTTGTATAAATCTGTTAATTCCCTTTGCCCCTTATATAATTATTCTGTCCTCATGTTGGGACAGCACATTGTTTGTGGAAGCAAGATTTGTGCAAACAGTGGTAAACAACTCCAGATCTCTTTAGAGATACCAGGATAGAGTAATAACTGTACCCGGATGGAATCATGCGTAAGAAGATGCTAAACTAAGAAGACATAAGGTGTTCTTTAACTGACTAAAAAACATGTTTGAGACAAGCAGGTAGAATAAAAGTTTTGCACTTTCATATATTTTCTGGTGATTCTTAAATCACCAGGTAGGTATGATTTCTAGAATTCATGTTCGTGTGGGACTCAGAATGTTTTGATTGAGTTAACATTCCACTACAGCATTTCCTGAAAGTTTGGAGTTCTGTTTTACAGTGAGAAACAGTAGCTGTTAGAAGCTAATTCAACATTGTGTGCTTTTTTTTCTCTTTGTCTAATTTTAGTAGTAATATAAATGACTGTTCTAGGTTTGAAGAAAAGCATTACTCATAAAAATGGATTGTAGTATTTCCTTCATGTAGAAATAAAATATTCTCCTGACTGTTTTATTTTCTTTATCTAGTTAGAAAGCAAACAAGATAAAATCCGTTATTACTTTCTGGTGTGGTAAACACACTGGCATAGAACCCTTCCCTGTAAACATTTTGAAAAGAAAAGTATACATATTTAGCACATACTGTATTTTATCATTGATGGAGGCAGTGGTCAGGCCTCTCTTGGAAGAAGGTGACCTTGGACCCAGAGGATGTCACCAATTACAGGCCAGTGGCCAACATCCCTTTTTTGGGCAAGGTGCTTGAGAGGGTGATGGCTGGGCAACTCACTCTTGGAGGAAACTGACAATCTACTGCCTACTTCCAATCCAGCCAGCTATGTAGATGGATACCATGGTTGATGATAATGAAAAACACTGAGAAGTCCAGGAGAATCAACAGGGTCACATTTCTCCTGTCTTCTCTCCCAGCAAAGGTTATCCCATAGGGCAACCGATGCAGTTTCCATACCAAAGCAAGACCTGAAGTCTGATTGAAATGGATCTAGATAATCTGTTGCATCCAAGAGTGCTTAGAGCTGCTTGGTTACCACCTGCTCAAACACCTTGCCCAGGAAGAGGATATTGGCAACAACCCTGTAATTTTTCTTATCCACCATGTCCAGTTTTGGCTTTTTAAAGACTAGCTTAATCACAGCCTCTTTTACAGAGGCTGGCACCACTCCTTTGGAGATTCTGATTCCATTTTCCAACTATATACTTGCTTTCCATACTTGACTATAAGTTAGGGTCCAATATCTTCCTTTCAAGTCTTCTCCCCACAGCCCTGACAAATGCTGTTTGTGTAATTTCCTGATCACCCTGGGCTGCCTTGGGGCTAATCTATATAGGTCTAGTCCTAGATTTTGGTAGCTAAAATAAAAACAAGATAATCCTATTTTTCTTGCAAGATCTACTTGTAAACATCATGGAATAACTCAACACTGATAATACAGAAAAGCATTGTTATGGATCACACCATGTTCATATTTCTGTCAGTATTGCATCTAAATTTGGCTGGTGGAGCTTTTCTGGTGGACCATTATCTTTTCATCACTTATCCATGAGCTGGGAAATACACTAGTAGTCTCCTATAATCAATTTGCAGAAGGATTTGTGGGTAATATTGCTCACATCCATTCTGATTCTGTATTAATAGTCTGCTGATGTGTCTTCTGCAACTGCTTGTCCAGTAATTGTAGATTCTTTTCAGCTTGTGAAAATTGAGTATACAGGCAAAATTATTGGGTCAGTGATTGCAACCCTGTGCACTTGTTTTACTTGCCCATCCTGACTTTTGAAAGCAGCCAGAGTTAGAGTGGTTGATTGGGTGGTGAAATGACAAACTTATTGATGTCAAGTTTCTTTTCCGATCTGCCAAAAATTGCCACAGTTTCACCTCTGTAGAAAATAAAAGCTTTGTATTCCACTGTTAAATAATTACCAGTCAGCACCAAACCCTCACTTTTGGATAAGGAGTTTGATGTCTGTTAGGAACCAAACTCTAATGCCTGGATGAGAGTGATCACATGTGTCCATTTCAGCCCAGTCTAAGGCTTGGTTCTGGAATAGAAGCAAACTTGGTTGTTGCCCTAGTGAATGGTCTTTGCCAGAAGCTAGGGGAGTATGTCCCGGTTCCTCTGGTCTCCTGGTGGCTTATATTTAAAATATAAACTACAGACTAAAAACAATCACAGTGTAGCAAAAATGATAAAAGATGCAAGACAGCAGCCAAGTAGTTAAAAACCCCTCCAGCAGCTGGCCAAGTTACTTATAAAGGCCTATCAGAATAAAAACGCCCTTTTGCCACTGGCTAAAAGAGAAGGAAAAATGGGCTAATCCATTGCCTTTAGTGGGAAGTTCCAAGTCTTGAGAGTAGCAGTACAAAAAGTGCTCTCTCATCCCTATGAAATGTGCTGCGGCTAATGAAAAAAAAACCCCTTCTCTGCAGATTGTAAAACCCAAGCATGCTTGTATGCAGTGCTTTTTTTGTCATAGAATGCACCGGAATGGAGTTCTGGCACCTTTTTTTGACAGATTTTCCAAGTTTTAAAAGTAACTTTTGAAAAATTGATGTTTGGTCCATGTGGATTTGAATCACCCTGTTGAGAGTAGCAGGTTGGCGGCAAAATAATTAAAACAGTGCATGCGGGCTGCTTGAGTGTCGAATCCGATGCATGCGTACTTTGCACTGGTTGTGATGGCGCTGCTCAGCTTGTGGCGCTGCTCAGCTTGTGATTAGTTGTGTGGTGGTGCGCTGTGCTTACTGCAGGCGGCGACTGTTATGTTTCATTACACAACTGACGTGTGTGGGTGTGTGTACAGTGATTGACTACCTGCGAAAGAAAAATAATTTCATGAGTTCCAGCACCTTTTTCTTACAAAAAAAGCACTGCTTGTATGGAAGAATGTGTGCTTTCATAGAGCTTGCTCTCAAACCAGCACTTTGAATTATGTCCAGAGTCACTGAAGCAGTTGTGATATCAATCAGTGCTTTTTTTTGTCATAGAATGCACTGGAACAGAGTTCTGGCACCTTTTTTCAACAAATTTTCCAAGTTTTAAAATGTTCAAACCTGAAAATTTGATGTTTGGTCCACGTGGATTTGAATTGCCCTGTCGAGCGTAGCAGGTCGGCAGCAACATCATTAAAACGGTGCATGCGGGCTGCTTGTGTGTCAAATCCGATGCATGCATAGTTCATCCACGCTGGTTGTGATGGTGCTGCTCAGGTTGTGATTGGTCATGTGGTCGTGCACTGAGTGCCTACTGCAGGTGGCAACCGTTACGTTTCATTACACAACTGAAGTGTGTGGGTGTGTGTACAGTGATTGACTATGTGCGAAAGGTAAATAACTTCATGAGTTCCAGCACCTTTTTTCTTACAAAAAAAGCACTGGATATCATTGTTGCAGAACAATCTGGTAGCATTGTATTGAACCAGCTGAAAATTTAAAAAAGGTGTTAAGACAGTCCTGAGTAAAGACCATTCCAGCCACCCAAATGGGATGTAAGTAAAGCAAGGGTCACCATGGCCAGATCAGACATCTCCAGCTGATTTTCCTCAGCCATACAAACTCTGAAAACCTGGGCATCTGGGGTCAGAGCTGAACCTGGAAGTGCAAACTTGAGCCTTCAAGAGGAGTATAACTTCAATTAGTACACTGAAAATCTATTCCCTGATCTGTTTTTGATTAACCAGATGCACCTGTCACATTTAGATTAGGCTTCAATTTGTCCCTTTCCAGCCCATCACTGATTCAGATGCAATTGAGCCACTGTGGTCAAGAGCATTGGACTGGGGCTCAGGATATATTCTAGTCGCCACTCAGCCATGAAGTTTGCTGGGTGAGTGGGCCACTAACTGACTCTCAGCCTATAAAGAACCTCACAGCTGTGAGGATATAATGGTGAGGTGAAGGGAAAAAAACCACAATATAAATGTAAGAATATACAATAACAATATATTGGCCATGGTAATCTTTTAGATCACTTTGACAGAATGGGATGGGGTTCCAGACTTTTCATGTGGTTAGGTTTCAAAATGTGGTGTTGGTGGTCTTTCATTCAATCTTTTGGTCTATGCACATGTGCACCTACCCCAAAAGATTGTGTTCCACTAGCAAGTGATGATATTTCCCTTTAATTGGGTATTTTATTCTACCATTGTTTAATCAGATTTGTTAATTTAGTTGTAAACATGTTAGTGACAATTGCTTGTATTTAACTTCTAAGTATTGTAGCTTTTTTTCAGAAAGGAAAAAGCAAAGTGCAGTTTGCAAATTGTGCAAAATAATTAAAAAAACTCAACTTGTACAATCCCTTGCCTCCTAAGATGCCACACTGATCTAATGATAAAATCAGCACAGTGAAGTGTATTTCCCTCCAATAGTTTTGCTTTTCTTTCTATTCTGTATGCCCTTTTGTTCTGAGGGCAGGCATGTTTGTTTAGTCATAAGCTGTTGTTCCAAACATACCTATGCTTGCTATTGAAATATAGGCTCTTAAATACAGTACTGGTCTGCACACTGGCTTGTCCGTTGCAATCACTTTGCAAGAGAGCCAGTGTGGTGCGGTGGTTAAGAGCCTGGGACTGGGACTCAGACGACCTGGGTTCTAGTCCCAGCTCAGCCATGGATCCAACTGGGTGACTTTGGGCCAGTCACAGACTCTCAGCCCAACCTACCTCACAGGGTTGTTGTTGTGGGGATAAGATGGAGGAGGAGAATGATGTAAGCTGCCTTGAGCCCTTTGTAGGAAAAAGGCAGGATATAAATCGGAAAATAAATAAAATAAAAATCTTGTTCTGCTTCTCTGATTACTTTCAAAGGGGCACAGACCACTGGGACCAATTTTAAATTGTGGGCCAGGAAATGATGGCCATTTTGATGGGGAGAAAGTGCAATTAAATGCATCAGTGTACACTATGGCCCCATACTTTCCATAACTGGAATGGATTGAATTGTACTCGTAATATTCTGCACACCTCCATGCAAGAACTTACTTTCCTTTGTATATTATCACATTTATTGTGGCAAGTGCTTGATAATCCCTTTTCCTACTACCCTTAATTGTCAATGAACAGCAAAGCTTATTATGTATATGAACATCAACGCTTAGAGAACAGTAAAAGTTGAATGTGATAATTTGTGTGTGTGACACATGGCCTATCCATTAACTATCTTCCAAGAAAAGGCACTCAATGCATATTCTTGATGTTTTGTCCATGCTTTTTGCACATGCTCAAAATGCTTCTCACACCAATGTGTCAGTTTTTGAAAGCAAATACGGTTTATGAAGCTTGTTTTAAATTTAGAAAATACAACATGATGAGCATCAAGTAGCGACCGGACAACACAACAGGGTCTTTTTCGACTGAGATGCAGATAAAATAGGGGAAGGCTTATGGTATTAATGCATTTTGTTACTAGTTTATTTATTTTTTATTAAAACATTTCTATGCTGCCCCTTGCCGAAGCCTCGGGGTGGCTTACAACACAATACAATAAAATACAAAAATAACAATATAAAATTAACAATATAAAATAAATAACAATATAGAAGTCGCCCTGGCCAGATAAATAAGCAAATATTGTTAACAATTAAAATGACGTTTAAATAAGTTACAGAAAGCAATTAGGCAGCATGCCTACGTACACCAGTTGATGGGGTAAATGGACAGAGAGGGCCTGTTAGACTTTTATTATGTTTGTGGGTTTCTCAGAGGTAGGCATTTAGCAAATTGTGTGAACACAATTTTGGATCCAGCTGGGCTCTTATGATCTTACCAACAGACTGACACAGTCTAAACCAAGTTTTAAATGGAAAACCTATGGCCATGGTGCTCTCCATGCCTGAGAATCTATGTAACGAAAACCTGAGATACTTCAAAATACACAGTTTAATTTCAGACCGGAAAACCCAAGAAGGATCGCGGTTGACTAGAAGCCCTCCACGGTCGCAGCCAGGCGCTGGGATCATAGATGAGGCAGCTAGAGGGGAAGAACTTCATAATCCCTGGCAGGGAGTTAAAGTCTCTATGGTGAGCTTGCGTCACATGGGAAGCGGAAATGCGTTTTAGTATTGGCCAAATTGTATCACATGAGAGAAGAGAGACTTCCTGGGTATTGGCCGCCGCGAGGTAGAGCGGCACGCGCTTGTTGAGCAAGGACGGGATTGGTGCGTGAGTGGTCAAGGGGGCGGGGCAGCGTGCCGGATGTGCCGGGCAGCCGTGCGGTGCCCGCGTGTGTCCCGCTGATAGTGGCTGGATGTGGAGGCGGTTGCTGTGCTTGCCGGTCAGAGCCATGTCTGGAGGGGGCGGCGTCCCCGCGCCTCATCGCCAGCGGCCGTCGAAGGACTCGCTGCGGCACGTGCGGTTGCGCGAGAAGCGCCTCGGGTTCCCGGGCGCTTCTGAGCGCGAAGGGCCGCGCACCGTCTTCGTGCAGGTGGTGGCGGCGGGGGCGCGAGATGTGGGAGCCGCGCTCTACGTGTTCTCCGAGTACAACCGGTCAGTGGGATCAGATTCTCTCCTCGCCTGGTTCCAGCAGGCGTGGCTCTTCTCTCGGCGCCGCAGAATTGCCGAATTAACGGCGGTGACGGTTCGTGCCGGGCTCTGGTGGCGCTTCCTTTCCCGCGGAGCTTCTCTGCTAAGTGGGTGGCTCCGCTCACTGCGGTCTCAGGTTTAGGAAGACAGGCCGTCCTCGAAGTAGTTCCTCGAATATGGCTGTCATCCATCGTCTCCTGCATTATGACTGGCACACCCCACACCATGTTTTGTAGAGTGCATGTGCTGGGGGGCTATATCCAATGCTAGTCTTGCTCAGACTAAACCAATTAAAATGAATGGGACTTAGGTTAGTGCAAGATTGGATGTAACCTGGCTTTATGTCTTTTTCAGATTAACTCCTTTCATATGCACACCAACCTTGATAGGCTGTGCTGGAATACCCAGTAATCCTCTGCAGAATGACTTCTTGTTTCAGAGAGTTCAGTAAAACAGTTTTCTTAAAACAGTGTCTATTTTATGATTTTGGCTCCAGTTGTAACCCTAATGCTGGCCCTCATTTAGTCATGAAAGAGGGCCTGTAAAGGTACTTCTTGAGAAAGGGCTCCTAGGACTATCAATTAGAAGTTTTGTGCAGCTATATCATCTTTTCTTTTTAATGAATTATCTATGTAAGGGGAAAAAGAGGTTGCAAGTGGAAGATGAAGTTGTAAAGATCTTTGAAAAATTCTGTGAATGAGACAGTAAAAATCTCATCTTGAGGCACTCCAAGTTAGGACTGGATTGAAGGTAGATTAGAGTATTGTTTGATTTCAGTATGATTTGTAGTAGTTCACCAAAGATTTCAGCCTTCTAATTGTTTTAACAATTAGGGTTAGTGTTTTAACAGAAGGTTCCCTTTCCCTTTCTAAGTTAGGATGCTATGATGGAAGAAACCTTGGAGAAGAGGAAACTAGGAGGAGAGATTGGTGTGATTGGACTATGAGCTTAGTTCTGGCACTAGAAGCAAGTTAGTGGCTTGAGCATTTAAGATATGTTTTCCTTCTCCCCAGCTGCTGTCTTGCAGCTCATTATGGTTGGTGGAGCTTAGGGTTCTGATAAAAGCAAGGCACAAATCACAAGTATGCAGTCTGCCTGAAATCTTAGCTTTGGTCTAAGTCAGGTGGTAAAAAATAAATCTCCAGATGCTTTGGGCTTCAGCTTCTATCATTCCTGACCATTGACCATATCAGCAGTTGAAATTCACAACATCTAGAGTTCTGCCTTCTGCACATCCCTGGTTGAAGTCTTTTAATAACTATATCTCTGTACAATGTTTCATTTCAGGTATCTCTTCAACTGTGGAGAAGGAGTGCAGCGCCTTATGCAAGAGCACAAGTAAGCAAAATTAAGTATTGTGTTTGGGTAGTCAGAAGGCATGTGACCTAAAACTGATAAATTCAGTAATAAGTCTTGTCTTCACCACAGGTTAAAAGTGGCTCGTTTAGACAATATCTTCCTCACCAGAATGAACTGGGCAAATGTTGGTGGGTTGTCTGGTGAGTTCAATTACTGTATACGTTCAGTTCAGTTCAGCACAAATGGCAATGCATAACTAGGACAGTCTTAAAAAGATTAGATTATTGTTACAGTACTTTTGTATCCCTCCTTTTTCCTCTTGTGAGAAACCCAAGGCAGCTTATAGTGCTCCACTCCTCCATGTGACAGGCCTAAGGTCATCTGGTGAGCCTGATGGCCAAATGGAGACTAGCACCTAGATCTTCCAGGTTTCCAGCCCAACTCTTGAACCACTACATCACACTGCCTCTCAGGTTGTAAGTAGTTTTCTAAAGCTTTTATGAAAAACATGTATCATCACTAACATTTATTATGTGGCCATGATAGACTATAAAAGGGGATCCTTTTAATTTTTCCCCGGATGTGTTAATATGAAACAATATTAATAAAATAGTAATGGTAAATATATTTAAACAATACAATAATAGCAGTTCTATGACCACCAGGACCAACAGATAATGCTACTTAATGTAAAACAATTTATTCCGTCAGGTTGCTGTTCTCCCGCTTCCTTTCAGAACTGCATTGAATCTTGTGATGGCTCACACCCCTTCCCTTTATTAAAACATATTCAATAAATGGTCTCTAAATACCTTTAAAATATCTTTTAAATTATTTTTACATATCAAACCTTTTTTCATTTAATATTGCAAGTTAACTTATCATTAATGCCTGTATTCCAAACTTCTGTATATCAGTCATTTATTTGATAATAACCTTTTATTTTCCAGTTCCTTGCTGCTATTAATCTTACTGTTGTTAGTAAATTTGTCAACTACTCTTTAATATTTTGTTAGAAAAATGCTAGTCTAGGGTCTACTTCAATTTTAGATCCAATATTTTACTAATTTCTTTGAAAACCATTTCCCAGTTTTTAAAATACTGTCCTGAGACGTTTGTGATGGGACAGTATACAAAAGTTTTAAATAAACTATAAATAAATAAAATGAACTTACAGTCCCAGCACATATGGAAATATGTACACACTTCCTAGTTACATCTCCAACGTATATTGGAATATTTATTACTAATGTAATTCAATTTAACCAGAGTTAAGTACAATTTCCAAACTAATTTAAGAAGTTTTCTTTAATTCTTATTGAAATACATTTTAAAATCCGCTTATCCCACATATGATTCCATTCCTCATTACTAAAATTTCTTCTTAAATCTATTTCCCAAAACTCTTCGAGAGGATTGCATTGCTCCTTCCCTTATAATAATATGCTAGAATTTTACTTATTTACTTATTTATTTATTTTTGTTTATTTAAAACTTTTGTATGCTGTCCCTTATGCCTTGGCATCTCGTCATTCCTTTCATCCACATATTATCTTGTTTTTCTCTCTGTATAATTATATCTTCAAATTTAGTATATTCTCTACCATTTTTCTTAAACCGATCTTTAGCCCATTGGTTTAACTGAAGTAAATTATTCCAAGTTACATTACTCTCTCCTAATATTGCCTTTATCATTCTTTGCTCTTCATTTTCTCTAACCAGTCTTTCAACCTAAAAATATGTTTACTCTTCAGTATTTCCCCCATATTATTCCTCAAATTCTGTGGAAATCCTTCCAATTCTATAATTGGATATACTGCTGAAATTGATGGGACAAGCACAAGGGGGGGACTCCAAAACCCTAGGAATTTATTTATTAAAGAGCACGTATTCGCTTCTACATGTTCAAACTTCTGTCACCTTCAAAGTATTTTCTGTTTGATGAAGTACACATACTGAGATGTTTTTTCCATTGCACAAAACAGGTTTTGAACTCGTTGATTTTTATGCCCTTTAGTGCTTCTGCTGTTGTTTGGTCTCACCTCTTCCATATTAGCAAAATGTTTCCCTTTGAAGACTTTTTCATTCAGGGAAACAATAAAAGGTCACACAGGCTGAGATCAGGTGAACAGGGAGGGTGGGGCACAAGGGTCATGCTGTTTTTTGAATAAAATTTCACCGCTGTGCCTTATTCATGTAAATCAGCCATCACAAAATAGGCAAACGCACTGAAAGAGTTTCCAAAAAAAACCTCCCTGAAGTTTTTTTGGAACATAGCCTCTTACAACAACTCAGCTGGGTACGCTGATGAAGATGAGTTCCACTCACCTAGCAGGAGAAGCCTGTACTACAACAGGCCCGCGCTCCAGAAGATAATTCCTGTTTTTTCAGTCCCTGCTTGTATATCTCTATATTTATTCCATATTCTGACTACATTCTTAAAAAGGGGGTTTCCTATCCTTTAAACAATGTTTTAATTGCCCAGTTGAAGAAAAATATTTAGTAAGGATCCCTTTGCATCTTGACATTCTAGTTTATCCCATATTATCTTACCAGGCTGTAGTATAAGATATGGTATATACTTTATTTGATTTGCTAGATATTAAAACTTCACATTGGGAGTATGTGAACCTCCTGTTTTCTGGGATATATAATATCTTTTTTTATTAATCCTTGTTTTTTATCCCCATTACAAAATATATTTTGCTATTCTTTTGAATTTTTCTCTGTTATCTTAATTGGCAACAGCATAAACAAGAAATTATTCTTAGGTAAAATCTTCATTTTAAATGCTGCTGCTGCTGTTGTTAGTTGCGAAGTTGTGTCTGACCCATTGCTACCTCATGGACAACATTCCTCCAGGCCTTCCTGTCCTCCACCATCCCCCGGAGTCCACTTAAGCTCATGCTGACTGCTTCAGTGACTCCATCTAGCCACCTCATTCGCTGCCGTACCCTTCTTCTTTTGTTGTCAATTGTTCCCAGCATTAGGCTCTTCTCCAGTGAGTCCTTGCTTCTCATTAGGTGGTCAAAGTATTTGAGTTTCATCTTCAGTATCTGGCCTTCTAAAGAGCAGTCAGGGTTGATCTCCTTTAAGATTGATTGGTTTGATCACTTTGCAGTCCAAGGGACTTGCAGGAGTTGTCTCTATAATTCATAGGCCTCAGTTCTTAGGCGCTCAGCCTTCCTTATGGTCCAACTTTCACAGCCATACATCGCAACTGGGAAAACCGTAGCCTTGACTATACACACTTTTGTCGGCAGGATGATATCTCTGCTTTTTAGTATGCTGTGTAGATTTGCCATAGCTTTCCTCCCAAGGAGCAAGCGTCTTTTAATTTCTTGGCTGCAGTCCCCGTCTGTGGTTAGCTTGAAGCCCAGGAAAATAAAATCTGTCACTACCTCCATTTCTTCCCCATCTATTTGCTAGGAAGTGATAGGAACGGATGCCATAATCTTAGTTTTCTTAATGTTGGGTTTCAAGCCAACTTTTGTGCTCTCCTCCTTCATCCACATCAAGAGGCTCTTTAGTTCCTCTTCTCTTTCTGCCATTAGAGTTTCTTCAATATTTGTTCAATAGAGCTGCTATTCTAGCAAACCACAATAACCAATGTTTCTAAATCCATTAATTTTCTTCATTTCATATTTTAATTTATCAAAATTATTTTCTTTTAAACATTGCAAGTTTTTTGTAATATTTATACTTAAATACTTAATAGCTTTATGTATCTTAACTTCTAACTTGCTCTTCATCTCTTCAAATTCTGCTAAATGTATTTTCATCTGGTCCATAATCTTAACTGGATCCCTTATTGTTAATAAACTATCATCTGCAAATAAGTTAATTTTATTCTCAGGTCCTATACCTTTTATTAAATTATCATTTCTAATACTATTTGCTAGAAGTTCTATAATGAAAGCAAACAATATCAGAAAGAAAGGGCATCCCTGTCTAGTACCTCAGACTAGGGATAGTTGTTCTGTTATACCATCATTCACTATCACAATTGCATAATTTTCTGAGTATAATTGATTTATTATTAAATTGTAGTGCACCAAAAAATCTAATTTTCATAGATGAATCAACATTAAGGTATACTTCTCATCTCTCAGTTCTTTTTGTACTTTTTGTCTTTATTTTAGTAATCTTAGTTAATAAATAACTTAGATAAATTAGTTGCCATTCCTTGACTTAGAACTCCTATATGCTTTCTCATAAATATTCAACCATGATACTTTTAACTCATTAACCCCATCCTTTTTTTAATGTCTCTTTTGAAACGCCAATGTCTGCTTTATCTATATTTATTATGGTTTCAAGTCTTTTTCCCTTTTAATTACATTCCCCAAGCCTTTAACATTCAAAGCTAATACTCTTATAGTTTTAAGTGTGTTGGATTAATAACATCTATCCTTATTGGTCCTTTGTGCACCCCCACAGATCTGTATAAGCAAGCAAACAAATAACAAATAGAGAATACCAAAAAAATAACCCAAACCCCATACACCCTCTTTATTATTCCCCAAACTCCCAAAAAACACTCTTATAAAAATTGCTACTCTGCTCCTCCTTCCCCTAGAATAACAATATCCTGGACATTGCATACATCTTCGCAGAAAGGTGGGGCAGGGGGAGATACCACTGGTGTGTTCGGCTGCCAGTATCTAATTCATATTGTCTCTGTGCCATTATTAACTCTTCCTTTTAAAGACTTCCAGTTCTATAACTCTTTAAATGTTCAAAGCTACTTTTCTCTATCCTAAATTATCTTTATCTCATATATTCTACTTACACAATATAATATTAGTAAGGTAATTTGGTATACTTATTCTCAATTTATAATCTATATACCTCAATCTATACCTCAGTTTACAATCTATAATTCACATAGTCAAGGATAAAGTTATGTTTAGCTTATTCAAGGGTAGTACTTTACCATAATTATAATTATCTTGTAAACTATTATTTGTCCTATAATAAAACCTACTTCATAGTTACCCTCCCTCTCTCTTAATAAATCCCACTGTAACATACATAAAGTAGATAGAAATTATACAACATTCTCTTCTTCTGCCTTTTAACCACCAATTATAATGCCACTTCTTTGACTCATTTAATGATCTAAACCAGAGAATGTCCACCAACTGCCCCTTCCTGTTCCTCTTTTCATTCTGGAGAAGCTTTGGAACTGTCACAAAATCCACTCCTTCCTGGTCAGTAGCTTGAATCAAAGAAACTCAACTGACTCCTCCTTTTTCTTCTGCTGGAGTAAATTCTTGATCTTGTCTTCTGTTCTGGCCCAACTTTAATTTCTTTCTTCCTCTGGTTTTTATGTATAAGGCCCCATTTATGCACCAAATAAAAGTCTTGTTCCAGCGAATTTATTTGGTGATATTTTCCATTATACCAGACTATCATATATACTGGATATCCCAAAGTATATTTAATGTCATTCTTCAACAAAGTTTTAAGTACTTGCAATGAACATCTAAACCAGGCGTCCTCAAACTTTTCCACCAGGGGGCCAGTTGCAAGCTGCCGGTGCTGGGCGGGGGCCGGAAAGGTGGTGCTGGTGGGGTGTGCGGGCCGGCGCGGGAGTGGTGTGTGCGGGTGCACATGCTGGAACGGGGCATGCAGCGAGGTGAGGCGAGGCGTGGGGGGCGTGTGCAGCGAGGGAGGCAAGATGAGGCATGGGCAGGGGTGGGCACGTGCCGCGAGGCGGGTGCACGAGGCAGCGGCTTGCTCACTTGGAGATCGTTTTCTCCGAGCGAGCAAACCGCTACCTCCCCATGCACAGGGTGGTGGGCCGGATAAATGGGCATGGCGGGCCAGATCTGGCCCCTGGGCTGTAGTTTGAGGACCCTTGGTCTAAATGATATAATCTGGAAACAGAGATCTTGAAATGCTTGGATAGGTGCATTCTTAAACTTTATTTGACCTGAATTCTCTCTCAACTTTTTCTCATCAAACTTTCTTTCATATAAAAGTTGGAGAATCTTACCAGTACATCTCTTGGGGTTAGCCTGGATCCACATTGGAGGCCAACACAATGTCTCTGTATATTATCTTCCCATTTCTCATCTGACATTATTTCTTTAACCCATGCAAGAACATCACTTCCAAGTTGCCTTTCTTCCAGTGGTGATCATTTTGGTATATTTTTCATTTCGTTTGTAAATTCCTTCTACAATCTCTGTCCTCCAAATCAATCACCTTTTTTCCAGCTCTGTTATTTTCCCAGAATGGCAAAATATGTCCAGTGTATTAGCTATTTCTTGGAGTTTCTTCTCCACCATCTACGCTTGATTATCCATTTTTGTAAAAGCTTTCTGATTTTCAATGTTTATCTGGTTAACAATAGCCTTTGTTTGTTCATTATTATCCTCTTTTAGCTGTTGAAATTCCTACAATTCCTACAATGTAGGCTACAAGACTATGGTGGGATTTGAACCCAAGTTTCCTCCAGTAGAAGTTCTCATTCTCTGAATAGAGATTCAGAACATCAAATTGATTATTATTTTGTGTTTATTGCAATTTTATGTTGTATCCTGTGAAAAAGATAGTGTGATTAGAGTCATAGTCCAGGTCTGGGGCAGATCAGGCTCAAATTCCCATCTAGCCTACTTTACAAGGTTGTTGTGAGAATGAAACAGTGGTGAAGGGAAGAACCATGTATGCTTCCCTGAGCTTCTTAGAGAACGGGTGGGATATGAATATAATAGATAAAATAAAATTCCATGAACCAAGAGTTTTATCACTTAATTTTGAGTTGCCTGGTATGACGATCTGTGCTGGTAGAGAGCAAGGGAAATTCAGCCCTTTTGATACTCTTGTATCTCTCAGTGACTTTTGGTACCATTCACTACGGTATCTTTCTGGGGCAACTGTCTGAATTGGGAGTGCATTGCAGTTGTCTGCTCCTACTTAGAGGATCAGCTTGGGGAATATTTCTTAGACCCATGGATTCTCCGCTGTGAGATTCCTCAGGGGTTGCTCTTGTCCCCTGTGATATTTAACATCTACATGAAACCATGGAGCGGGGTCATCCAGAGTTTTGGAGAGAGTTGCCATTAGTACATTGATGGCACATAGCTCTTTTTTGCCTTTTCCTTTCCAGCAGGTAAGGCTGTAGATGTGCTAAAGCAGTGTCTGGCTATAACAGTGGAATGGATGAGGGCTAACAAACTGAAACTCAGTCCAGACAATACTGAGATTCTGTTGGTGGTTGGTTCTCCTGCTCAGATGGAGAATACTCAGCTTGTTCTGAATAGGGTTGCACACCCTTTGAAGGAGCAGGTTTTATAGCTTGGTTGTCCTTCGTGATCCATCTTTGTCACTCGAGGCCTAGGTGAACTCAGTGGCTTGGAGTGCTTTCTACCAGCTTAGGCTGGTGGCCCAGCTATGCCACTATCCAGAAAGAAACAGCCTGGGTTGTAGTAATCTATGCTCTGGTAATCTTTAAATTACATTATTGCCATTATTCATGGAACTGTTCTTAAAGACAATTTGAAAGCCCATTTGTGCAAAATGTAGCAACCAAAATAATAACTAGGACGAGGTAATCCAAACATGTAACCTACATTCTGGCTTGCTTGCCTTAGCTGGCTATATGTTTCTGGTCCTATAAAGCCTTACATGGCTTGGGACCACAATACCTCTTGAAATGCCTCTCCTAACCACAGTGCACCTGGATGCTGCTCTCCACATCTGAGACCTTCCTCTGAATGCCATCTCAAAGGGAGGTTTGATAGGTGGCAACAAGGAGAAGAGCCTTCTCTGTGGTAGCCCCCAAACTGCAGAATGATTCCCCATTGATGCCCACCTGGTGTCAACTTTACTATCTTTTCAGCACCAAATAAAGTCTGCCCTCTTGTTGAGGCATTTCCCAACTCTAAAAAGTACATGAAGGTGGGTGGGATATTCCAGGCTGTTTTTCTGCAAGCCTAAATGTTTAGACTGGTCTTAGTTGCTTGGTTGTAAAAATATTGTTTAGATTTTCTAATGTAATTTTGTGAAGTTTTATTGTTTTTAATCTATATTGTATTTTTTCAAATTGTATTTATTACTTGTTGTTTACCACTCAAAAAACTTCAGCTATTGGGTGGCATGGGAATAAAATAAGTTGGGAAAAAGCTAATTTCTCTAAGGTGCTTGCTTCTTTATGCTGTTGCTATATAGCAGCAATAAACTTTTCAGCATATTCTTCAAGGCCCTTCTACAGAGTCAGGCTGAAGATAGTTTTTAAAGTCAAGTTCTTGCTCTTTTACAGGAATGATCCTTACCTTAAAAGAAACCGCAGTCCCAAAGTGTATACTTTCTGGACCTCCACAACTGGTCAGTAGTGCTCTTGCTACAGTGCTCACTTCTGAGAATGCTTTTCCAAACCTAATAAAATAATCAGTGATGTACAGTTCCAATTAATGTGTCACTTGCATTTGCCTGACTGTTTCTGGGTTAGAGTCATATTTTTGATGTTTTACTTGTGAGCAGTTCACACCCACAGAGTTCAGTCTGGACTTGCCAGTTTAAACCATTCTGGTATACCTGAACATCCTTTATATTCTAGAGCAGGGAAGAGTAGGTTGTGGGCGTTCTGAAGAGGTGGCAGTCTCTGTAGTACTATATGTCCTGGTAGAGAAGGGCAGACTTGAGGATATTCTTAGTATTGGGAATAATGGCTTTCTTTCTATCAATGATGGCTTAAACAACAAAGACATTCTGAATTTTTGCCACCTGCTCTTCTTGCCGCACCTTTTTATAAATTAGATTCTGATAGGCCTTTCTTGCACATGGAAATGTAGGAAGCATGACTAGGTGTTTTGAATGTGTGTGGTGGCAAAGATTGAGCTGTGAGTCAGTAAGCCTGTGGCTTGGCTCTTGACTCTGCCATAAACACAGAAGGTAGCCTTAGCCAAGCCACTCTCCTTATCTGTAGTATGGGGGAGAATAATGTAAGGTTATGCACATTAAACATTTTGAATGCTTTAAACATATTAAGTATTATGTTTTGTCCTCTGCCAGTTGAGCATGAGGGTGTGGGAAGTAATCCATGCTACTGCATAACTAGAATAAAATGCCATGGAAATTAATTCTCTTTATTTTATGTATTTCAGAAAAACTACCTGGAAGCAATCAGAGTGTTTTCCGGGCCATTAAAAGGAATAGAGTTGGGTAGGTACCACAGTTTAGTATGTATTTCAGATCTATAAACACTGTATTTGTTTAAATCACTCTGCGTCTCTGGACAGCTTACAACAAAAGTCTTTAGTCCGCTTCTGCATCCACATGAACAGGAAACCAAACTGATCTAACTAGACTATAGCTTTGCAGTGGTTTTTGGTACTTTGATACTGTGGCAGCTTATTTCATGACTGCTGACTATACCACTAACTTCAGAGGCATCTAGCAAGGAGCTGCCATGAGAATATGATTTACAGTGGTACCTTGGCTCATGAACTTAATCTGTTCCAGGACTCTGGTTGTGACCCAAATTGGTCGTGAGCCAAGTCAAATTTCCCCATAAGGTTCAATGTAAATAAGGTTAATCCATTCTATAACTATTTTTTAATCACAAAAATTTGAAGCAAAGTGTCAAAGAACAACAAAGATCGCGGCCATCTCCCCCCACACCCTGAGCATGAGCGTGGCCATCTCCCCCTCAGCACGACTGAGATCTTGCTCATGTTGCTTGCATGAGCGTGACCACGGCCATAGATGGGCACGATTGTGGACACTCTCGGGGCGGGGGGAAGACAGGCGTGATTGCGGGCGCGCTCAGGGGGGGAGATGGGTGCGATTGTGATCGTCACCCAGTGCAGAGTTTGCATCCTGAGGCAAATTTTTTTAGAAATCTTTGTTCGCGACCCAGTTTGGTAAATGCCTCGTAAACAGGCATTTGTGAGCCGAGGTACCACTGAATTTTCCGTATCTTTTGGTTTGTCCATGTAACTATCCAAATATACAATATTGTTACTTAGTTACATTCCCTCCTTTAAAAAAGAAACAAAATCATGCACTGAAGAGTCACACTAATGTTTAATATTTGACTTGATCTGTTACTAGCTGTGCAGCCCCATACTGATCCAGCATATCAGGATGACACAATGACTGTCTATCAAGTTCCCTTGGTAGGTGAGTAAAGGCACCTTATTTAAAAGGTAAGGAAAGAATGGATGGAGTTCAGCTTTACGGAGACCTAAACACATTGATGGATCTTTGATTTCTGACCCTGAAAGTGAAATTCTGGATTTAAGTGGGGCCAGCTGAGACTGAACATGAGCTAAGAACTGATTCAGGACTCAGATTTGACAATGAGATGTTTGACTGGGCTTCACTGCTCTTTTCTGTCCATTTCGTTAACTTTCTGTTAATGACTTCTTATCGTACAAACTACCACATGACCTCTTCACAACTTCCTTGTATAGGTAGGATGGGCTGTGATGGACTTGCCCAGGCTGTGCAATGAACTTTATTGCTGAAACAGAGACTTGTACTGGGGTCTCTTATTAAACTCAACATTCTTCATACATTATCACATTTATGCATTCCTGAGAGTAAAGACTGATCTCATGAGATGAATTCTTTTGCTTTTGTTGGTTTTGTACTGCAGTCCCTGCCACTTAACTGGTAATAGATAAATGCATAAAAATGCATAGGTGAAGTGATACCTGAGAATTGAGGTATTTTGAAGGTACCATTAGTCTAATAGCAGGTAGCCAATAATTAGATTTCACTGATAGGGCTTAGGAAGCAATGAACTGAGTATCATCTCTTTGTACTAAAGATATTCATAAAGCTATATAAAAACAGCAAAGTCGGAGATGTCATCATCTCTATCTAAAATGGTGTTCTCAGGATAAAAAGGTGCTTTTGTGTGTGTTCTAATCTTACCCTCCCCTATTTTTTCTGCAACAGGCAAAAAGCCTGAAGATTGGGAAAGGCTTCCTCCAAGGTCTCCATCACCAATTGGTGGGGCTGATGGAAAGCATATCTCAGGACCAAGATCTCCCTCTATGGAGCACCAAAGCCTGAAAGATGACACGAGTAAAGAATTCCCTGATAAAAAGGGTGAGGGAACCTTGGTTGATTCAAAAACGGTGCTTTGGGACCCACCAAGTTTAGATGTCTTGAAGGAGAATTGTTGACTTGGCAACTGTAAGTTAGGGATATTGCAGTGTAAAATTTAAGAACCTCCTCATCACTTTTGTTTTGATTCAACTTCGGTGGTGGTTATTCCTTGTGAAAAAAATTGGAATTTCTAGCATAACAAATGTTACACTAGATTGAAGTCTGTATATGCATGTCTGCAGTTTGTTTGCTTTCTCTCTGTTTGGATCCAGAGGAATCCTTAAGATGGCTTTATTTTATGTACATTGCAGTAGCATTCTGGCTGCTTTTACTCCCCTCTAGCATATGGCAGTGCTCTGGAGTAGCATATCCTCTCCTCACTCCAGAGGGTGAGAACAGAAAGGGAGGTATTTGGGCAATCACTGAAGTCTGAAATTATCCAGAGAAAAATGATAGTTTGTAGTATTTGAGGTTTATATCAAGAGAATCCTATGAGGACCATTTTCAGGATGACAGTTTAGCATGCTGGCTTATTGACAGGGTGGAATTTTATAATTTTTAAGTTTTGCAAACTGTTTGCTTCTTAAATGTGGGGTTTCTGTTTTTTCTTTTTCTTTTTGTTTTGTGTTTAAAAGATGAAAGATTCCACACTGGTCAGAAGGACCCATCTCTTGTGGTTGCATTTATTTGTAAGGTAAGAACTCCCCTGAATAAGATGCATTCTGCACACAGAAGTATATCTGACTTCTGTGTGCAGAATGATACACAGTGGCTTTGTGCCTCCACTTTAATAGTTAAGAGCTGGAGAACAATTTAGGCTGAGTATGAGCCTGATGCTTTGCTTATTAGATTAAGTAAGCATTTGCCTGTTTTTTTTTAACTGTTCTGGCTTTTCTGAGTTAAGGAAATGCTAAGATTGCAATCCTTCTGCATAGCCATACTTAAGATTGTGATGCACCAGGGTATAAAATATAAAATAGAAAAAAGCCTGTACTTGCTTGGCTTTCTTGTAAATATCTCATGTTTTTACTAGGACTAGTAAGTACTTTTGATCACGTGACATCTGAAAGTGGTGGTCTTTCAAATACGTATGATACAAATCTGTGCCTGCTTACTGGGAAATGAGACTCACAGATTTCAGTGCAGCTTGCTACCTATAAGTATGTCTAGGATTGCAGCCTTTGACTGCTTCCTTCTGCACCTAAGGTTCTCTGCCTGTTGCGATTGCTTGTTGGCAGGCATCTTTACTGTTAGATATACCTCACTTTGTGTTCCAGGCATTTTCATCATTCCTGGTGAGATCCATAACCCCTGTAGAACCATACCTGCTAACTTTTTTCCTCCTAGCTTCTCTCTCTGTTATTAGGCTCAGTTTGTTAAGGAGGTGTTTCTTTGGATTTCTCTGATGCAATAATGACCTGTCCTTTGCCATTAATGTAATTTAAAGCATTGCCAGAAATAGATGACTGAATGCATTTTGTTTACATGCAGCTCCATCCAAGGAAAGGGACTTTTTTGGTGTTGAAAGCAAAAGAGCTTGGCTTGCCTGTGTAAGTACAGAAAAGTTTCCAATAGACCTTTGTAGACAAAGACATACCACGTATTGGTCTTCTGTGATAAGGTAAATATCCCCCATTTCCCTTTTTGTTGTTGTTATTAGTGGTACAGCAGCAATTGCTCCCATCATTGCAGCTGTGAAGGATGGAAAGAATATTATGTTTGAAGGCAGAGAGGTATGACTTTTTCGATGATCTTTTTACTCGAGACTCTTTGGACATTGTTCTAGCTGTAATTCATACGCTTGTGCATGTAACCAAGCAGGGCTTCTATTCATTGTCTGGGCTGGAGAAACATAAACTAAATTATCTAATGAGTTTGTTGTTTTTGTTGATCAGTGGGAATATCTGACTGGGCAAGGCTGTGTTAAATGTTGAGGTCTTGCTTTGTCCGTAATATAAGTAAAAATAGAAATAAAATGACTAAGGGAGATTTTGAATTATCTCTCTTCTTCATTGTGGGTGGCAGTGACTTTCTGAGTGCAATAGCTCTGGAGAACTATTGGCAAGGTGTGTGTGTGTTCTTGGGGTTTTTTTTGGGGCTATGCAACCTTTGCTGCTTTGGAGGTAGAATTCCAGTTGCCAACTTGGGAGGCTAAAGTGGTGTTTGGATTTCGGGTTTGCCCACAAATTATAGCAGCACATCTACTCAAGGATTTGCTGCTGAAGAGTCTAATAAAGCATACGTGTAAGTAATGTGTGCTAATATGTGCTTTCTTCCAGATTTTGGCTGACGAAATCTGTACCGCTACAGACAAGGGTGCAGTCTTCATCATACTGGAGTGTCCTCATGAAGGCTTTATAGATGCAGTCTGTGAAAACACCACATTGCAAAGGTATGGGTATGGCTATCCGCCTTCATTTTCAGGATTGAGCGGGTGGGGGCTCCCTTCCTGTATAGCTGGCATTTGCTGCTACCACTGTGTAGGAATGATTACTTCTTTGATAAAGTAAGTCTACTTGAGGCTTTATATAGTAGCATACTATAGCAGATTCCTTATATTTGCATGAAAGGATGTGTCAAATAGGGATGTATGATGAATTCATCTGTTGGATTCCGTGGAATTGGTTTGTTCTGGGAGACGAGGCTGAGCACAAGAGGAAGCCCTTGGAGGGTCGGATTCCTGCAGGGTTTGTCCCAACCCAAACGGCATAGTAGGTATGGGAGCTGTAGGTGCTGGAAGGCTAGTGATGCCCTCCTAGACTGCAAGTAGTCCTATCTAAAGAAACTTCTGGAAATGGTGGAGGAGGCTAGGCAACTGTTCTTCAGCATGGAAGGTTCTTCCAGTATGAGATTTCCTTTTTTGCTAATTCTCATGTTTGACATGAGAGCCTCCTGAACTGTCTCAGCAATTAGGGGTGTGCAGCATTTCTTGAAAATGCCTGAGGCTTCCAGGGCCATTCCATGCTCCAGGTTCTGCCATTTCAGAAGTGATGTGAAAGCATTCTGCAATTTGGGTGGGAGAAGTAGGTCTTTTTTAAGTAAGTTGCTTAAATAGTTTGTTCGTAACTTTCCTGTGAGTTGTATCCAACATTCATCCTCCATTTTTATGGTCCTAGAAGAAATGTGGTAGGAAGGTATAAACAGCTAAGTTAAATTTGATGGTTTATATTGGTGTGCTTCAAACTAATATAGCCTTCGGGTAGTATATAAATGTAATAAGTGAATAAACATAATGAATTTTTGGATTTGGGGAGGGGGCCATTCTAAACTTCTACCACATGCTAGGCTTCTGTCCCAGTCCAGTGTTAGTCTCCTGGTCCACAGGTGAATTGAGACTCTTGCACACGGTCATGTGCATACAGCTTGCTGCCATGTGCAAGCAGCAGTGGACTGGGGAGGCAATTTCACATTACTGTTAGGCCAAAATAAGAGATCTTTGCCTTCTCCAGGAGCCATGTGCATGGAAATATCTTTCCTTTCTCCATATCATATGGTTATGATAAGGCCAGAATTCAGTTACTGAAGACCTACTGCCCAGGTCTTAGCTGAAGAGGTAAGAAGACACTCTCTGCTGTAACATCCTGTGCCTCCTTGATGCTTCACCCCCTTTCTCTGCTCTTAAAGAGGGTCAGCACCTCAGATTTGAGAACTCCTGTTTTATAATGGGTGCTTTGTTACAGGTATCAAGAAGGAAAGCAAGAGAATCATGTGGCTTTAGTTGTTCACATAACACCGGAATATGTTCTGCGGGATAGTCGGTATAAGCAGTGGCTGGAAAGGTTTGTGTGTTTACTCTACTTCTCCATACTTTAAACTGATGTGGTACAGATGGGCTTGGATCAGAGGCATTTACTAGGTGGATAGTAAGGAGTAGACTGTAAGTAAGGTGAGTGCATTGTGAGCAATGTAAACCATAGTTGTGCAAAAAACTGAGAGATTCTACTTAGGAGGCATAGTTCTAGTCTTAGACAAAATGCCTGCTCTCTGATTTTTAGGATGTCTTACTTCAAGTTTTAACATTTGACAAGGTGTGTTTGGCTTCTTTTACCCACCAGATTTGGTACAAATACTCAGCACTTGATACTGAATGAGAATTGCCAATCAGTGCACCATCTCCGCAGCCAAAAAATTCAAACACAGCTCAACCTCATCCATCCAGAGATCTTTCCAATGCTCACCAACTACCAAAGCAAGGTAGAGTCTTTCCTGGATTAGAGGGGTGTATTTGTTCAGCAGGCTGAATAGCACAGTTTAATGTCTTTCTGTCTGTATTAGGAAGAAGAGGCCATGTTCAATGTACCAGTTACACGAGGAGAGTGCCTTCTCAAATACCAGCTGAGGCCCAAACTAGAATGGCAGAGGTTAGTGCATTTGTCTGGGTGGGACAGAGACCAAAGGCATAATGAGCAGCCACTCTACTTTCTTGGTACCTGAAAGTGGAACTTGACACTGTGAGAAGCATGGAGCTACTGCTGTTCCATGGCCATCTCCTCTCTTCCCCTTAAATGCAAAGTTATTTCAATATTAAAATGCAATTTTAATTAAAAGAACAAAACGGTTTGGCACAATGCACAATATGACATTATTGTGTTGTGGAAAATGGGTGGATGTACCTCACATCATTGGTTAGTGATGTAATAGCATCGTAAATTAGCCTAAACATTAGAAGTGGGGAGATGATAGAAGAGGGATGGCAGTGTGGCAAGTGCAGGTCGCCTAACTTCTGCTGCGGGATGTGATAGCATTCTGTAAATACATGAAAGGCTGTCTCAAAGAGGAAGGACAGGATTTCTTCCTGCTCACCCCAGAGTGCAAGACGGAGAACAATGAACTCAAGCTGCAACAAACCATGTTCAGATTAGATGTCAGAAAAAAGTTCCTAACTGTTAGAGCAATATGACAGTGGAACCAGTTGCCCAAATAGGCTCTTCGCAGGCTCTTCCACACTACAGGCATTCAGAATGAAACGGGACAGTCATCTGAGTGGGATGGTGTAACTTGGTGTCCTGCACTAGCAGGTAGTTGGACCTGATGGGCTCCTTCCAGCCGGGCTCCTTCCAGCCCTACTGTTCTGTGATTCTACTTCTCCATTCAGTGGCTCTTGGAAACCATAGATTGCTCTCAGATTTCTTTGCAGCACAAGTGGCAAATGGTGACTTTGTAAGGTAGACTTGTTCTGTGAAGACTTGGTTTGCAACACTGCAGTGTGGATGATCAGAAGTGTGAAGAATTTGAAAGAGTATCTTTCTTTCAAGCTGATGTGTTGACTTCTGAGATATTGTGTGTGAATAATGGGAGCAATTTGGTGAAATGTCTAAATGCTCCCTTAGGTTTGGTAGAGTATGCTAAATGGAAGGAACATTTGGGATGATTGGAAAAAGCAAATAAATTAAAATGAATGCTAATTCTCTTCTATATCTGGTGCTCTGTTGTTTCAGGGAGGCTGTTCCTGCTTGTAATTCTGCTGAATTTGTAGCTGAAGCCTTGGAACTCCCTGACTTCCAAGATTCTGTGCAGAAGTGCAAAGAAAGTTTACCAGTCCAGTCAGTTGAATCAGGTGAATAACCTGCCTGCAGATTTGTAGAGTTGGGTCACTGTCCTAGAAGGGATGTGAAAAATAATCAGACTCTAGCTCCCTTGCTTTTCTGTAAAGTTTATATACCTTGATATATTCTCAGGGCACCTATCAGCAGTACTCAGCAGCCGTATTTCCCTACCTGTACCCCCCACACAGACGTCTCACCTTTTTTATGTATTGTTTTTTGCTGTCTGACCTCCATTATGTTTGTGAAGGATCCCTGGAACTTTTTTCAAGATAGATAGGACAGAGTGTTTTATGTCTTGGTTCTTACAATATAGAATTGATGGACATGCACACAAATATACACATATGTTTCTACACAGGATACTATATCTGCTAGGTACTCAGAACGGTTTGTGCTTCCAGTACTGAAGAAAGAAATGCTTAATAGGAAAGCTCAAAAATGATATTGCTGCTTTATTGTGAATTTAGATCCTCTGAAAATAGCTAGAACCCATGACTTAATTCACAGATTGTTCATTTTAGGTTGCCTTGTTTTGCTTTCCAAAGTTAAGCACAGAAATGCAGAATATGTCTCTATTGTGGCTATATTTCAGTTGAGCACCTTCTGATTAAGCAGCATCACCATACATTTCGCTTGCCAGTGTGAATGCCTTGGCCACTACAGTGTGTTCTTCAAGAAAAGGTTTAACTTCCAGCAAAACTATCTCAGCATTCCTAGAAAGGGAAAATACAAGTGATAGGATATTCTACTGCTACTTTTTTTTCTCTTGCTGGAACTTGTGGCATACATGTGCAACACAGAGGAGCTGGGCATTATGATTTGGTAGAGAAAACACCACCATAAAAGCAGTTTTCCACATCTTTTCTAACAATTAGACTTGCCATACTCTGCATTAGAAAAAGATAGAGGTTCTTTGAAATTGTCTCCTGCATGGCATTTTTCCACCTGATGAAGGGCATTTTTAAAGCTGGATAAGCAGTGACAATATAAAACTACTGCTTGCAGGAATAAAAGTGTTTTTCGCCTTCTTTCTAGAAAAGACAAATAGCTACCCAGAAGTTGTATTCTTAGGGACCGGCTCTGCAATTCCATCAAAAATCCGGAATGTGAGCTCCACTCTGATAAATATTAGGTAGGTACAAGATCTTGACTTACTGGGGGGCTGATTCTTTTGTACGGGGGCATGGATGGATAACATCAGTGTGAATGATGGTAGTTAAGAGTTTTATCCTTGTTCCCTGCTATATTAGTTATCAATCACTGTCTTGTATCTGTAGCAAGAGGTGTTGGCCTTCACCCATAAATACAGGTTATTTGGCTTATGCACCCACTGTTGCACTGCAAATGTACTTCGTTCTTCCTCCCTGAAGTTGACCTTATCTATGTGAAGACACAGCTAGTAGATAACTCTTTGGTATGTGACAAATGATCCCTTCAAAGATTTCTGTTTGAGCTCCTCGCTGTAATTCATGCTGCTTGCTTTCCTTTGAGCAAGCTGTGTTTGAGACCCTTTTTAAATCTAGAAAGAGCTAAAGCCTTTTTATATTTAGAAAAGCCAAAAATAAAAGGCAAGACCAACCAAGACAAACATGAGAGGAGTTGTGCATCATTGAAGTTGAGGATGAAACATTTAATTTCATCATTGTCTGAGGACTCTCAGGGAGGGCCCAGAAAAGACCTCTCCAAGCAAGGGAGTTTGTCTACAGTTCTTAGTGGTCAAATACAGTGGTGCAATTAACACCAGCAGATATAAAAATCTAAACCCACTCTTCTGCCAGCTCTACCCAGTCTCTGCTTCTGGATTGTGGAGAAGGAACATTTGGCCAGCTCTGCCGCCATTATGGAAATGAAGTTGACAAAATACTTCATAACATTGCAGCCGTTTTTGTGTCTCATATACATGCTGATCATCATACAGTGAGTATCATGTAAGGGTTGGCAATGCATATTTATCTTTTCATTTATACGTTAATATCCCTAGCAAAGTGTCTGGCATTTAACAAATCTTCTCCTTGTTCCTATGAATTCCACCAAGACATAAAAATGTCAGTTTGTCTAGCTAATTTTTCTCAGTGATAAAGCACTATGAAGCGTTAACAGTATTCGGTGCTTAAACAGCTATGCCATTTTGTTGACATCATTTCCCAAAGGACAAATGATGTTTGAAAGCAGCCCCTTGTCTCAAATTAGAACCCTAGTAAACTCCATTACTTGACTTGCCCTCTTTTATAGCTCTGAGAGTGAAGGCATCTTCTGCAGGTGAGGTCAGTTATTTTTCCCCTTTGTACAATTTCTACAATCAAGGAGACATTACTTAAGGAGAAGTGTATAAGAAGCTATTTGTCACCAATTTACAACGAGCGAAACTTCTTTCTCCTAGGGCTTGTTGAATATCTTGTTGCAGAGACATCGTGTGTTTGTAAGTACTTCATCTTCTAAAGCTGATAATTAGACTCTGGTGGTGGTGGTTAGGTGATCCATTACCCAAAGAGCATGGAGCAGGGTCAGATCTTGACTCGCTTCTGGTGCGTTCTTCTGGTTTGTCAGTGCTTGCAATATCTTCTCCCCTTACCCCTTGCTATTCTCAGAGAAGCCAGGGTCAACTTACCAGCCCAGTGATACTGGTTGCGCCTACACAGATCATGACATGGTTGCACCAATACCACGACCATTGCCAAGACTTCCTGATGCACATCAAGTGAGTTGGTACTCCTAAATGGCCTGCTTTTGTGTGACAGACTGATGTATCTTGCACGAATCAGATCAAGCTGCTGCCACTTCTTCCACTGATTGGTGTACAGCTATGAAAATGGTAGTTAATGCCCTGTGTGTTGTCTCACTTTCACAAATCATTCAAGCATCCTTTCCCCCTCTGAATCATAGTTTGCTGGGGAATACTGGGAGCTGAAGGACTATTTTCTGTCTTAACATCCACTGGATTGCAGCTTTAATCTGCTTGTGCTTTTTTAGACAGTCAAGATTGGCTCAAAGTACCTATTTTTATCACCAAATTTGAGACCTTTTATATTAATCAGATTAGGAATAAGGGATATTGCTCATGAAATATCAGTTGGCACTTTTGCTTGGCTAGCACTCTGTCCAACAATGTGGGCTGACTTACAAAATAATAATCAATTTGACATCAGATCTTGTTCCTCCTCAGAAAATGACACATTCTGCTTCCTGTATTCTCTTAGTCATGAGGAACAAGGAATCCAAGTTGGAAATAGTGGAACATTTTACAGATTTTATGGAAATGGGATTACCTTGACCTTTTCCCTAACAACTAGATCTCAGATTTTTCTGAGACTCATCACTTGCCCTCTTTTTCAGATTGGTTTATGAAAAGTGTTATGCATCCTAGAAAGCACAGCAGATTATCTGTGTATCAAGCCATCTCTTCCCTTGGGTTTGGCATTTAGAGTGGCTTAAGCAATGGGTCATTACCACTGCATGAATCACTATGGCCCTACTGGATATTTCTGAAGGTAACTGATGGAGAAATAAAGACTCCTTAAGTGATGGGATTGACCCATATTGAAAACTACTCTTGACACTAAAGCTACAGGCGAGGATGGCTCATCTTGAAACTTCAGTGCCCAGTTGAATAGTGATGCTTTAGAATTTACAGCCCTTAACCTAGCAAGTAATACAGACTGTGGGGCATGAATAGTTCCTCTTATGCAGGATGCATCTGTTGTGAGATGTACTCCAGAGGTTAACTTGCTCCCACTGCTCAGAACAGATGCAGAACACATGACCAGGCCTGGTTGTGGTTCTGGCTCCTTTGGCTCCCCCAACCCAGTTTGGGGGTTGGTGTTGCCTTGGGCAAAACTTACTCTTATTTCTCCTCAACAACCTTTTCCCAAGCCTGATTTTTCTTTCAGTCTTTGTTCCCTGTCACTCACTGAAGCGAACTTTTCTCTCTTTCTAGTCTAATCCTTTTCTCCTTCCCAAAAAATGCTATCTTCTTTCTCTTTCTTGTTCCTTTTTGCCATAAGATGGCACTGCCTAGCAAGAAGAGCTCCAAGACTAGTGAGGTAAAAGAAAAGGAGTGGTCAGTAAGATATATCTGGACTCCCGCTCCATTCACAAGAGGCACCCTGTGCTCAGCACATAGTCACCATTACTTCCAGTAAGGAGGCGTTGGAGGGAAGGCCTGTAGTGTCCTGGCATAGCTGATGCTGAGCCCCAGTGAGATTCTCATAGCAACCATTGATTCTCCAGTAACATCAACACAGGCAGTTCAAAACTGGAGCCCTTGTAGAACTGCATGATTTGGGATTGCATGCCTTCTCCATGGTTCCTGACTCAGGCTGGCCTAGACATTGCCCTTTATAACCTCGGGAGGAGGTTGTAACACCCCCAGTGAGTTTCCAACCCACAGTCAGTTTTGTTTTTCCAGAATTGTGTGGCCTGCAGTTTGCAAATGCAGTCATTTCTAAGGGTTCATATGGAGTCATAGCAACCCCCGCATGTTCCTTCCTCCTCCACAGCTTAATTGACTAAACAGCCCCTTCACTCCCAGGATTAGTCCTTGTTCAAAACAACACAACAGGCCATTAAAATGGAATTGGCTCAGCTTTCTGATCAGCAAAGGGGTATTAAAAAAAATCTCAGGAAAAGGACTTTTTTTTCTAGTTCTTCATCTTTTCCTGCTTGACCCCAGCCAAAAAGTGCACTTAAGACCAGGTATTCTGAGACTTCCAACAAAACTGTTGGTCACATCTTCTGCAGAGTCAGCCCTTGATTATTTTCACGTTTGTCTTATAGCTGAGGGAAAAATTCTCGAGTCAAAGGGAGGCTCTCCTGAGCAACTTTCCCATGTGAATTCTTGCATTTTGCTAGATGGAACAGCATCATTAGTGGGTGGATGGTCTAAACTTGGGATAGCAGAGGAACCATGATTAAATCTCTCCATCATTTAAGTCTCTGAAAACTTTTCTTTGTGTTTCTTATTAATTTTTGGTAGCTATAACCTTTGCCAAGAGAGATTCAGAATTACTGGTTCTCTCCATGAGGGATCATGTCTATATGCTCACACTCTGCTGGATCCAGCCTTCATTCCCAAATTACACTCTCTTCACAGAATGCAAGAAATGGTTCTTTCTGCCTTCTGGCCCAGTCCTTCCCACTCCTCTGATGAACTCAATTGTTCAAATTCCTTATTTGTTTTCTTTCATCTAATGCTATAGAGCAGAAAGTTGCCATGCTACTCTTATTCAAGGTTATTCAAGGCTTATGAGGTTACATAAACTCCTTAACCTGCACAGGATACAGCACATTCTACTGGGGGCTGTGGCTACCTCAATGTCTACACTGGCCAAATGCTTAGCTAGAAAAGAACAAGATGAAAGGATTCAGAGGCCAAGACCAAGGCAGAAAGCCTGGTCACATGCTGGGCATGTCCTGGGCAGTTGCAGGAATCAGCTCATAATGGATATGCCTGGATTGACCAGGTTTGTGTGATCACGGAGGTGAATTAGAATAACTGCTCCCATCAGAAGTGCTTGTTGAGTGAGCAGTGTGAGGGTGATTTACTGCTGTGGTTAACAAACCACGTAAAACTCATAGGCTGTTGTAAAGTTCTGGGCTGGCTTGTCAACAAGCCATGCACTCTAGCTTCCCATGACATTGCAAGCTGTACTGGTGAGAGTAATTATGCAGATCCCCCTGCCATGTGTGGAACAGGAGAAATAAACCACTGTGGCTTATTTTCCCTTCTTTATGATTGGGCAGTCAAGCCCAGTAAATGGCCCAAGGTTATCCAGTGAAATTTCTGTCTGAGTGGAGAGAGGCCTAGTCTCACAGCGTATTCCATATTGGTGCTTAGCCATGAGCTTAAGAATGCTAGTGATCTGTGACAAATGAGTCCTTGGATGTTCACTCTAATGATTTGGTTTCTGAAAGATATCCTTGAAAACTTACACAGTACAGAAAGAGGTATGGGGTGGTGTAGGAAAGAGCATGTGAAGGAGATCTCATTACTGTCCAAACCTGGGATTCTGTAGAAAAGGAGACTGTACGGAAGTCACACATTATCTGTTTGAAAATCATTTTTGAATGTTTGCATGTGAACCTCTAAATAGAAACAAGATACCATGATGCCATATTCCAGTCAGCCACCTTCCTTTGCCCCCTGACATTGTTGACCTCTGTCAGCTCTAATGTGCTGGATAGCTGGGTGTGCATTCTTACCGCATTGACAATATCTTCGCTAACCTCTAAGAATAAAAAGAGATGCAGCATCGTCACCTTTGCAAGATTTCACATTCCTTGTGAGACTTTGAGCGTAGTTTCTTCTTTATAGAAACCACAGCATACAGCCAAGTAGAAAGTGAAACGAGACACAGGTCATGTTTGCTGACAGAGGGAGAGAAGCCATAGTGGCTTATTTTCCCCTCTGAGTGGTGGTCATGTACTGTGGGGGATTTCTGTAATTATACTTGTTGGTGCTGCTTGCCACGTTGTGTGAACCTGCTGGTTAACAAACTACTGCAAAACCATACAATGTCCCAGGGGTTCTGGGTGGCTTATTAACTGCAGCAGTGCTGAGGCCTGCCTAGAGCTAGCTCTGCTATCCTTTTAGTGCCAGGCTGAGGCTGTCCTATAAGACAAGACATTTAATCAGCTCTGTTTAATCATAAGACATCAGGGTATTATGTCAGTTGTTGAACGGGTCTTTTGTTATTGCTGTTGTTTCAATGTAGTTTTAAATTTAGCTTTTAAATCTTGTTGTGAAATGTTTAGGAAATTTATATTATCTGTACTTCATGAAGCTTTTTAATTGTATCTTATGTGCTGTTGTAAACTGCCAGAGAGCTTTGGGTATCGGGTGGTATAGAAATAAAATAACAGCAACGACAAGCCACTCTTAGGAAGTTTGTTTGACAAGGCAGACTGAAGCAACAAGAGTAATTATGCAAATCTGCTGACAAGCACGGCAGGGAAAATAAGCCACTGAGGTTTATTTCTGCATCTGCAATCATGTGAACCCACTCACTGGGCTACTCTTGATTAAATCTGATTCTCAGATGATGTCTTACGAGCTTTGTCAGAGCAGAAGATTTTATTAAATATGAGAGCAATTGTCCAACAGGGTCTTCGGAGGGAAGATGAGTCTCATGATGGATTATGGTTAAGTGAAAGGGAAAGTGCCTAAGAGTTTAATCCACCACTACTTGATGAATGATACAGTAATATTACTACTTGGCAATTCTTGAAGATGATGATGATGATGATGATGATTTTTGATGCAATCATCTCTCTTTCTCCTTGCAGTATGATTCCTGCTCGGTTCTTATTGGAAGGGTTTGATGTTGTTAAACCTAAAGCAAAAGCATTCATTTGTTTGCTTATGGAAAAATATGACTTTGCAAAGGTAAGATGTTTGCGAAGATTTAGAAAAGAACAAGTGAAGGAGACCTCAAGCAACTAACATGCTGTGATACTCAGTTTCAGACATGTGAGGTCCGGCACTGTAAGAATGCCTTTGCTTGCTCCATGATCCACAAATCTGGATGGAAAATAGTCTATTCTGGTGACACTATGCCCTGTGAGGCTTTAGTTGAAATGGGTAGGTATTCTGTGTGCTACTGAATTGTGTCTGGGAATGCTGTGTGGAAAGTCAAGTATCTTTCCACCATCTTTTAAATGGGAAGCTTAGAAAATTCCATACTCCCCTCTTTTTAAAACATGACAAATACTGTTTTCATAGGAAAAAATGCTTCACTGTTGATCCATGAAGCAACATTGGAGGATGGCTTGGAAGAGGAAGCTATAGAGAAGACACACAGGTAAAAAATGTAGAAGAGGGATAGTATTGCCTTCTTCCTAGAAGAGAGAGGCATAAAGAAAATTAAAAGGTTGGACTCCCTTGAATCTAACCCATAATAGAAAGCATATAGAAGCACCTTATTCTCCCCTAATATCCACTTACCCAATCTGGTAAACTCCAGATATGTGGAGCTAATACACCCATCAGCCCAAGGTATGGATGCTAGGAGTTGCAGCTCAGTATTTAGAGGACAGCATATTGGAAAAGGCTGCTCTAGAAACTACATCAGACTGGTGCAGACACATGCTGTCTTTTTCTGTCTTTGGTACTTCAGTGGTTTATACTTTGATTAGGTCTGAACCCTTTAAATGTTGTGAAGTCTGTTTTGTGTTATAGGAATCTTAAAAGTAAAAAGGCTGATCATTAGATGATGGCCTGTGAGGTAAGTGGCTTTCTACCATAAAATCAAGACTTTCACCCAGTGAAAAGTTGCAGTCTTTCTCAGTCATTAGTAGGATTAGCTTTGGCATCCTTGGTTAACAAATTGAGGCCAAAGGATAACATATTTTCCAGAGCATAACTATATGATAGAGGTAGAGCTGGAACTCTGAGGTTCTGTGGGCTGTTGATGTTGTCATAGGTTTTGGAATGGTTGAACACCAAAGAAAGCTCTGAAACATAAATGATAACTTTGTTCCAACACTAATAATTTGCTTGTCCACTTTTAGCATTTTCAGTGGTGAAGGGTATCCGCCATAATGACATGTTGAGGGGAGCATATTTCACTTCATACTGTGCCAACCCTGTGTTTTTCTGTTGTTCCTTTCTGTAGCACTACTTCCCAGGCAATTGAGATTGGGATGAAGATGAATGCTGAGTTTATTATGCTGAATCACTTCAGCCAACGCTATGCTAAAATTCCTCTCTTTGACGAGGATTTCAGTGAGAAAGTTGGAATTGCATTTGATCATATGCAGGTGAGTTAAGAGTTTAGCTTAGGAGAACTCCATGGGTTCATGTACTCAGTTATTCCTATTCACAATGGGACGTTTTAAGAAAAGCAATTCCCTTCAAGCCTTCTAAAGGAAGTTTTCAGCAAATACAAAGGGGAGGGGGCTTTGGATGTCAAAGTGTTTTCTCTTGCAGTTGAGAATGCAGGAGAAGGAGATAGTAAGTGGGGGTTCATCTACCTTATCTAAACCTAATCTAGTTTGCCCCTAGCAAGCCCCGGCCATGTTTAACTCAGTTTTCTCCAAACTGGTGCTCTCAAGATTTATTGGACTACAAGTCCAATGCTCCTTGACTACACTTCCACAGCTCTTGTTATGAGTGGCAGGTATGGTGCTATCTCTAACAAGTATGTAAGTGCGTCTCCCCTGCCCCAGCCCAGCCTCAGGAAGAGAACTGGACACCAGTTCCTGAAAGTGCTTCATGCATGCTTGACCAGCACAAGCTTGGGCGACACCCTGACCACTCCACCTTCCCCTTGTGCAGTTCCAGGTCAGCGTGTCATTGGTTGGCACTGTCTGAAGGTGCATGGAGCACCTCTGGGCAGTGCTGCCCAAGAGCACATGCTTTCCTGCACTCTGCTAACTCATCTGTACCATAGGTTGCGAGGGAGAGGGCTTCTCCTGTACAGTGGAAGGCACTTTAAGAGGCTGCCTAGTGTTGTAATCCAAATTGTCGGCAGGGCTGCAGGTTGGGGGGGACTGTTGTGGGTTTTGCAGGATGGCCCCTGCTGGTGGATACAACTTTTGTGATATGGATTAGTTGGAGAACTTGATGGTGGCACCCGAAGCTGCAATCGTCCAACACTGCCATGGGTTGCACTGAACTTTTCCTTCATGTTCTCTGCACATGTCAGGAAGGATTGAACCTTGGAGAAAAGAACTCCAGGTGTTTTCCAGTATCCAGAGGACTTCTGCAGCATGTGCTATGCACAGGTTTCCTCTATTGGAAGAACATATAAGTTGTGTGTTGATGGAGATTTTAAAGAATTACTGCTACATTAATATTGGTCTTTGTTGTCAGGTGCGCTTTAGTGATTTTGCCACAATTCCCAAACTGATCCTGCCCTTGAAAGCCTTGTTTGCGGGTGAGATTGAGGAGATGGAAGAGCGAAGGGAGAGGCGAGAGCTGCGTCTTCTGCGAGAAGCAATTAAGGTTCAGGCTGCTCATGAGAAGAAGGCAACAGCTAAAATGAAACTGGACCACATGGAGGATTCTCAGGAGGATTCTCAGGGAGCACCAAACAAAAAACAAAAAACTGCTAATTGAGGAAAGCAGCAAGTAGCTGCCTTTGTGCCTTTCTGTCAGGGGAAGTGGCTTACGCATGACGGTGTTGTGCAGAGCCCTGGAGTTTCTAGGAGGCAACTGCACACTTGAGCTTGGCTCACATTGTTGCTCTTCTGCTAAATCACCTGTGCTGGTTTTACAAGTGCAAGTTCTGCTGGACATTTTGGCTGCACGGGTATCAAAATGTGCTTCCTGGTTGCAATAACCAGAAATATGGTCTAACTTGATGGACATATTTTATGTTTTTCCTTTTTTAAGAATTTGAGGCAAGAGTTGAAAGGTGATCCTAGGCCAAGGGAAATCGGGCTGCTTCAACTAGTGGGGATAGGATTTCCACAATAAGTGAAATTGCTTGGGTTGTTACTTCCTAAATATTTACCAGTTTTTAGGTGATGAGTATTTTACAGTACAAGAGGATGTGATGTAACCGTGCATGCCTCAAATTAGTACTAAAGACCCAGGATTATGATTCCAGTATTCTTCCCTACTTAAGTATTAGCAGCACAATGCTGTAGGTACTCTTTGTACACCCACACACAGATTAATTCAGGAAAGTAAATAGAATTTACTGAATACATTACTTTGTGTGCATGTTATTCCAAACTACTTAATCAGTTTTATCAATACAAGGAAAAATATTTTAGAATTGTGCTAATCTATATTCCTGCCCTTCTAATTTATTACAAAATAAATTTATCCTCTGCTCATGTTATCTGTGTGTGAGGAACCTGTGAAACTTCAGCTGCCAGGACTCCACCTGCTCTCACCACCAGCTGCCATGGTCAGTGGTCAAGGATGATGAGAGTTGTAGGCTAAACGTGTTTCTAGGTGGGACTGTTGTGCAGTTTTCTGCTTCACAGAAGGTTGTTCACACGATTGAACAGCCCTCCATTTGTTTAAACCATGATGGTGCATGCATGGGGTGGCTTGTGTGAGGGTTAAACATCCTTCATGGAAGTCATGGTATGTTTCAGAGCTCAGAGAGGGTTGTTTAACCTCCACTGGGTTCAGAGAGCACAATAAGCTATGGTGGTGGCTTGAGCAGTCAAAAATGGTCTGATGCACCACACAGCTGTGGTGATTGTGTGAACAAGGTCAAAATATTATAAGGGGCCCAGATGGTATCTTCAATTTATAACTCATTGGTGTTTGCCTACAACTGCTTCTGTCATGTTTCTAACTGCAAACATATCTGTTAGGGAGGGAAGGACAGAATAGCAGTACAGTTTGCCTTGGTTGGTGATGCTATCAGCTGTTGGTCTGGAAACACAGTGTCCCCTGGAGGATGAAGGTTCTCTATACCTACTTTATGCCTGGCCTTTAGCTAGGATAATACAATTTTACAAATGCAATATTTAGCTGCATCTTTTTCAGTTGCATCAGACATTTCTGTAAAACCCTGTTGTTATGAGGACAAGTTTGAGAGCAAGAGGAGGAGCATGATGTAAGCCACTTTAAGTCCTTTGTAAGAAAAAAAAGCAGGCTATAACTCTAATAAAATAATAAAGAGAAGTCCAGAATGTGTAAGAGGTAAGGTATGAAGCTAAAGCATGACCTCTTACTAACATAGGTTCATAATCACTGCAGTTGTAGGATAGGGAATAACTGTTCTGATTCTACTGAAGTAATCTTGCACTAATTGTGAGTGTGTACAACAGATGTAGTATATTATTTAAGCAGAATGTAGGAGCAAGCAAGGTGTCCTGCACGAAAGACGTTTTGTGCTCTGCTAAAGCAAATTACAGGTGAGAGAGAAATCAGCAAAGCCTGCTGTAATAGGTTGATGATAAGAGGAAAATACATTCTTCTTGCCATGCTGCCAGGCTTATTCTGTAGGTAGTAGTGATTATTTTTGACTTCATTCTCACTTCTAGCAGCATTGCACAAAACGATCACTAATGTGTGTTACTTCAAACTGCATTTCCCTTGTTAACTTCTTGGGGACTCAGCAGAAGTGTACTGGAAATTGACAGTGAGCTGTTGTTGAAAGATACTCCCACAGTTGGTGTGCTAAGCTGAAGCACATTTACTACAAAGTAACTCTTGGATTAGTTTTTGAGCTAATACTAGTTTAGGAGCATTGGTAGCATGCAGCAGGTAAAACGTTCTCCATACAAATGCATCCTACAGTTCCCTTTTAAAGTAACAGGCTTGTTGCTTTTTGTATCCCTCATGGCTGTCTAGTAGAGCCTAATTCAAAATTTAGAAGCATTCAGTTGCTCACTTTGTATTCAGTAGTAGGACTGTGGTATGGAGGAGAGTGGGAAGCAAATCTCCAGTACTTGCTCTAGAATATAATTAAGGTCAACTTGGCAGAAAGTAGTGCAGCGGGAATAAGGTTGCAAAGTCTAATGCATGTGATGCTTAATATGGATTGAAGGCATCTTAACACTGCCACTCTTGCATTTCTTTGGTAAGGAAAGGCAGCCACTTTGGGAGGGGACATGAGCAGACCAAATGGTGATCTGGCCACTTCTGCAGGGACTCTCACTGCCTGGGACCTTCTTCCTGCAGTGCTTTGGGGTGGGGAGCTTGACATTAGGCAAAGGACAGAAGGGTACTGGCTGCTCCTGCTGCACACCTCTGAGCAGGGATGATCGGAGGTAGGACTGCCTACAGGCAGAGCATGAGCAGCGATTTTGACCTGCTTGCTAGCTTTCTCTCTTGGTAAGTGTTGGATTCAGACTTGGTCAAGGAAGGTGCAGCCATCTGCACCCCTCTCCAAGTGCACTCACTTGCACTTTCTGCCATGGTGTTGGGGATTGGACCCAACCAGCCCAATTCTCCCGGTGCATTACTTGCTGAGAAGAGGTGATGAGCAGGTAGAGGTGGCAGCTGCTCCTTTTAAGGAGTGATAGGCAGTGAGAGGGTGAGCAAGTTAACCCTCTGGTTAGCTGCCACTAAGCCCAGTCTTTCCTCTTCATTGACTGAAGAGAGGATGAATGAGCAGGCTATAATATTGCTCAGAGAGAAGGTTGCTGAATATTCAAGGACTGTGGTGACTATCATTTGCTCCATCCTTGCTGCTGAAAGGGGCTGATCAAAAGCAGAAACACTGCGCTGCTCCATGTATTTGAGGAAGTGGACTATAGAGTCTACAAAAAGTCTATGCCAGAATAAATTTGGTAGTCTTTTGGAGGTGGTGTGGCTGCTTGCACTTTCTGGGTAGCAAAGAGGATCTGACTCACTGGGGAATGACACACTTGTTATGCTGCTCCATGAATTTAGGTCTCTTTTTACAACCATCCCTGTATGCTTTACTCCTGAGAGTAGGGACATGAACAGGTGATGGAAGTTGCCTACACTTTAGCTACCACCAGGGAAACCACGGGCTACTTCATTTTTTACTAGGAGTCCGACGTCAAACAGCTGGAGCCTGATGTTGACAACCGAATTCTTGTAGAGTTGTTCAGAGACTGAACGTAAGAGAGAAGACATAGGAGTAGCGGCTGCCCTCCCTTGTTCGCAAGCTTCCCTGTTGCCCCTACGCTCGCCGAACTCGAAGAGGCGGAACTGGCGGGCAGACACTACGAAGGAAGGAGGCTCTGGGTTCCTTAACCGGGGCTACGGAGCCATCCGTTGTTGCTCTTTTTCAGCGCAAGGAAGAGGAGGAGAAATGTTGAGTGCGTCGCTCTTCAGCTGTTTGTTTTCCCTCCAGGAAAGTGACCGTGCCAAGCAGTCTTCCAAACAAGTACAGTATATGGATCACATGTAACGAGCCCCTGCGAAGCACCTTTCATTTTTATGTGTGCAGAAACACACCTGCCTTTATTACCCTGCCCTTTCCCACCAGCACACAAGTTAAATACATACCGCCTAGAAAACAGGCGGGGCCGCCGCTACTTTCCAAGGACTTGGACTGCCACGCTCGTGGCACCAACCATTACTCATGTGGCTGCGGTTTGCAGGAGTCGCAGTCCGGAAACATGGCGCGCAGCGGGTCGCTCGCCACAGCGGCAGCCGGGCTGGCAGCTGGCCAGCCAATCTCGCACTCCCCGCTGGGCAGAGCCGCCCCGTCCGCCCTCGCCGCGACGAGGGGCGGGACGGCGTCCTCCGTTCCCAACGCAACCGCGGCCCCGCGCCAAGCACCGAGCGGAGGCGCCATGGGCCGCGCGGAGCAGGAGCCCCCCCAGGATGAGGAGAGCCCCCCCGACTGCGACCCCCGCGCCCGGCGGCTCGGCGAGTGGGTGGCGCGCAGCCTGCGCGTCGAGCCGGACCGCTGGGCGCGCTGCGCGGGGAGCCCCGAAGCGCGGCCGCTGCTGCGCGCCTTTCTCGACGGCGACCCGGCGCGGCGGCTGCTGCTCGTCACTCCGGGCGCGGGGGGCCAGGTGGCGCTGGCCGAGGGGCTCGCTTTGGCCGCCGGCGCCGGCCGCTCGAGCAAAGGGGTCTTCCTGCTGCGTCTGGCTCCGGCGCCCCTGCCCTCCCCGCCCGCCCCCGGGCACCTGCTGTACGGCGACCTGGCCGCAGCCCCGCTGGACCATCTCGCCACCTTCGTTGAGGAGGTAGGGCGGGACTGGCCGGGCAGACTGTGCGTTCCTGCCAGAGGTGGGTTTGGGCGCAGGGCTTGCCCCTTCCCTCGCCATCCCTGCCGCAGCGGCGAAGCAGACGGACGAGACGAGCTGCTGAGTCTTTTATGGGGCCTCACTGTATCCTGCGCCGCTGGGTAGCGCTTTCCTTGCTGATGTCCCTTCCTCGGATTTTCGGGATGCGTGGTGGTGGTAGTGGTTTATCACGTGACTGCTAAAGGCTTTTATGGTGTACTTCTTATGCAAAAACCACACGATATCTTATGATATCAACCAGCACAGGAAATAAGATATGGTAGCAAACCTATTATAAAGCAAAGATCCTTCTTGTATAACTGTGGATTTGGGATTTTTGTTTCTCATGAACTGGCAATGGCTTATTTTTGGTTCTTCAAGGTTTCTCTCTAGAACATTTGCTAAGGAATAAAACTCCAATCCTGCAAATACTTTCCAGTGAACAAATCCCACTGAGCTTAATATGATGTACTCATGAGTGAGCACATTTAGGATTACACACTAAGTTTGATATTTCCCCATCTACAGCTGTCTTTGTAGCCCCAGTTGTTTCCCTGCCCCACGCTTTATTGTAGTAAGTCAGACAACTTTTCTTACTCCACAGATCTCTATAGCCATGGCTGGCCAAAGCCACAAATGGCATCTCCTGCCCAAGCCCTAGTCAAGGTTCAAAGTAGTACTGAAAACTGGTCAAGCTGCTGGATCCTTGAGAGAGAAGGTCCTACACGAACCTCTCTCTCCTTCTGTTGCAGTGAAAATACCATAATAATTAATGGGATAAATTATGAAAAAGTTGATGTTTTTCCATAGTGTCCTAAATTAGCTGCCTCGAGTGGCATGCATGTGTAGAGGAGCCTATCCTGTGAGCAAAGTGATAACAAAGTTTTCAAGATTTATTATTGCTTGTTGCACAGGAGCACAGAAGCAAATAAGCAGACCACATGCTAAATAGTCTTTACAGTGCCAAAAAACTCTTCCTTGAAAATCCAGGCATTCTTTATTTTTATAGTAACATTTCTTAGACAGAAAATGAAAGCAGGCATGTAACTGGCTCTGCTCTGAATCTACATTTCCCACCTTTTGAGGTTTGTATCAGAAAACAATAGGAAAGCTTCATTTTATATGTTAGGAGTAAACATGTGTGCCAACATTTTTGCATTCTCCTTGAGAGGTGTGATGTGGGTCTGTCAAGCTGAGCTCCCATACTTCAACAGTTATAAGCACACCACTGCCTTTGAGCACTTATAACTCTGCCCCATGCATCAAGCCTTAATTCTAGTTATTTAATGCCCTGCTTTCTTACCTGCCTACATGATCCTCCTCTTTCTCCAGTTCATTTGATCCTCACAACAACCCAGCTGAGAGACAGTCTTAGTCCCAAAGTCACCCAGTGAGCTTCATGGCCAACTGAGGACTAGAACTTGGATCTCCCAAGCCCCAGTCCAGCATGCTAACCACTGCACTACACTGGCTGTCAGGGTTGGCCCCCGGCAGCTGTCATTTTATTTTCCCAATACGGGAAGAACAGTGCTAGGTGAGTGGCTGGCTAGCCAGCACCTGGTTCCTTTTAAGTGCCTGGGTTTACCGGTACAATTTGAGAATACCCTGCTCTCATATGACTATATTTATTTAACTATTAGTTGTATATCCCACTTCTTTTCCTTCCAAGCAACTTAAGGAGACTTCTCTCTTCCTGTTGTCAATCTCAACAACAACCCTGTGAGGAAGGTTGGGTTCAGAGTCTGTGACTGGCCCAAAGTCACCCAGTTGGCTCCATGGTTGAGCAGGACTTGAACTCAGATCACCTGTGTCCCAGTCCCATGCTCTTTACCACTACATCACACTGGATATAATTGCTATCTGTTCTCGAAGCACTAAACCTCTTTGTCTGAACTGGTCAAATATCCATGATTCAGATTCTTTCTGATTTTGTCTAGTTCTTAATAGATATGCAGTGCCTTATGTGGAGCATGAGAAAGATTACACAGAACTTCCCAACCTGTTTCCTTACAGATCAGTTAACTCTTAGCTCCCATCATTCCCAGTCAGCATGCCAATGGGGGCTACAGCATAAGGGTTTCAGTTTGGAGGGCACCAGGCTAGTGAAGGATGACACAAATAGAGAAACATGGTCTTATGGTGATGTTAAAAAAAAAAAAAAAACTCAAGCCCTTGCAATCCGCAATGCAACACAAGTGTTAATATGAATAATGCTATGTTGGTGTTGTTCTAGTGCCAATAGTATTTGGTGTTGAGATGGGATTCCCTGGAAAACTAGCGTAGCAGCTAACCCTCTTGGTGTTGCACTGGTAGTTTCTTAGGTTAACTCAACATAATTTGTGTTAGTACTCGTAGTGTTGTATTGGATCCTGCCTATTGTCTATGTGTTTACCTTTGAAAAGAACTTCCATTTGTTGGCAGTAGAATGGTTACTGTCACAACAAGGTTGTTTCAGAATTAATCTTTAAGAATGTTTCTTTTGTTCTGAAAGTTGCTGAGGAACTAGAAGACACAATCTCAACCCACCAACAAGGAAATGCAGGGAAAGGCTAGGCACCCATCTAAGTGCATCTTTAAAGGCAAGGGGCAGTAATACAGTGGCGGAACACATCCTCTTGCATGGATGAATCTGGAAAACCATTGCTAGACAATACTGGCTTTAGGTACCAACCATCTCTGGTGAGAAGAGAGGAGGAGGAGGGCTAGGGATTTGCTGCCCTCTGCAGATTCCATCCCTCCCCTTTGACCATCCCGGATAAAAGGTGAAGTGGAAAAACATGTTTCAAAACAGGTTTTGTCTTGCTAAATTGTAATACTCAGAATTCAGTGGTGCACAGGTACTGCAATTGTGGGAGAAAACAGGAATATTGGGAAGAAGTAGTGCCAAGGCAATAAATTGTGGAATGTGTTGTGTGTTATATGAGTAAGCCAGAGGTTGCAGTACCACGTAAAAAACCCTCTCACGTTCATTGACTTCTAGCCTTCTGTTCTTAAAGGATAAATGTCTCCCCAGACCACTTCCCTTGCCTGTGCAATGTTTCACAGTGGTAATCTGAGCTGCTGGTTTCAGGTGCTTTAAGGATGTCTGAAGACCCATTTCACATAGTTCATATGGAGGGACAGAGCAGCAGTCTCTCACGGATTCAGGAATCATGTGACTGTAAGGAATTTGTACAGCCCTGCTGTGATCTGGCTAAAGTGAGAGTCAAGTCAATCAGTCTCCTTGAAGTGTTGTGCCTTTTTCTGTATTTGTTTCTCACCTTAATATATCTGAATTGTTACAGGTGGTGGTGCCACTCTTGGCAAACCAGAAAAACCATCATAGCTGGCCCCATGTGGTGTCACAGGATGTCATCCATCATGTTGCCACTCTGAAAAGTAATGTTTTTGTGATGGTTGGTCAAGTTAAAGGCAAAACCTTGCTGCCTCTTCCAGCTGACCTTGACAGGGATAAATATATAGATTTTGACAGTGAGAAAACGTAAGTAATAATATTTTAGGTACCGACTAAAAACATTTATTCATTTAGTTACCATTTTAGGTGGTAATTCTTTTTTCTCCAAAGTATTGAATGAGACTAGTTTGTTCCTCCTCAGTCTTTGCTCTGTGCTAATGAAGTGGTGAGTTTTTATTAATCAGCTGATCTTTGGTGGAAGTATAGTATCCTTTTTTCCTATTAAAATCGCTGTATATGTTGTTTTGTGGGTGTGCTTCTGTGTGTGTATTTTACTAGAAAGAATTCAGTACTTTGAACAAAGACTTGAACAAAGTCATGCAATTAGGTGTTATGAATGTGGAATTGTGATCTTGTTCTCTTTGAATCGACTTGATCCAAGATGTCAGCTGCTTTCAGGTTCCAGAATCTGGGCTTTTTGCTTAAGGTTTACTTTAGAGCACAGTGGTGTACTTCTTCCATTCTATATGTAGACTCTGGTGGCTATTGCCTGTTATAATGAGATGCTGGACCAATTGTGCTGGGGAATTGAAACAATCAGAGATGGGGAGCTGCTGGCCTGCAGGGTTTCCCTATCCAGCTGACCAGCCCTGTGCACAGGGAAGTGTGGAATGATCCCTGCACATGGAGATCACATCTGCTGTCGGGGCGGGGCTTCAGCGAAATGGTGAGGCTGACACCATCCAGCCCCCAGGGGTGTCTTAAGAGGTGACCTGGCCCTTGGAGCTGGAGCAGTCACTACCCCTCCTTTAAAGGTTACAATACAGCACGGTTACTCTAATAAAAGAGAAGCATGGAAAGGTAAGACTCAAAATGTTATAACAATATTGTCCATAAGAATAGTTTGGGTTTGATGGGTTTGTGGCAAGTCTCATGTTGCTTCACTGTGACTTTTAGTTCAGATGATATATTTACCAATCTACCTTCAATCTACCACTGTCCAATGGGAAACAGACTGGTCAGCCTATATTCTCATTTTTTGCAGCACGGAACTTGTGGATAAATCTATTGTGCATGCCATTGAATCAGCTGTTATTGAATGGACCCACCAGATCCAGGGTGTCCTGAAGAGAGAATCAGCAGAACTGCTTCTCCAAGGTCAAGATCCCAATCCAAAAGTAGAGTTGGATTTTTGGAAGAACAGGTACATAGTTGATCTCATTCCATATTGAAAGTGAATATCAAGGTAAGGCAACATTTGGGGGCCCACAGGCACATGTAACCATTTTGGGGTGCATGTGACTTTTTCAGATCTGTGGGCACATTTTACACTGGGGAACATGGGCACATTTTCTCTCCCTGCTAATTCCCACTTTTTTGCAGCCTCTTTCTCTACTCTGTACAGAGGAGGAGGAGCTACTGTAAGTGGCCAGTTGCAGAACTAAACTAAGCTTTTGGTATGAACTGGACTCTAGTTGGTGTTGAGTAAGAGGATGGGAATATTCACTGCTGTTAACTGCATTAGAGTAGGGCTGGCTTGCTGTTTATGGCCCTCACTGCCTAACATTGGTTGCCAATATAAGGCAGTGCAGTGGCAAAAATAGTCCTTTGTCCCTGAACTTCAGGGACAAATACCACTTTGCTGCTGTGGCCAAACTGGCAGTATAGCAGCAGCAGTTTGGGGATCAGCAGGGAGAAGTGCGTTCCCTAGCAGGGTAAATGGTCTCCAGAACTGTTGAAGTTGTCCATCCTAAACTAGAGGTACTTAGTTTTACGGTTATTTATTTGCTCAATAGCACAAGCAATTATTTTGCTTCCTCAGATCTATTTGTCCTGGGAGCACCCTGAGACTTGGCAGGTGCAGAGGCTGTTTTGCTGCAAAGGGAAATATGTTGCCTGATTATCTGAAACCAAATGCATCTTTGATGGCTGCTTCTTCTTTTGTTTGTTTAGATGTGAGGATCTTCAGTGCATTTATAGCCAGTTAAAATCCAGGAAGGTTTTGTCCCTGGTGGAACTGCTAAACAGAGTGCAGAGCACCTACTTCCCAGCATTCAAATCCATGTTCAGAGATGTAGAAGCAGGTGAGGTTCTGCAAATGTGAATGACAGCATGCAGGCGTAGAACAATACACTTTATTGGTTGTCATCCCCAGAGGTCAGCTTCCTGAGTTCCATTATTTGCTGAAAGTTTGTAAAGATTTTTACAATAAAAGAATTCTTTCTCAGTATTACTGTGACTATACAGGGCATAGGACACTCAGTCGGGCCACTCATTTCCCATAATCCCCTTCCCTTCCCTTCCCTTCCCTTCCCTTCCCTTCCCTTCCCTTCCCTTCCCTTCCCTTCCCTTCAGGACACTGATTTAATGGAGGTTTTGAGAAGGGTAAAGTTGGATTAAATTTGATGAACAAGAAGCCAAATTCACATAGGTCCACTTCACTAAATTCATGTTAAATATTGTGGTTTGCAAGACATCATCTAGCTGATTTGGGAACTTAGATTGGAAAATTAATTGTGGTTTAGATCCATAGCCACTACTCATTTAAGTTCCATTTATTTCACTGAGTCTGCTGTAGATATGACCAAGCCTGGATCCAACTTTGTAACTAGGTTTGCATATCATGCAAAGATATCATGGCTCTGAACCCACCATGGCCTTGAGGTGTTGTCCAAACTGAGAGCCATGGTTCAAGGTGGCTGCTTTGTGGTTTTGAAGCCACCACAACAAGCCATGGCTTGTTGTAGGGCTTTGCTCTGCTCTCTGAACCAGAATCAAATTAAAATAATAGTTCAATGGTACAGTGGAAGTTGCAGGGGGGATTCAACCCACGGTGGGGAGTGGCTACATACTGGATCACATTCGGGTACTCTGTTTTTCAGTTTCCCTTTTCTCTATCAATACTTTAAGAAGAGATCCTAGTTCCCGCAGGTTTTTAGATTTCATTGTTCTGTGATGTGTGAGTCTCAAGTTGCTAACATACTCTATAATTCAAAATCCATCTACAGAATCTGTTTTTCAAGGAATTGTTTTTCATACTATTTCTGAGACATACATGCTCCCTTTTTTATGAAACAGGCCCTCTTTCATGAAAGTCCTTTCTCTGTTTTCAAAAATCACAGCTTTGGTTGAGGCTCAGGATATAAACATGCACCTAAAGCCCCTCCAGCACCCTCTGGAAGAAATGGAGAATATTGAATTTTTCGAGGTGAAGCCCTTGCTAAATCGCATGCTTCATGTGGTGTGCTTCATCTGGGCGACATCCAAATATTACAGCACACCTGCAAGGGTAATTGTGCTTCTTCAGGAAATATGTAATCTCCTCATCCAGCAGGTAAGGTCATGAAGCAGTTCTAACCTTTGCTCTGCATTTTTTCTGAAAAATAAACTGTTGATGTTGCTCTATGGCATAGTACGAGGAACTCCTGTCTTACAAAGTATGATGAGTCTTTCCAGGGGAAGCGTGCTGGTTAGTATCACAACAGCTATGGTCAGATAGGTACTTGTCATATACAGTATGGTCTTAATAAGTGTAAACCAACAAGGGGTTTTGGAGGGAGCTGGAGACAGTTGGAATGCAGAAACAACAGGGTTTCCAGTCATATGGAGCAGTGTAAGCATTTGTTGCCCAAACATGCCTAGCTTAGCTTTGCAGACACTCCTTGTAAACACTGTGGTTTGGGAGTCAAGGAGTCAAGTCAAGGACCAGAGCACACAGGGCCAGCTCCCATCTCACTTACAGAGCAACCAGTTTTAGACACCACTCCAATTTGCTTTCCAGACAGATTTTTTAAAAAGGCACACGCCCTCTGGAGTTTGTTCTGTTCTATATAGAAATAGATCTTTTCGTGTGTGTGCATGTGCGCGTGCACACATTTTGCTTTTCAGGGATTATAAAGCACCTCATCATGAGTTTGTTGTGATGTCACAGTTGCTTCCAGGAGGTTGGTGTTGGTGTTGTGATTTTCCTGGGTCTTACCATCACAACAACCCTGTGACATAGTTTAGGCTGAGGGAGAGGGAGATTCAGTGAGAGTGTGACTCACCTACAGTCATGGAGGGAGCTTCATGGCTAAGCAGGTACATTTCTCTGATTGAAGTCACAATATAGTGTCCACTACACCAATGGCTCATAGAATGCAGTTTAGCTTATGGGGACTGCAGTGTTCATGGAAATGGTGTTGCTTTTTTGTCTACAACAGGAAGCTGTCTTTTTCTGGTGTGTTCTTGGTTTTGCTGAGCACCTTCTGCATCATGATGTTTGAGCTCTTTCCCTTTTGTGTTAGTGGCAAGTTGGATTTGAGAAATTTCCCTTTTCTTAGTTCCTCATTTGAAGGAAATATGAAAGATGCACAGGCTCCTTTTCCTTCCTGCATGACATATATTTAAACATTTAGCACCACATTTGTGGACAAATAGATCTCATTCCCTTCTATGTTGTGTACCAAATTGGATGAATCAACATCACTTTCCCAAATGAATGGCTAATTTATGATGCAAAATATCAAGTGGAGAAGTTAGTGTGAGGTATATTGAAAAACATATTTTTCCTTTAATTATTTTTGTGAATGTCACAAAACAAAAATCATTTATTTATTAGATTTATATCCCACCTTTTCTTACACTGAATTCAAAGCAGCTTTCATCATTCACCTCCTCCTGCTCTCAATCTTATCCCCACAGCAACAACCCTGACAGGTAGGGTGGGCTGAGAATCTGTGACTGGCCCAATGTCACCCAGTGGACTCCATGGTTGTGCAGGACTAGAACCCAGTTCCATGCTCTTAACTGCTACATCACACTGGCTCTCCAAATAATCTAAATAAGCAACAACAGCAGCAACAAAAGTGAAATCCCTCCAGGAACAGTGGGCCCATCCTCTGAGCTGCATTAAATGTTGGTCTTTTCTGTTCAGATTAGACTGCCTGCTGTGGTCAGTTTGGAATTCTCTTGTCTGAAGCCATTGCTCCAGTGGAGGGCATTAGGTGTCTGGCAAAGTTAAAACAGATAGGGTTCCTCCTACTGCAAGGGTTGCTAGAGAAGTGTGGCAGGCAATATTGCATCAATTACAGTTTGATCCATTCTCATATGATAAATTGACGTTATCCCAAAATCTGGATCTAAACATAGTTAAAAATATTCTTGTGGCAGACTTGGAGGAACAGGTTGATTTTTTACCTTGAATTTATTAGCGAGAGAAGATTGAGTTCTTGTAATGTTCTGGTTAGTGCACAATGGGTGAGTGGCAGTATTTACAATCATGACATTTGCTGGATTCTAGGTTTGCTCCTGCAGTTTTTATAGAGTCTTCTTTGCCATTGGAAATACCTACTGAAGCTGACTAGTAATGCCAGCCCATGATTCATGTTCAGTGAATATGTATCTGACAGATCAAATTTAATGGAGGAGGGAATGGGAAATTGGAATGTCCTGTTAGGCCAAAGCTCTGGACTGCTGCTTTAATGTCTACATCTGAAGTATCAGTGGACCTCAGTCCATGTCTTGTTCAACAAAATCTTGTAATCTGCTTTCACTGGATTCTAGAACAACTTCTCAATGAGGGTTTGCCTAACTGCTGGAGATGTAATACTGCTGATGCTTTTTTAAAATCATAAAGAATGTCTCAACAGTGTCTAGTAGGTGGGCCTTTTTGGGCCAAATATCACTGCTTGATATTTCTGATGTGCATGTTCCTTTAAACTATCTACCAATTTCTTGAAAGTTAAAGCTTGGTTTTCTGTGCCGTTTTGACAGTTGATACTACAACACTGGAAAGATAACTTCCTGTAATACAGTGGATCAAAAACTTAATGTGTTCAGTATTTGAGAAGATGACATAAAGGTGGCATTCTCAAATGGTCATATATAGAGATATTTGATCTAACTTTGTTGAAGCTTAAGTATAATTGATACATCTGAATTTATGCTGTTATTTTGATATATGCATATCAACAGTGGTTGATTTCAGGCTTTTTTATGGTCTGTCCTTCAGTGTCTTTTTCATTGCTGGTTGTATTAAAAATGTGCATATTACTGAAAAAAACAACAAAGCTGTTTTTCTTTTCCTGCTTTGTCCAACCAGGCCAGAAATTACCTCAACCCAGAAGATTTGCTTAAAGGGGAAACAGAAGAAAGTCTGGGCAAAGTACAGAAAGTGTTTGATATCTTGCACTACTTCAAGCAGACCTTTGAAGAAAGAAGAGAAAATCTCAGTGCTTATTTTCAGCCTGGTCAGGAGGCAAAGCAGTGGGATTTTCTTTCAGTAATGGTTTTTGCACAACTGGATAATTTTCTGGAGAGGCTCCATGTGGTAGATGTAAGTATCATCCAGAGTTACCTGTGCACAGAGCAATGCATTTAGTACCATAAATATGTATTTGCTTATTTATTTGATTTATGCACTGCCATGCTAACAAATGATTTACATTCATTAAAAACTCAAAGCTTTCTGTAACTTGTTCCTCCTGCAAGCATATTTCGTTGCTCTTTGCTTCAAGGACAGGGGCGCTGGATACTGGGAAGACCCAGCTTAAACCCTCCCAGCTTAGCTAAGAAACTCACAGGTATGCTTTGGCAAGTCGTTCCCTTTCAGCCTTATCTATTTCACAGGGATGTGGTGAGCATAGAATGGGATAAACTCTTTACAAGCTACAACCGTGAACTCATTTGAAGGCATGTGGGATGCAAATGTTCTAAACAAATAATACTAAAGCTTAAAGCAGGATCAGAGTTTACAGATAACCTGCTCCGGATTTCTCAAGCATTTGCCTAACCAGTACAGATTTCTGCTGCAAGAAATCGGCAATAGCTGTCAGGATTTCAGAACCAGAGAACAGTGATTCTCTTGATGTGTAGGCTTCATCATCCTTCACATTATCTTTTAGTACTAGTGAAGGTCACACTGATAAAATGGGACTGGGTACAGATTAAAAGATCCTGAGAACTATAAAATGCAGTGAGTATTTATAGGGCATGCTTTCTATGCAATACAAAATCTGCTTTTTGGCATCTTGTACTACAGCTTTTACTTTGGGTGTTGATTTTTTTAGGCATGGACTAATCCCCCAGACCTAGTTTCTCTTATAAGGAATAACATGGATGTTGCCTTCTCCTTGTTCAGGTATTAATGGAGAAAGAACATTTTTTGAAAGTAGCATGGACCACTATGTGCCATCTTCCTAGGTACTTGTACTTAACTCTGAGCTTTATGTGTCTCTGTGCGATAGCCACTTCCTGTGATTGCATAATCACTATGGCTTTAGAGACACAATATCTTGCTCATGGGGTTCATGGTGTAATGATAGCTGTACTACACCACAGGCTGGATTCAGAGATGCATGAGTAGGTTCCAAAGCAGATGCACAAGTGGTTCACATAAGCTGCTTTTGCCTAATTGTCACAGTCTCTCACTATAGTTCCCCCTCCCATTGAAGGCCTTTCTTTAGGGGCGCGCAGGCCTAGAGAGAAAGGCACAGGGGCAGCACAGAGAGCCGTGATGGGAAGGAGGCGGAGGAAGTTCCTTGGTATGAGCAGACTTCCACTTGAACTCCACTATAGATTACAACACCATCAAGAGTTAAGGAAAGTATGTCTGGGGATAGAACTGTACATCAGAAATACTAAAAACAAGTTGATAGATATAATGTCATTTTTATTTTTTTTAAGTAATGAGAAGGTCCTGTCCAAATGGATGTACTTTAACATCAAACCTGATGTATTTATTTATTTATTGAAGAAGTGTCTACTACTCTTCTCCCCTCTATGTGAGGACGGTGACAGCCCTTCAGCGCTGGAGCTGAGAAAGGGAGTTCGGACCCCTCCCCTTTCTTTGTCCCCTTGGAAAGAACTCTGCTAATTGCTCTCTGGGGTCAGGAAAACAACCTTGGAGAGGGGGAAAAGCGGGTGTTTCCATAGGAGGGGAGGGCAGGAGACTGGAGAGGCCAGGATATACAGCCACAGGGCCCAGTCAGAAGCCATCCATTGTCCTGTCAAAAACCTCTATTAAGGGGAACCCAGAGTTTTGACCCTACATATTAAAGCTTCTTTTTCCAAGGGTGGGATGCTTGTTTGCACTTTCCTGAGTGGCTAGCATTCCTGGGAAGGCGCAAGACCTGCATCACTCTGAGGATTGATAGGGCAGAAAACAAGAGATGAACTTGCTGTGGAGCAGGTATAAATCACACCACATCATTTCATGACTTAAGATCACTTGCCCTTTTGGTTTGGCTTGACAGCTCACCTTTAGAAGACAAACCAAACCAAAGTTGGGGTAGACCCTATTTGGGGCTTATTTTGGGGTAATATCCAGGGTTACTGCCTGCTGCATGCTGACAATAGACAACCCACTACCATTTCCCCACCAATGTTCTTGCTTTCCACACTTGTGCAACTTCACCTAAAGAAACTGAAAACTGAAACAAAAATATTTGTGCACAGCAACTGTGTAAAATAAATAAAAATGTTTTCCAACCAGTGGTAGCCCCTTTAGTTTATCATTCATATACTTTCAAGGGGCTGTCAGATGGTGCAGAAATAGAAATTCCCAAAGCTGGCAAAGGGCAAAAAGCCGTAGTGAGCTGAAAATGGTTTGGGATTGCAGGGGAGAGTGGGAAGTCAAGTTGTGTGCGCCTGGGGATACCCACAGGAGGACCGAGGGGCAAGTAGACACACCATGGATTGTTCACAGAGCAACCCACCCACCATGGCTTCTTGTCAGGCTGTACTGGCATGACCCTTGAGCACTCCAACTTGATTAGGAGATCTGGATGCTGACAGAAAACCCAGTGTTGACTCGTGGTTGACAACATGGTATTGGGATATTCTGTGCCCCTTTGCCTTTGCACAGGTGTGTGAATCTCCATGTGAAATGTACAGAAGACATGCCCTCTGGATGTTTTAGATTCTACTTAGCTTTTGGCGGTAGTTTGTTTTTCTCTTGCCAGATTTTCTATCAGCTTAAGTGGCCATTGAATTACTGGAATTCACATAAGACCATAATAAGAAAGCCTTTGACTTGTTCCTCTTAAAGATATATCTGTCCTTCATTACTTTTCTATTGAAAACCTAAGGGCAGCTGAAGCATAATACAGGCTGCTGACACATGCCCTGGTTCACCTAAAAAATGACTTCAATTAGAATTATTTGATCTCTATTGCAAAACACAGAATTTCAGCTGAATACAGAGTAGTATTGATTAGAGGTTGCTGCATTTTTATATACCCCTTTAATTAACCTTGCAGAAAACCAAGTAATCATGAAGGTCTTCTTAAAGCCATGTTGATATAATCCAATAAGTCTTGCTAGAAAATAAACAGAAATTGTAGCACACGCAGCACCTGACTTAATAAGAGGGATTTAAGCGGTGATTATGTTTCATAATGATCCATATTTCACCCTATGATCCACGTGTAATGCATTGTGGTAATCTGGTCTGGCCAATGTATTCATTTTGATCTAAGAGTCTTGCCATGGGTAAAGAAGATCTTTTCAAGTCATAAAAGAAGCTAACATTTTAGTCTGAAAATAAAGAAATCATACATCAGATTGTGTCTCTGTCTTGGCATTATCACCTGCCACTGAACAGTTTTTAAACCCATTAATCATATTGGCTGTGTGAGTAAGAGAGACAGCACAAGCTGCAAAGTAAAATATACTGTCACTTTGTCCTGGGAGCCCCAGTGTGGGGCACCTGCCCTCGCCCGGTCAACCCATTCTAGGGAAACAATAGCCTAAAAATGGTTTGAGTTTGAAATGAATTTTCTTTGTCTGTAGGATCTTCTGATGACTGTTTTGGATATAGAGAAGCTGGAGAAGCTGGAATTCAGTGGCATAAAAGGGAAATTTCTGAGCCAACAGGTCTTGAGCATGCATGAAGAGTTCCAAGAGGTTTATAAAGTATTTTCAGATCGTACATATGACTGCCTGGATGTGGCCAATATGGTAGGTTGTTCTAGATTCCTGCAGAACCAAACTCATGTTCCTGCTCGATGGTTCTCCCACTGGAGGATTTTAGAAGCTGACATTAAGGGATCTGGTATTGAGAAAGGATGGGTTGAAGGGTCTGCTGAATCAGCTATTGCTCATACCATTGTTTGCTTGACTTCTTTAGGAGTTTGAAGAGGATGTATATGACTTTAAGGGTAAAGTGGAAGATATGGATCGAAGGCTTGGGGCTATTTTTAGCCAGGCATTTGATGATGCAGCTAGTGTGGAGCATGCATTCAAGGTGCGTTACTGGTTACCTTACAACACTGTCCTAGTCTTCTATATGAAAAACTTTTCACAAATGCCCTGAAAGCATTTCAGACTAATGATGTTAAGGTTTCAATTCTTTGCATGTTTAGACAGAAAAAGCTGTACAGTTCCCAACATATTCCAGCCAGTTGCATATCTTTTATCCTGGTCCCTTGTCTTGAATGGGACCCTTGAGGTTTTTGAAGTTAAATTTCATTGTAGAGTGTATGGAAATCCTGCAAATATTTGAGCTTCATGTAAGAAATCTCATGCATTTTCTTTACATTTATTGCCAAATGTAGCTTTCTAGTATATGAATACTTGGTGATTGAATCATTCAAAGGATCATCTTGTATGATGATCTACATGTAAAATGAACTTTCCTTGTAAGATATGTATTATTTTATTTACAATATTCATATGCCAATCCACACCTAAACAGATTCCACCTCAGTGAACAATGAAAGGAAAACAGCAATGTTAATAAAACCATAGTTAGTCAATCAAGGAAGCCTTCTTGAAATGAAGATGTTAGCAGGTGCTGAAAACAGAGTGCTGGTGCTTGGCTAATCTCCAGAATAGAGAAGGGAGCTACCATGCTGAAGGGTCTACTCTGGGTAGACTTATGGTGTAGATCCATGCATAACCTCCAGGCATATCCATCTGATGACATCAGCAAAATGGCTTCTGTTGAAGAATTCCAAGTGTGTCAGTTGTCCTCTGCATATTGTGGGGTAGAGCAGAACAAAAAGGCATGTGACCCTTTTCTGGAGAGCTGTCTTGAGGGCCTGTATGGTCTGTACAGAGGAATACAATTTTAAAAATGTGTTTGCCTCTGGGAGCGCTTCCACACTGAGGGTTTCTTAAGGCATTTTGCAGCTATTCCACCTTTTCCTCCTTAATATATTTTTCCAGTAAGAAAGAAAATAAAGATATGGTAAGAGAAAATGGGAGGGATGCAAATAGAAGGCAATGCTATCTAGACCCTGTTGTAAAATTCTGTGAATGAGGCAGCTCAATGGCACCATAAAAGCCTCATCAGAAAGCACTCAGGTTAAATGTTAGTCCCATTAAGAATTTCTAGCTCTATAAGCATTGGCTAGGCTTACAGTGCTATTGCTCTGCTATCTGCAAAGTCTTCTCCAAGGCTTTCCTTACAAAGGGAAGATGAGGCTATCAATTTTGAGCTCACTCTTTGAGCTTTAAAAGCTGGAATAAAGTGGGTTGTTGCTCCAGTTTTATTTGATGAGGAAAATTCCAAACAGGTTATATTACAAACCCAGGTGTCTGGATCTGACTGTGTAGCATTTTCCTCCCTTCCTGGTCCCAGCTCACAGTTCAAAGACCCATGTTCTTTTATTGGCAGCAGCAGGGTGACTCAGTGGATTGGTTAAATTCAGGCAAAAGGAGAAATGTGGGACAGCTGGCTGAAAGAAAAGGAAGAATAGAGACCAAGGGTGCTTCTAGAGGTAGTCTGTGGTGCAATCACATTGTCTTCACAATGGAATTTTATGGGAGGGCCAAATGATTCCATCTTTAGTTTGTAGCCCTCTTGCTTTTTTCCTACCAAAAGAAAAAAAGAAAAAAGTTAAACTAGAAAAGATAAAATAGCTGTTCAGTGTTCTTTTCATATTAGCACTGGGAACCCTCTGTGTGGAAGCACCTCAGATAGTTAAATCGGAGAGGGATGTATCTGCTGTGAATAAGACTGATTACCCCAGCTCCATCTGATCTTTAAATCTGAAAAAGAATAATCCCAGAATGGAGTCAGTTCTTTCTTTTGGAAAAACAAACAAATCTTGGAATAATTTTAGTACCATAAATGGTTGACCAATTACAATGATTAAAAACTGAGTGCTTGAAGTTTCCTAATGCAAATTGCTTAATAGTTGTCTCATTGAAGGAAATGTGTGGGTGATGAAAGGGGTTGCTGGTCTGTATAGAGCATGGCATGTACATAAAATCACAGAGGTTTCCCATTTCTTTCTGTGTGGTAGCTGATAGACATATTTGGGAGCCTGTTGGAACGGCCATTGATAGCAGCAGATGCCTGTGCTAAATATCACCTTCTCATCACAATGTTTGACCGAGATCTGGATGATGCTAAAGTGATCTACCTGAAACATATTCAGGAGGAGATGGAACTAGGTACATGTTAGTAATTTCAAAATGGCTTAACACTCAATTAATAAAGAGCCTTTAAAAAGCAAGGAAATGTAAAATTATATTAAGCAGTTTGATTTTTTAGAGGTTATAATTAATATTACATATATTTACCTTAAGTAGCAAAGCTTTTCCATTTCAATTAAAAATTTATGTAAGAAACTGGTGTGGCAGCTGCTCAGCAGTGTGCAATATTAAATACCATGTCATTCAGTGGGATTAGACCGAATGTCTGATCCCAGCCCAGCTTTGAGTAGAAAACTGTGAAGCACTTGTTCTGCTCAGGCCACTCTCACATTTTGCTGTAGGGAAAAGACATTGGGATGGGACAGTTGATCACCAGGATGATGGGCCTAGAGATACCATCTTTTGCTAGGAATGATAACTAAGTATCTCACTCTGAGGTCTTGTGGTTAGCTTTGGTAGCTCGATATTATTTACTATTAGTGAGCTGTTAAGTCCAGTTCTACTGTGCTATTGCAACATCATATGTATTTCTAAAACAGATATCCACTTTATCAGGTTGGATTAACAGAGCAGTCCTTTGCCCCTAGACAGCTTCTGTGGGGCCACAGGATGCAGCAGGTCTCTTCATCCAAGGCCAGGGGCAGAGCCCCAACCTTGGAGGAGGAAATGCAGTTGAATCTACCTCACTAAATCCCTTCTGAGCCACTGCAGATATCTCCATGGCGGTTTCCTGTCCCAAGGCTGGTGCTTCAACCTTTGGAAGGAAGAAAATGGTTGAATTATACTTCCTGTGTCTCTAATTTATTTGTCTACTTTGGTGCTAAAGATCAGTAACACAGGGTTCTTAGAATGGCTTATAAAGTTCTATTGGAAACTTAGTGAAGCTATAAGTCCATCTGATCCAGAGTTATGTTCATGGAGTGGCCAGACAGCTGCGCTGGGGAAATGCACAAGTAGGTCATGCATGCACCCACCCCCCATGTTCCCCAGCCACTGGTCTACCTAGACATACTGCTCCTGATACTGGAGATGGTATATAAGTAGCAGGGTTAATCATAATTAATAACCTTATCCCCTTTGAATTTCTTGAATCCCCCTTTAAAAGCATTGAAACCAGTGACTACTATCTTATGGAAGTGAATTCCTTAGTTTAAATAGGCTCTACATGAAGATGTACTTCCTTTCTGAATCTCCCACCAGTCAGCCTCATAGAATGACACTGGCTTCTCGTATTATAAGAGGAGAAAAATGTCTCCACACCATACATAACTGTGTGCACCTCTGTCATGTCCCTCTTGCTTGCCCTTTTCTGAGGCTAAACAATCCCAGATGCTGTAGCCTTTCCTCATAGGGTAGATGCTGCAGCCCTTTGATCATTTTATAGTTGTCCTTTTCTGCACTTTCTCCAAGTCTTATGGTATCCTTTTTAGGTATTGTAGCCAACGCTATACAGAGTATTCTAAGTGTGGTCACACCATGATTTGCATTTTGTATAATTACAAAACAGTTTGTATTTTATTTCCAGTTCCTTTCCTAATTATGCCTACCATGGAGTTTGCCTTTTCCACAGCAGCTGCAATCTGGGTTGACCCTTCATGTAGCTGTCCACCAGTCCCCAAGATCTTTCTTGATCAGTGACCCATCCACTCAAATCCCACAATGTAGGGCTGTGTTGCCCAGATATGCATTATTTTATGCTTGTTAACATTGAACTGCCATTTTGATGCCCTTTCTCAAGTTTGTGGGAGAATGGGCAGACCTATGGCTGTGGGGAATTTATTCAATTCCAGTTGCAAAGCTTCCTTGGTTCTAGTTCTTGCTGACTACGGAAGTACATTCTGCTGGGGCAATTCTGTGAACACTCATGTGATAGGGAAGACCCTGTTGAACTCCGTGGGAGTTGCTTCTATGGACAAAATGACATGTTACATCTGTCACACTTCTTAAGAAGTGTGTGCTCAAACTGGCCTCTTTTATTTCGAAGTATAAGCAGCTGTGGGACTCTGCTCTGGAACAGACTTCAAGTGCAGACTGGAGTCCTACACTAGCATTGTGCTAAAAATTGTCACTTCCTTGGATGCTAATGACCATTAGATGCTGTTTGCTGTTAATGTCATATTTTGGGGACGCCTAGCTGCAGAAGGATGATTTTCAGCAGGCAATAGGTTTCCCATTGACTCAGGAGCATGTTCCCCACCCCAAACTATAAGTGGTCAGTGTAAGGACACTGCTCTTTTTCTGCACCTGGCATGCCGCTGCCAGCTATGCTGGGCAGGGAAGAAGGCAAGCTGCCAGAACCTGGGATGGCTGCTTGCAGCACCCCACTTCTGCATCCTGCAGCTGCTCTTTGGGGGGCTGCAGCTGATGGGGAGGGTTGCTGGTTGTGCAGCTGGGGGGTCTCAAGCATTTATGGACTTCCTCCTGGCTTGGCTCACTTTGCAGGACTGGGCCAAGCATGACAGCAAGTCCATGGATGCCAGAGGGACAGATTCTGAGAGGGTGCATCCCAACCTTACCTGCATACAGTAAGGTTGTCACACACTAAACATGTTGCAACAAAGGCTTTTCTACTGGTTGTAATGCAATTGATTTATTTCTAATAACCAGCTAAATGATCTTAAAAATTACTGTTGTCATTGGAAGATGCTCACTCTGCTCTTCTGCCTCTGAATCCCAGTATTCTAGGCACACTAGTTGCCCCAACTCCTAGCCAACTTGCAACCCCCACCTCTACTCCTCTCCCATCATGCTCAGCAGCAGGGGAAGTGGCAAGCCAAGCAGGAGCTTCAGGGTGTTTGGCAAGTACCTGGCTAGTGGCACAAGGCTAACCCTCATTTGAGACTACTCAGGAGGTAAGGACAGCATGTGAAGGTGCTTGGCTGACAGGAGTGCCCAGCTCCTATATAAGCTTTCGGTTGGTGCCAGGCCATTTCTCAAGCAACAGCTCTGTTTGGGTTCCAAGCTCCTGTACATGACCAGCTGGCGGTCAAGTTCATAGCTGTCCATAAGCTGCCTTATATCAAGCAAAACTATTGGCTCAATGAAGGCTGTATTATCTACACCAGGCTTCTCCAATGTGTTGTCCTCCAGATGCTTGAAACTGTAACTTCCTGAATTCCTAATCATGAGCTCTGTTGACTAAAGTTGAAGTCCAAATCATCTAGAGGGCACTAGCTTGGGGAAGCTTGTTTACACTGACTGGTAGTGGTTCCCTGAGGTTTCAGGAAGGGACTTGCTCAACTTGAATTTGCCAGGGATTGACTCTCAGGTGCTTTGTATGTGAGCCCTATGCTCTGCTGATGAGCTGTTGTCCTGCAAAACCAGGCAATCTGTTTGTTTCCTTCATTACCGCACTGCTAGAATGTAATGCCTTTTGAAGACTCTCAGAGCTTCATGGTTCTTGCTGCATGCAGAGAAAATGGTTTCAACTTGAAGAAGAGCTTGTTTTTCTCAGGTTACCCACCAGTACACAAGAATATGCCAGTGGTTGCCGGAGGAGTTCGCTGGGCTCAGGAACTAAGAAACAGGTTACAGATTCCATTTAATAACTTCAAGCAGCTCACCTGTCTGTGAGTATCTTGAGATCAGCTGATCTATCATAAGACACTTTTCCATCAGCTGTTGTGACTCACTATGCTGCCTCATTTTTGGTATTATGGAGATGTTGGGGCTAAAAAAAAGAGTGACCAGTGTTTTCCACATCCTTGTCAGTACATGGCAGGCTTGCAAAGTTGGCCTGGTCTAGTCTTATATTCCAACAATTGTAATCCAGATGAGTGAGACCATCCAAGATGCAAGCAGCCATTCCATGGCCATTGTATCACTGAGAGAATCAAGCATCTAGGCAAGAAATACTGCACTGTGGTTTCTAAGGACAACTTGGAATGACTTCATGTGTGGCAGGCAAACAGGAAACTTGCAGAACTTGTGCATTGAGGGAAGACCTTACAAAATCTTTACAGGAGAATTGAATCCTGGATAGCAGAGTTTGGGCTATATGAATACAAAAAGGCCTAGAAGACCTCCTTCTTGTCTCAGTAGAAAGAATCACACAGAATCAGTGTCTTGTACAGAGTCAGAAGCGAAATGATAAAATGGAAAGGACAGGGAAGGAGGAAGGAGAAATGGAAAGGATTTTATTGGTTTTGTATTGTCCTTTCTTCAAAGAATTCAGAGCAGTATACTTGGAATACCCAGTCACTTTCCCATTAGAGTTCTGGCTAGGTCCAAATCTGTTCTGTTTCATCTTATATGTGCCTAGAGCAGGGATGGAGTACCTCTGACCTGTGTAGGCTTTGGCTCTGGGCCCTACCTGCTCCCCACCTGAGACTCCACCTCCTAACTTGAAAGTTGTGGGAGGAGGGAGGGAATGGAATTCCCTTGGTCTTTCCAGTTGCAGAGCAGAGACAATACAAGGAGTGTCTTACTTTGCATGGTGCTGAGAGGGGGTAAGGGCTAAATGCTGTGTAGTTAGCCAGCATTTGCAGGAATTCGTGTAAACTATGGGACTTCATTTCTTCTTGCACAGGGAAGGAGATGCATGAGTGACATTGACTGTGCACTTGGCCAGCACAGGGAATTCCTGCAAGTGCCAGATAAATACAGTTTGCTCATCTTTCATTTTACCCTGATGTGGAGAAGGCGAAAGGCAAACAGGGCTGGCTCCTCAACTGAAGCGCTTCAGCTGGTGGCCAGTGACATTAAACCCCTGATGATATCTGGCTACAATGGGGGCAATGGGGTTCCCTAGCCCTGCCCTCAACTTTACATTTTGGCCTCTACTGGTTGGTGGGTACAACCAAATTGGAAGAGGCAGTGATCGGGAAGCTGAAATGAGGGGAAATGCTATAAATCAGGGGTCCTCAAACTTTTTCTAAGGGGGCCAGTTGACAGGTGCCAGCACTGGTTGTGGGCCGTCAAGGCGGTGCCGACGGGGGTGGGGGTGGGCTGGTGAGGAGGCGAGGCACTGGCTTGCTTGCAAGGAGATCGTTTTCTCCAAGCCAGTCCAAAGCGGACTCCTCATGAGCAAGCTGTGCGCACGCCTGGTGAGTGCAAAACCAGTGGGGTGGGCTGGTTAAATGGGCATGGTGGGCACATTGGGCCTGCACGCCTTAGTTTCAGGACCCATGTTATAAAACATCTTGGAGGCTAGGACCTTGAACAAGAACTGTGTCAAGAATGTATTCATGCTTAAGTATCTTGTTGGCACATCATGATAAAGCAAGGCTCCTTGGAGAAGCCAATCACTCTGGGAAAGTTGAAGGCTGAGGACAAAAGGGAAGAATAAATAGAAGACGAAGTGACTGCATAATGGAAGCCACAGCCGTGAACTTGGAAGAACTGAATGGAGCTGTCATGGAGAGGCCATTCTGGAGGGCTTTTATTCATAGGGTTGCCATACAGTTGAGATGACATGAGGACATGTAACAACAGGATCTTGTTGGCTAGTTGCACATTTGAATGAATTATAATTTACTTGTAATTTAGGAGCCAATCTTTGCTTAAGGAGAGTGAAAATACATAATAAATGACTAGCTAAATCATGTTAATTTAGATTAGCTTCCAGCATGCACAATCTTTAGAACAACAATTCACAGACAGTTAATGAACATGAAGGTTGCTAATTTTACCAAGAAATGAAGTTGAGCTTGGAGATGTTGGAGTCAAAGTCAGAAGTGGGACCTGATCCAGATTAGGGCTCTGCTTTGTTGATTTCTGGTTGTTGGCCCTTGACTGCAAGACTTTTTAATGTTATGAACATCAAATGTATTTTGACTCTCCGGCAGAAAAATATATTGACAGGCAAGGTATACATAGACAATCTGGCACTTCATGACTTGGAGACCAGAAAAGTCCAAGCATGTGACACGTACACTGACAGATGAGCTAAAACAGGAGAACGTGCCTGTACCAGTATCATGTCATAATCTGATGTATCTTATTAATAGTTGTCTGGACTCTGTGGAAGGTAAACGAATGGTGCAAAAGTATGAAGATTTGATGCAGTTGCTGGAAAAGTAAGTCTATTTTCTTAGGAAAGGGGTGGGGAACTGTTTAGCTCCAGGGGCTGGTTTATTCTCCTGCATCCCCTTGGAGGCCAGGAGTGGGGGCGGTCTCTCCCTTGAACCCCTACCTCCTGATACCATACTGCAGTTTCTCTGTGCAGAGAAAGGCATGGAAGTGCATGGAGAAAATGCAGTTTTCCTCTGTGCAGAGACAGGCAGAGGCTGCTCCCTGCCTGCCTGTGTGTTACCAAACTGCTTTTTCTTCTGTGGATAGGAAGGCATGGAGCCAGTGGTCCTAGTCTCTCTCTGCATTAAGCAAGGTCTTTTCTGGTGGGGTGAAAAATCCCTGCTGTCACCTTCAGTCAGTGAGTGCCCTCTTCCCTTCCTGATTAGAAGACTGAGCAGGACAAAGAGGAATCCCCAATGTTAGCAGGGATTCCTCTCCTGACTGCTGGCCAGGGCTTTGCAAGAGAGAGAGAAGGCTGTGAGCTGGATAGGAAACCTACATGGGTTAGAAATCCCCCCTGCCACCTCTGGATGCAGCTTGAGAACATATTAACTATCTTGAAGCCTTGTTTTAGCTGTTGCTTCTCTGTAGCTTTAATTCAGTCAGTGACTGGGTTTGCATGACATGGCAACTCAACAAAACAACCCTGTTTAGAGCTATCAGAAATCCTGCGTGAACAAAAACCTTTTATTTTGACAGCTGTCCTAAGTCTGTGATTGTGAAAAGGAGTGGGGATTGTAAATCTTGCCTTTCCAGAGTATCTAGAGGCTTGGGCAAGTATTTTGTTGGAAAAAACCTGGATTTTTGGCATATCTACCTTAAAGATTAAGCCTATTTTGTCCTGGCAATATGATGTTCAGAGAGGATCCCACCTTATTGAGGTTGCTCTGCAGAGTTTGCTATTTGTGTGAAGTGGCTATTTCCTAGCCATTTCCTAGCTATTTCCTAGCCATTTTCCATTTTCTGCGTGCTTCAGTTGTGAGGTTAAAAGCAGCCAGACTTCCATGGATGTTTCCTCCTTCAAGTAGCTAACCAGTGGAGCTGCCCCCACATGGTTTAGTTCTAAATGCAGTCATGTTGCTAAGTTAACATAAGGCCTGTATCCAGACACACAATTGGAGCAGTGAGTATGTGATGTGAATAGACCAAGGTGCAGTTTGCATACAGTGAAACAGGCGTGTGATTATTTGACATGGCCCATTTCACAACTCAGCCTGTTTGCCATGTTACTACTGTAAAATGGCTGAGAAGGTGATTGAGCTGCCATCTTTGTCTTCTCAGATGGAAGGCTGAGGAAATGGCTCTGTTTTGGGGGAAAGAGCAATACTTTCTTCTCTGGAATGGGAAAAGATGTTGCAGCTGTTGCTTCTGTGGGAACAGGGCTGCAAGAATCCCTGCAGTGCGGCCTTTGGTGCCTATAAAGGTCTTAACTGCCGTTTTGCTTGCAGCATAGCCAGGAAACTTTTTCCAGTAAAAGGGCCTGGACAGTTATTTGCCAGATCATATGGTGGTTTTGGTATTCTGGCAGGTACCAAGAGAAGCTTTATAAGGAGTGGATCCAAACAGTGTCAGAAAAATCACAGTATAACCTAACTCGGCCACTTATCCGGCGAGACTTGGAGAGTAAACTGATCGCAGTCAATTTTGACCTTCAGGTAAGATTAAAGAATGTTCCTTTCTGCCTTGGAGGCCTCTTCTCCTTTGCCATCAGCCTAGCTTGTGTTTTCTTGTGAAGCAACAATTGCCCTCTGTAAGGAGGCAACTCTAAGCAGTGCAGTACAGTCCACAACAGATGGCAAGATGAGGTTCTTGCAAGGCAGAGCTGGGAACTTCTCTTAAATAATTAAGAACACGCAGGTTTAAAGCAAACTAGTTGGATACATGTGGAAGATAAGCCCCTAAGCATATAAAAAGAGCACTGCTGGATTAGGCCATGGGCCCAGCATCCTCTTCTCAGCCCTGAAGAGCCAGGTGCCTCTTGGAAGCCCACAAGCAGTTCATGAAGGCACTAACCCTTCTGTGCTAACACAGAGATGAACACATCAGATTAAAACTGAGCTGATATAGAAAGAGCCAAAACTTGACCATGAGAGGTGGCCCACCCTGGTCCAGTGGAATACCTCTAATTAACACCTTCACTGTTAAGCAATAAGTACATCCCCTGTTTTTGAGATTTGGGAAATGCTAGGAAAAAGTTCCTTTAAAAATGCAGAGCATTGTCTGTTTTTTTGCAGCTGGTGTCCGTCCTAAGAGAAGTGAGTTACCTTGGGGCAGTTCAGGTTGGGAGCATTCCAGAGACAGCAGCAGAAATCTATTCTTCCAGGGAGTCCTTCCGGCAGCTGGTAGCCAACCTGGAGTTGATGGTTACTTGGTACAACAAGATCCTGTGCACAGTCTTGGAGGTAGAATACCCGCTTGTGCAAAGGCAGTTGCAGGACATTGATACTCAGCTGAGAGAGGCAGAGGAGACATTAAACTGGAAAACAGAAGGTAAGACCTGCCTCTGGAATGAAATGTGGCAAGGGCAGAAACATGCACATCAGCAAATAGAATCTGAGGCCCAGATTCCAGTTTCTTCACCTTGGATGGGATTTTTCTTTAAAAATTCCTATAGCCTGATTGCTGTTCCCTCTTTTTTGTTTAGGGTGAATGAAGATGCTTCCAAATGGAGAAAAATTGTTACTCCCCACATATTATTAATCCTTTTATTTTCATTAACCTCCTCCAGCAAACTAGCATGATGTTTGTCCCACCGTAATGGAAAGGATGGCCTCATTTTAGTGTCGGGGAAATTATCTTCTTCTAGAAGTCTCCAAAGAAAATAATGAGTTATTATTATGGGGATGGGAAGCCTTTCTAGTTTCATCTCTTTAATAGGAATGACTTGAATGGTATAAGTGGGCAAGATCCAAATGCTTCAGGAATATTTTTTTTAAAAGGTTGCATAACTATGCAAAAGCAATTAAATATCACACCATGGCAAGAGGAGAAGGGAATTGCATCACCTTTCACAATTATTTTATAGATGCAATCTATTGTCCTAGCAATATCTTATTACACTCATGCAACAGCTCTGCTTGCATATGGAAAAGTGGGGTGGGGAATTTAATTTTTGGTACAATTAACCTGCAGTGGATTTAGGAATACCAGCTGAATCTTCTGTATCAAATCAGCAACTGATGCATTTTTAAAAATTCCCTGAACTGAACACAAGTTATCACTGTATTCTTCTTGACCCATTCTCCATTATTGTTGGTATTGGAAGGTCTTTGGGAATGTGTGTCACAAGTGGTTGACAGTGTTCAAGATCTTGAACAAAGAATCCAGAAGACCAAAGACAACATTGAAGAAATTCGGAATATCATGAAAACTTGGGTCTTCCCAGTTTATGTAAGAAAAGATGGGAAAAAAGACTCTCTGCTGAATTTAGATGAGCGACATGAGCGACTGGACAAACACTGTCAACTCATCATTGATTCAGGGCATAAAATTCATTCTCTAATCAAGGTAGTGTGTGTGTCTGAGTATCTTGACATGAGTGAATTGCACTGAGGGTGAGGGTTCTGCTGGGCAATGCCACCTCTAAGTATTTCTCTTCCAGCTCAACAAAGCGAACCAGAGATGGCTGATACTGAACGGTCTGTCTGAGTTTTTCTTTAGCTGTTTGGGCAGGGCATTCAGCACATTTTGTTATAATGTACTGTATATATTATAGATATTTTACTACAACTAGGGTGTCTTGGGCAAGGTGCAACTTAATATTCATTTACCTTTACATTCATTAACATAAGAGTAACAGTGAACCCCAAACGAGGCAGCTGCTTTCACCAGCCATGCCTGTTTGTTGCATTGATTTAACATGTGTGATAGCGCTATTCATGCTAGTTGGAACAAGTGGGAATGGAAGGCTAAAATATCTGGAGGCCACCAGGCTGGAGACAGATAATCTGAAGCAATGGAGCACAATAAGTTGTGTCTTACAAATTATTTTGGGTGCTTACATCAGGAAGAAATAGCAGCCAGCCAAGTGGGAAGGTGATGCACAGGAAAGTCAGGCTACATACTTATTTATTAGATTGATTTCCCACTTTTTTCTTACACAGAACTCAAAGCAGCTTACATCGTTCTGCTGCTCTCAGTCCTATTCCTACAACAAGCCTGTGAGGTAGATTGGGCTGAGAGTCTGTGACTGGCCCAAAGTCATCCAGTTGGGTCCATGGTTGAGTGCGGACTAGAACTAGTAGCCTCACAACAGTGCAGCAACACTGAAAAAGTGCGCAGGCCTCTCCATTCCAACTTTGCCTCCCACCAGTTCCATGGATTCTTAGAGCCTTTACTTGCTGACAGAGCATATACACATTAACTGTCACCCTTGGCAAAAGCCAGCAGCAAATTTGCCTTCGGAGCTATGTTTGCAGGAGTTTGGGTCTGGTGTCCCAGATAAAATACAGTGTTATGAAGGAAGGTGTTATGTTATGCAGTAGGATCTGGAAGGCACACAGTTCCATGGTGGAGTGCAAACTTTGAATGCTGGCTCAGTCTTCAACATCTCCATGTATGGCTGTTCATATTTCTAGGGCTGCAACCTGCATCATCCCTCACCACTTGCTATAGTAACTAGAGTTGTGGGGAGTTGCAGTCCAACAATGTCTGTAGGGCCACATGTTCTCCAGTCCTGAATTAAAGGATAAGGCAACTGGTGAGGGGGAAGAGTGCTTTTTGAAACACTGGAGAGCTGCTCCCAGTCAAGGAGGACCATTTTCTAGGCTAGATGGATCCATAACCTGATTCATGAGGCAGTTTCCTACGTTCTTCTCTCCCATCAGCTTGATGCTGCAAAATCTCCTAATCAAACCAGTTTGTTACAGTGTTCAGTTTGTCAGCATAATGCAAGGGCATCTACTTTAGTTTCTTTCTTTGAGGCTGTTTTTCCCCAGAGAGTGTACCCCATTCTCTCACTTCCCCTTTTCCAAAGGATTCAGTCTTCGAAGGTTACATACTGAATTTCCAAGGAATTCCTATTTTGCTCCTCTGCTCCACAACAATAATGAGAATTTTTTAAAGTCACTCACATCACTTTATGTATTGTGACTGACCTTTATGACCTTGTTCCTATCTGTTAAGCCATCATGCAGACTTGCCCTCTCACCATAGCCGTATAAGACATTTTCATGCTGTGGCATGTTCAGATCACCTGCCTTTTGACTGCAACTTTTCCTGTTTAGGAAAACCTGAGACTTTTTGCAGCAGATCCAGCTTCTGAAGTTTGGAAAGCTTATTTGGAGCACGTGGATGAGATAGTCTTGGATGGATTCTTTAATGTCATTGAATGTTCACTTATGTACCTTTTGGAACACACAGGTGAAATTGTGCTTGCTTAATTAAGCTCCATTTTCCATTTATCTTGGGCTTTCTACTGCTGTTGTGTGCGTTGTAACAGGCATTGTGGAATTGGGGGAAGGGGAATGATGGACCCTCATACTTTAATGTGGACAGATTGTTTGGTCATTGAACAAAGATAGTAGGCAATCTGGCCTGTGAAAGCAGTTCGATTGCCCCTGCATCTTCATTTACTTTGCTGCAGGCAAAATTTAAGACATTTAAGTAAAAAAAAAAGTGTATTTCTTTTACCCATCTTAATGCATTCAGTGGTGATTTCCCACCACTGAATGGAGAGGCTGGAGGGAATTGACTAAAAGCCCAGTTACCTCCTTTCCTGTTTTGCAGATTCCAAGGCTGGTCTTGCTCCCCTCTTCAAAGTGCAACTGGATCTGTCTGCCCCTGAGATGATATTCCGTCCTTCTATGGACCGTGGGGCCAGCGATGGTTTCTATGATATAGTTGAGGCTCTCATCCACAACATTTACCGGGTCTCTTCCCTGGTGCCCAGGCTTGCGGACCACAGCACCTTCCCTCATTACCAGGTCTTCCTCTTGGTCAACCACGGTCCTGGTCTGTGTCTGTCTTTAGCCCTGATAGTTAACACTGCTTTGTACTTCTGACTTTTCCAGGCTGACATGGAGGAGATGGGAGATCTTGCTGACATGCGCCATACCCTAATGGAGCGTATCAAGAAGATGATGTCACTCTGTTGTGGCTATCGCAGCTCCTTTGACCACTACTCCTATCTCTATGTGGATGACAGGAAGGAATTCATGCAGCAGTTCCTGTTGTATGGTCATGTTCTGACAGCAGAGGAAATAGAGGCCCATGCTGAGGATGGTGTCCCAGAGACTCCCCCAACATTGCAGCAATTCAAAGAGCAAATAGACTCCTATGAGAAAATCTATGATGAAGTGAGCCGCTTGGAACCCATCAGTGTATTTGATAGCTGGATGAAAGTTGATGCCCACCTCTTCAAAGCATCTCTTCTGGGCATAATTAAAAGCTGGAGCTTCATGTTCAAGCAGCACCTCATTGATCATGTTACACACAGGTACAACTTTGTCTTTATCGCATCATTTGTGTGCTTTCAAAGGTTCATGTAGTTAGGAAATGTAGTTGGAAGTGTGGATGTGGTCTGAGTCATGGAACAGCTGATCCGGTGCTGGGTTCCTTTCAACGAACCAGTAAGTGTCTTTCATCTTTCTGCTGTCTTCTGTAGCTTAGTGATAAAACTAAGTCATAATGGTATTGTTTTGTATGCCAAAGGTCCCAAATTCAATTCTTAGCATCTCCAGGTAAAGCAGAAGAAACTGCCTGAAACCCTGGACAGTTGCTATGCTTTGGCATTGACGATGGGGGCTAGATGGACCTATGGTCTGACTCAGTTGAACATAGCTGCCTATGTTCTTTAAAATTCTGCTGCACTGCTTTTTTGCTTGATTTGGTGCTTGATTTTCTTTGCTTGATTTCTTTGCTTTCTGTGCTTGATTTGGAGGTGTCATGTTCTCATCTATGTCCAGGTTAGTGGTAGGCAGAAGGAAGATCTCCAGATGTTTGATACCTCAACTCCTAGAACACCCTGCTAGCATAGCCAGTAATTAGGGACTGTGGGAGTTAACACCCAGAATGCTTTCTGTTCACCCCTTGGTTACTGAACTTTAATTCGAGATTTCCTCTGATCTGTATGTGGCAGTTGTTTTAAATGTGAGTGAGTTCTTTCATGATTGATGTGGTGTGGTTGGAGTGCTGGACTGGGGCTTGGGCTGTAGGCTTGGGAGTGATAGATTCTAATCTTTACTTGGCCCTGATGTTGACTGGGTAAATCTGGGTCAGTCACTGTCTCTTGACCTAACTTAGGTCACAGGACTGTTGTGAGCATAATACCACATAAGTGGCTTTGGTTCCCTTGTATGAGGGCCAGGACATGGGCACCTGTGTAAGGCAAGGCTTCACAACCAGTTAGGGGCCTGAGACAAAGAGCGAGTTTCCAGTCCAAGGTCGAAAGCAGAGGAGACGTTCAGTCTGATACCACACAAAGAGATAGCACAGTCCACAAAACAGTCCAGCCATGGGTTCTGGGTGGCTGAATTTGCATGGGACAGCTATGCCTGAGCCGCAAGGTTAAATTCATTCCTGGTGGCTTGCTGTTTAGGGAAATTGACCCCAGAATGAAAAAGGAGCAGGGATAACTGTCTTTCTCTCCGCAAGTACATAAAAGTGCTGGCTGTTCCCCTTGAAATCTGGCTGGTGAGCTTTCATGTGTTAAGCTGAAATACTCCCCCTATGTACAACCTGCATAATTTATGGATATACACACTTATTACAAAATGTTAGTAAGTCTTCAGTGAATTTGTTCCAAAAGAAATCAAGTTCAGGTAAGCGCTGAAGCACTGGAACTTATCAGTTGGAGATTTAGGTGCATGCTTAACAATAGCAACTTTCTCTTGGAGATAATTCATTCATTTTCATTTTTTATTTCCCCATGTTTTCTGACATCAGGCTATTCTATCTCTCAGTGTAATAACTCAAGTGTCCCTCACTTCACCCAAGGGGGTTAGTTGTGCTCATCCGTTGCAGCAGGAGCAGCAGAGGATCTTGTGGCCCCTTAAAGGCAAACACACTGATTCTGACATGAGCTTTTGTGGACACCTTTAGTGCATCATACAGTGCACAAAGGCTATGCTGAATGTGCTGTAATCATGCTTATGATGATCACTACTTGTGATTTTTGTTTTGTTGCCACAACTGGCCATGAAATTTCAAAGCAGAGTTGTGAGTGCGCAAAACTGGGAAGCATTTTAAGCCATCACTGGAAGTATGTAATGGAAGCTTTATTTACCCATGAGGTCATTGAATTTGGTCAGTTCTAAGAAAACAAGTACTGCTAGATTATCAGAACCTCTCCAGAAATGTTAGCAAGAATCCACAGAGTTAAATATGCTTTTACATCATGATGAGCATCATTTTTTTAAAAGAAGTGATCTTTTTTCAGTTTTTGCTGAGCAGAGAGGGTAAATTTTGTCAGATAAATTATTTATATTGTTTCTTCAAAATAAAAAAGATTACGGGTGATGGTTCCCTGCTGTGCTATGGGATGATGTTAGAATGTGTGATTAATTTGCATTTCATTTCTTCAAACATAAGACAAGTCCTGCTAGTGCAGGATCCTGTCTCCCACAGTGGCCAATCAGAGGAAGAAGCCTATGAGCTGGTCTCCAAAGCTGTAGCACTCTCATGCCGTTGCTTCTCAGCAGCTTGTATGCTGTAGCCTCTAAACCGCCCCTAAACATGGGGATCCCTTTTAACTATCATGGCAGATAGTCATTGTTCTGCCTTTCGTGCATTTTTCAGTTCTGTTTAATAATAATAATGATAACACGGTCAGAATGCGAGGCCATGTAGACTTGCGAAGTGTAATTAAATCATACTCAGATGGCATATGTAGTCACTTAGAGTGTTTGAAGAAGAGGTTCCTCACCAAAGCACACCAAAGGGAGTTTGTTTTGGAGTCATCGTTCTTTCCAATCCAAAGAGACCCAGAGTACCAAAAAAAGCAAGAAATGCAAAACCCTGTACAATCCCAGTTCTTGTACATTTCTGTAGTGAAGTTGTATTTTGTGCTTCTTTGGTGACTGAGATCCACAGGGACATTTGGATCCCTGTAGATGATGCAATCCATCCCCTGAAATGAGTCAGAAGAAGACCAAAACTTAAGGGATCTAAAGCAGTCAGAATACCAAGCTGCTCACAGTAATGATGGTGAAATTAGATTAGATTAGATACTACAGAAATTAGAAAAATGGTGGAGAAAACCTTGGATACCACTCATGATACTTAAAAGAGCAGAACTCAAACAAGAAATCTGCGTCTGTAGGGTAACATATCAACTCTCAATTTAAAATATACATTATAATCTGGTAAAAAGTACTGTTAAAGAATGCAAGGGTAAATACATAGTCAAGTATCAACAGGTTTACTGGAGGAATATTTTAACATAGTTTCCCTGCAAACTGGTCTCTTTCCCACTGCCTCTCTCCTTTTGTAATCTCAGCAGTTCGATAGGAGATACATTTAAGTACAGTCTTTTATTAAAGCAGACCAGCCAGAACTGGCTTTGTGATGCAAAGAGGTTAAAGTAAAGGTCCTTGGCAAAACTCATCCACCAGTTTAATGAGGCTGCTAATGGTGGACTCAATTCTGCCCATGCTAGAAAGTGAGTCCAAACTGAATTTATTTATTTATTTATTTAACGTTTTTATATTCTGTCCCCATTGCTACACAGTCTTGGGACGGCTCACAACAACAAATAAATAAAACAAATAGAATTACAATTACAATTAAAACTTGGAAACACACTGGCTGCATAATTAAAACTATAAATATTTTTATGGGGGAGAATTCCCCCTCCTTCCTTCCCCACCAAATGGAGTTAGTTCCATCCTTGGGGAGGTTCACACCACTTGGACCAGACAAGAAAGCCAGACATTACAAAATTGGTCTGTCGTTTGACATGGTGGTGGGCAACTGGATCAAATTACATCCCTCACTCTCTGACCAGAGTGTGCAACATCTCTCCCTGAACCACAGGTGATCTGATTCTCACCAGCTGCTTATCTTATCTTGAAACTTGCTTGTCTTTTATCTCAGTATGAAAGGACCCTGCCTCTTCTTCCAGTTCCTATTCAGAGTCTGAGTTATCCAACTTGGAATGCTGTATTTTGGGAGAAGCAGACCCAGTCCTTGCAATTGTTTAGAATGAAAGGATATTGAGATGTCTTACTCAGAAATGCATAATAATTAAATGCAAAAATTAACAAGCTGTATAATCAGAACTAACAGCATTAACTTAAATGCAACAGTGAATTTTCTAGTGACACAAGAAAATTATTGGGCAAATTGCTTTCACCATTTTGGTGGGAGTTTGACCTATGAATGTGAGACAAAGCTGTAATTTTAAATGGCTCTAAACTACAATCCTAACCTCTCAGATGTTGTCCAAGTGGGATTAGAATGGGGTGGAAGTGCCTCTGCACTGGTAGAGAAGAGCAGCACGTCTGCAGAGGCTATAATTATGCCCGCAGAAAACTGCATGGGTGAATGCTATTGCCAGCTTTGTTCCTACTGGTGGTAGGCCCTCACTTGAAGCTTTCTGGGAGTGTATCAGACCCGTGTTGGAAGTGGTCTAGGATCCGAAGCCCATGCATTTCTCTGTGAGGCCCAAATACAGGCCCCTTGTTTTCCATGTGGGGTAGGGGTGATAGGGGTATTCAGGTGCTTTCTTGGCCATCTTCCTATAAATAGTGATGTCTGAGTGTAGGAAGTGGACACACCTAGGAATGGTCTTCTTAGTTTGCTTATTTTGTTTATTTGTTGTACGGCCTGTGTGGTTGGTTAATTCTCATCATTCTCAACATGCCTTTCCTCTGTTTTTTTCTCCCTTGCTCTCTTTTTAGTTTGGCTGACCTTGAAGAATTTGTAAAAATTTCAGAGAGAGGTTTGAGCACCAAAACGGAGAAAGGCGATTATGAGGGCTTGGTGGACGTTATGGGTCACCTGATGGCTGTTAAAGATAGACAGACTAGCACTGATGCGATGTTTGAGCCCTTAAAACAAACAATTGAATTGCTGAAGACCTATGAACAGGAATTGCCAGCAGAAGTCTACAGGCAGCTGGAGGTGGGTGTAAACATGTCACCTATATGCAAACATTTGGACAGATTAAAAGCAGAAGTCATCTTAGAGCACAGTTATTTCCAGAATACTCGCCCATTATGCATGCAATGCATATAAAATAAAATATCTCTGATAAGTGAAGGGAAGAGGGTGGGTGCTAGTTGTATTCAGGAATTCAGAGTGTTCCTGAGATAGTTCCCTGTATGTGAATCCAGTGGACGGTCAGGAATACCTAATCCTATAGCACTGGTGAATCTAAGCAGAATCTGAAACTGGTCGGTGTCTGAATGGGAGACCAGTAGGAGCCCCAAAGAAGTTATTCAGAGCTTTCTAAAGAAAGAATGGGATAACAATAAACAGTTGCTTAAAATAAATATAAAATTATATTTCCATAGTCTCAGTGCAATTGCAAAGAATAGGAGTGTTTTGAGAAGAGAAGACTTCTAGCACTACCAAGCCAAAGGCTGTTCTGTCTCTTGTCTCTGGATGGAATCTTTTGTGATAAAAAAAAAAAAAGATGGAAGAAGTAGTGGGAAGACAAAGGAGGATTACAAATGGAAAACTTTGTTGTCTTGAGTGGTCCTAAAATTATATGTTTCAGGCAGAGGAAAGGCACAATTAAAGCATTGTTTGGAAGCACCCTAACTCCACTTTTGAAGAAACAATGCAAATGCAGCACTCTTAAGGCCAAATACTTAAAGCAAATTTGTTTATAAGCAAATCCCATTGAAATCAGGGAGGTTGAGTTCTGAGAAACATGGTCAGGAATGTTTTAATTTTTTCAGCTTTAATTTAAGGACTCCTTAATTTTCTTGCACTTAAATTACTGAAATACTCTCAAGATTTTCTTAAGATGCTTTTAAAATAGTTTGTAGGCACATTGCTGAATTAGAGTAGACTGAATATTTTTATCCAGCATTTTTCTTAAAACATTTCTTTTTGCTTGTAGCACTCTAGCATCTTTTTTGAAAGTTGGGGTTCAGAAACTTTAGTTGTGATGTATAGAAAACGCAGAAATGACTTACACCTTTCTCCTCTAAGGTCATTAAAATAATCTTTTGGGCTGCTGATACATGACCTATGTTGAGAGAGGGAAGAAACAATCTCTAATCAGGAAAATGTAATTAGAAAGGGGTAATAGTGCCAATTTATGCATAGACAAAATGATTATTATGGTCATGTTGTTGTAGACAGAGAACTTGTTATATTTCTTCAGCTTGTACACTATGGTCATGCTTGATACATTGCATGCCAAGTTGAGACTACCCAGTCAGGCTCTTGTTTTCTGTTTTCTTTTGTTCTCATTTTGCTTCCAGGAGCTGCCAGAAAAATGGAACAACCTGAAGAAGCTGGCAATGACTGTGAAGCAGCATGTGGCACCATTACAGGCCAACGAAGTAGCAGTTCTTCGCAAAAAGTGTGCTGCATTTGATGTGGAACAGCACAAATTCAGAGAGCGATTTCTCCAGGAGGCACCGTTCAGGTTGGACAGATCGCAGATGTGATCAAGGGGTGGAAGGCTTGCATGTTTTATTTGCTTATTTTTATTTATTTAGAACATTTCTGTCCTGACTTTTTGCAGGGCAGGGTGGAAATCCAGGCAATTTACAAAAGCAAGCAAACAAAAAATTGAAAAACAGAAATCACAAAGTCATAGTCAAACTTTTAGAATTAGCTTGATAACTTTTAAAATTTATTTTTATTGTGTAAATCAAAGCCAAAACCAAAACAAGAAAGGGGAAAAAAGAAGAAAAAAAGAAAGAACAATAAAATGCTGCAATTTTCTCACATAAAATTTAAGTAGTATAGTGTACATATATATACTATAGACCCCTAAATATTATATATATAGCAAGAGATGCTGATGTTACTGAAAATAATTATGCATAAACTTCCACAAAGGCAGACCAAATATTCATATATTCATTCATTTATAAATTGTGCCTAAAAACCATCTGTTCAAAGACTGAAGCTTTCATGAAGTTCTCCAGCCCACTGTGTTACTGCCGTTGGCTATTTACCTTCCAGTGTTGTTATGGTAGCCTTCTAGCTGTCAAAAGAACCTGGAGAATCCATTTATGTTGACTCTGTGTTAAATTCCAAGAATTAGATAGATAGGTAAGAAGAATGTGCGTATCTGTAAATTTTAAAGACATTTCCAACACAACATTTATATGAATTATTAGTTCCTCCCAAAAGGAAGCAGCCATTGGGCACTGTCAAAGATATGAATGGAAGTGTTAGCTATATTGCATCTTGAGCAATTATCCATTTTAATTAAGTTCTTGTTGGAAAGATGCTGTGAGTGTCAGGAGCAGGTCTCTCCCTCCCTTATTTCCTCTCCTGCAGAGTCAGATAAAACTTTAGAAACACAGTTCTTTTTTTAAAAAAGTGAACAGTATAAATCAAAGTATCATTCTCTTTGAGACGTGGGAGAAGCACCTGCGCATGTAAAGAGGTGAATCCAAATGGAAACTTGGATTTCAGAAAAAATCCCCTCCATTTCAGAAAAAGTTCTGCCTCTACCTTCAGGGTGGCTCCCGCTGCGTGAGGGCTAGATGGCGGGAATGCTGGACACTTAATTGGCCCTCTTGCTTCTGCTGTCACCTTCTTACTGGGTCAAGTCCCTCCCCCTGCTCTGTTCTGACATGTCTCCTTCATTTTGCAAGGTCAGCTGATTCTCATGCTCTGCCTGAGAATCTTTGCTAGGTAACCTTGACCCTGCCAAGTTACTTGCGCACCTTTACTCTTCCACCTCCTCCTCAAAATTGGATGATTCTGTCTGATCGTACTGCGAGAGATGTGTCCCCTCTCTGCAGTGCATCCAATAGATCTGAAATATCATGTTTGCTGAATTGAATGTAACTGAGGATCTGGGTTCCCTTCTGAAATAGATGCCATGGAGGTATTTATTTATTTTTTACAAACATTTATATCCCGTCCTTCTGACAAGTGCTCAGGATGGCTTACACAGTGTAAAATACTACAATAGTACAATAATAAAACAAGGATTATTAAAGCAATATTAAATTATTAAAACAGTATAAAACAGCACATCATAAAACTAAGAGAAAGAGAGGAGGAGGAAAAGAATTGAAAATGCAACTGTGGGGAAAAATCTTGAAACATATAAAACCTTAATAATTTGTATTAATATTAATAATTTATTAAAATTATGGTTAAATAAAAAGGTCTTTACCTGGCACCAGAAGGAGTATAACGTCGGCGCTAGGTGGACCTCTCTGGGGAGTGCATTCCAAAGTCTGGGCTCTTCTGCGGAGAAGGCCTTCCTCCAGGTAGACACCCTCTGTACCTCCTTCAAAGAGGGTTCCTGGAGCAAGGCCTCCCCTGCTGATCTTAAGGGGCATGAAGGCATGTAGGGAAGGAGGTGATCCTTCAGGTATTCTGGTCCTAAGCTGTTTAGGGCTTTATAGGTTAATACCAGCACCTTGAATTGGGCCTGGACTTCAATTGGGAGCCAGTGTAGCTGATAGAGGACTGGCATTATATGAGAATAATGACTGGCCCCTGTCAGCAACCTGGCAGCTCTGTTCTGTACCAGCTGAAGTATCCGGACCATTTTCAAGGGCAGCCCCACATAGAGCGCATTACAGTAATCCAACCAGGAGGTTACCAGGGCATGTATCACCGTTGCGAGGCAGTGCTGGAGGAAGGTGCTTCTCGCCACCACAGTCACCTGGGTTTCCAGGGATAGCTCTGGGTCAAGGAGCACTCCCAAGCTGCGGACCCTGTCCTTTAGAGGGAATGCAACCCTGTCCAGGACAGGACCAAGATCACTTACCTGAAAACCCAAACCACCCACCAAAAGGACCTCTGTCTTACCTGGATTGAGTCTCAGTTTATTGGCCCTCATCCAGCCCATTACCTGAGCCAGGCACTGGTTCAGGACAGCCACTGCCTCAGTGTAGATGTGAACGAGAGGTAGAGCTGGGTGTCATCAGCATACTGATGACTCCACAGCTCAAACCTCCTGATGACCTCTCGCAGCGGTTTCATGTAGATGTTAAAGAGCATGGGGGACAAAATCAAGGTACTCCATTGATTGGGCAAAACATTTATTTGTTCATTATTTATTTATTAAAGGTTTTTATAACCTGTTCTTTTAGCTAGATTGGCTCTCAGAATGGCTTACAAATCAACAATCTAAAAATGTAAAACATTCAATATATTACAAAATGTCACAACCAATCAGGAGGCAGTTAGAATAAGTAGTAATAAAATATATGCTAAAACAATATCATACCATGCCAGTAACTAATAGAATAAAAACCAATATAAAATCCATGAATTTAACAATTAAGTTAACAATAGATTACCAATTAAAATGCGGGGAAAATAGAAAAGTTTTAACTTGGCGCTGAAATAGGATGCTCCAATTCATTCCATTCTTGCTTAAGTTTCAGTGTATCATATTTACTTACTGCTATTAGTCATTTTTAAACTTGACTGGTGGGCTGGTGTACCTGTTCAGCCTCAATCAGTACTTCCAGTAACAAAAGGGACTTTTTAGTGTTAAAAGCAGTAGAACTGAACCTTGATTATAACAAATGTTTCTATTTTAAATAATTGCATTCAGCCATAGTTGGAAAATCATATTAATCAAAACACGCAAACAGAAAATGTCAGGAAGTTATTACTGAGACCTACAAGCTGACTGAAAATAAAAATCAACCTGTCTGTCCAAAACCTCAAGACAAATGTTTTTTCCCAGTCCTAAAGTCTTGGATTTTCCCTCCAGGTTAATTTTTCATGTGAAAATAAATCATACTGCAATTGAAAGCATTACATTACAGTTCTCCTGCTGCTGTATTTGTAGGAGGCACCCTATATGTTTTGGTGTGCTGAGAACCCAGTGAAATTTGTTTGAGAAAAGGACCCAAACACGAGCATTTCAAAACTGACCACAGAAAGAAGTCTAATCTGAGTGGAAAAGACCAATGTAATGCAAGGAATAGATAAGTCAGACAATGCATTCTTTTCCATTATATTTGGGGCAGAAAGCGACCCCATAGGTATTAATGAAACAAAGCATTAGGTTTCTGGAATACTTGCATGATATAGTAAAGGAATACCATGTAAAATATAATCAGTTTGAGGTATTGCATTCAATTTAAGTGCATTTAGCCTACTTCATAGACTTTAAAGATGTCCACCTACCCACTTCTCATGTGATCTCATTAATCAACTTAATTGAATTAGGTTAATCATTTGAGAATTATCTCTAGAGACAAATATTCCCAAATAAGTGATAAACTCTGAGTAGAGTCTGAATTACCCATTACCTAGTACACTATGAGGTATAATACTTCCAATTGATGTCAGCTCAGATTTTGACCAATTAATAGAACATCCAGATAAATATCCAAAAGTATTAATCCCCTGTATCAAAGCTGGAACATGTGAAATCAATACTAGAAATTCATTGGCTAAAGAATGCTAGGGATGTGTAAAGAATCTGTTGGATTTCCTGGTTTCAGTTTTCTGGACTGTGGTCTGTAAGCTGGTGGCCCTGAGAACAAGTTCAGGTTGGGTGCACCCCAGTGTTCATGGAATGCTCACCAGGTATCAGGTCCCATTGTGCATGATGGCCTCTCTTGCACCTGCTGTGCAAATGAAGTCCTTCCACATACATGACTTCACCCACATGCTGCATGTGATGTGGAAGCTTGCTGGGCTGGCATAGAATGTCCCTCACTATGCTGAAGCAGGGGGCTGAAAGCAGGCAAACAGGCTGACGTAACATTGTCGAAGTGTGTTGCACAGATATTACGCCATGCAGGCACTGTGTGGGTATCAAGTGAGAATTTATTATTTATTTATTTTTATTTATTTAGACAGCTTATATGCTGCCCCCTTTGCATAAGTCTCGGGGCGGCTTACAATCATTAAAATCCCGCATATAAATACAAAAAATACATAGAATACATAAAATAGTGGAAACAGCCTGGTCAGTTTAAAATCAATAAATAAACCTTAACAATTAAAATAGCATTTAAATAAGAAGGTCTTGGCCTGGCGCCGAAAAGCAAATAACGAGGGTGCCAGGTGGACCTCTCTGGGGAGTGCATTCCATAGGTTGGGTGCCACCGCAGAGAAAGCCCTCCTCCGAGTACTCACCCTCCTAATATCCTTCACAGAGGGTTCCCGGAGAAGGGCCTCTGCCGCTGATCTCAAGGAGCAGGAGGGCATATATGGACGCAGGCGCTCCTTTAGGTAACCAGGACCTAAGCCGTTCAGGGCTTTGTAGGTGATAACCACCAGTGGAGCTGACGGAGGACTGGAGTTATGTGAGCACAACGCCCAGTCCCCGTCAGCAGCCTGGCAGCTCTACTTTGGACCAATTGAAGTATCCGGACCCTCTTCAAGGGCAGCCGCACGTAGCGTGCATTACAGAAGTCTAATTGGGAAGTGACCAATGTGTGTGTCACTGTTGCCAGACAGTCGTTCTCCAGGTAGGGATGCAGCTGATGGATCAACCGAAGCTGAAGGAAAGCGCTCCTCGCCACTGCTGTTACTTGAGCTTCCAACGATAGCTCTGAGTCGAGGAGCACTCGCAAGCTGCAGACCCTGTCCTTAAGAGGGAGTGCAACTCCATTCAGGACAAGGTCAAAGTTCCCCATCCCAAAGCCCGATCCACCTACCAACAGGACCTCTGTCTTGTCTGGATTGAGCTTCAGTTTATTGGCCCTCATCCAGCCCATTACCTCGGCCAGGCACTGGTTCAGTACAGCCACTGCCTCACCTGGATCAGTTGAGAAAGAGAGGTAGAGCTGGGTATCATCAGCGTACTGATGATTCCTCAGCCCATGCCTCCTGATGACCTGTCCCAGCGGTTTCATGTAGATGTTAAATAGCATGGGGGACAAAATGGATCCCTGCGGTACTCCATGGCATAGCTGCCATGGCTCAGAGCCATAGTCCCCCAGCATCACCTTCTGGAATCAGCCATTGAGATAGGAGCGGAACCACTGCAAAGCAGTGCCTCTGACCCCCAATCCCGCTAGCCTATCCAGAATGATACCATGGTCGATGGTATCGAAAGCCGCTGAGAGGTCCAGGAGAACCAACAGGGACGCACTCCCCCTGTCTTTCTCCCTGCACAGGTCATCATACAGGGCGACCAAGGCAGATTCAGTACAATACCCAGGTCTGAAGCTGGACTGAAATGGGTCCAGATAATCAGTTTCATCCAAGGGTGCTTGGAGTTGTCCCGCCACCACCCGCTCTAACACCTTGCCCAGAAACGGGATGTTGGTCACCGGTCTATAATTGGTGGCCATCTCTGGATCCAGTGACGCCTTCTTCAGGACAGGCCGGACTACTGCCTCCTTTAAAGGGGCAGGTACCCGGCCATCCCTCAGAGAGGCATTGACAACCTCCAGGATCCAGGTCCCTATCCCGTGCTTGGCTTTGTTAAGTAGCCAAGATGGGCAAGGGTCCGGTAAGCAGGTGGTGGGACGTACTTGTTCAAGCACCTTGTCCACATCATCAGGCCGCAATAACTGAGTCCAGCTCGTGACGAATCTGAGCGATTTTCTCCTTAAAATGCTTGGCAAAGTCATCACAGCGGGCCATCGAGGGTGGTACCAGGTCTTTATTAGGGTCTGGGTGAACCAGCCCTTGTACCACCCGAAAAAGCTCCACTGGATGGCATTGTGAGGAGGCAATGGAAGCGGAGAAAAATTTCTTTTTCGCCACCTTTAACGCTACAACATAGGCCTGATAATTGGCTCTTAAGTGTGTTTGGTCAGATTCATCCCGTGATTTCCTCCACCTACGCTCTAGCCGTCTCCCAACCCGCTTCATCTCCCATAATTCAGGTGTGTACCAAGGGGATGAACGGGCTCTGCCCGGTGGGAGAGGATGCTTAGGAGTGATCGTGTCAATAGACCTGGTCATTTCCCCATTCTACAGTTCGACCAGAGCTTCGACAGGAGCACCAGCCTTGTCAACTGGAAATTCCCCCAGGGCCTTCAGGAAACCATCCGGATCCATCTGGGGGCGGACCAACACAATCGGGTCCGCACCCTTACAGAGGAAAAGGCTGCTCTCGAGCTCAAACCTCACGAGGAAGTGATCTGACCATGACAGGGGAGTCAGACATAAAGTCCTCACCCTCAGATCCCCCTCTTCCTGCCCTGTCGAGAAAACCAGGTCCAGGGTGTGTCCACTTTCATGGGTCAGGCCAGTGACATGTTGAGACAGCCCCATGGCCATCATGGAGGCCATGAAGTCCTGAGCTGCCCCAGTCAGAACTGTCTTGACATGGAGATTGAAGTCCCCCAGGACCAACATCCTGGGGGTCCTCAACACCAGGTCTGAGACGATCTCTGTCAGCTCAGGCAGGGAATTTGCTGGGCAGAAGGGTGCACAGTACACCAACAGAATCCCCAGTCTGTCTTGATCGTCCAACACCAAGTAGAGGCACTCTAGACCTGGCCTTGAGAGAACAAGAAGCCCCGTGAGGGAGATGGAAGCTCGGTAAACCAAAGCAACCCCCCTCCCCTCCCCTCCCCTCCCCTCCAGGCGTGGTCGGTGCTGGACCAGATATCCGGGCGGGCATAGTTGAGAGAGGGACACATCCCCCTCCTCTCCCATCCAGGTCTCGGTTATGCAGGCCAGGTCGGCCCCCTCATCCACAATCAAGTTGTGGATGAGGGATGACTTATTATGGACCGACCTGGCATTGAGCAGCAGCACTGTCAGGCCTGAGGGGCAGTTGACAAGCCTACCCGGCACCCTCCGGCTGGGGAAGTAACCAGAAGGGGGGACAGTTGTCAACCATCTGTCCCACCTTCTTCTATGCAGACCTGTTAGACCCCCCAACGCCTTAACGTCCATTGCCCAAGACCACCCCAATGGCTGCGCCCATACACTCCCCAGGTGCAGCCAGGTCGGAATCCATTAAAATAAGCAAAATAAAATCACCTAAAAACAATTAAAAACACTAAAAACCCGCAGCCACATGACTTACCACAAAGTCCCAGGCCAGCCCAGGCCCCGCACGGCCCCCAACGGTCCCAAACGACATCACTGCTCTTCGGCTGCCGGCCCTTCGGCCGTGGCCGGTGGGTTAAAGTCCGCGGCTCTTCCTCCTCCGTGCCCCACCCCCAGACTGGCACAGCTCTCACCCAGGCCAGAGGGGGGTGGCTGGAGCAGGGCACATGGAGCACTCGCCGACCAGGTGGTGATGGCGGGCCGGCAGCGGGCCGGCGGTTGTCTTCCGGGCGGTGGCGGCGACAGGTCTTCCCGGGTGGTGAGGGTGGGCAGTCTGTCCCAGTCCGTCCCTCCGTGGGGCCGGCTCGGCCACGGCCGGCGGGTTAAAGCCTGCGGCTCCTCCTCCTCCGCGCCCTGCCCCCAGACTGGTGCAGCTTTCACCCACGCTGGAGGGTGGGGGCGGAGCAGGCCGCGTGGAGCACTCGCCGGCCAGGTGGTGATGGTGGGCCAGCAGCGTCCTGGCGGTGGTCTTCCGGGCGGGGCTCAAGGAAGAAATATAGTGGCGCTCAAGGAAGAAATACAGTCCTAATGAAAGGAAATTTAAAATTTGCTTCCTAGGATTGATGCAACAAATCCTTATCAAATGCTGGATACATCCCACAGAGAGCTTAAGCAAATGGAAGTTACCATGGCTTCAATTTATGAATCAGCTGACTTGTTTGAAGTCAATGTTCCAGATTACAAGCAGCTCAAAAAGTGTCGAAAGGAAGTATGCATTCTTAAAGAACTCTGGGATATGATCTCCATAGTAACTTCTAGCATAAATGATTGGGAGACTACTAAATGGAAGGAGATTAATGTTGAAAACATGGAAATGGAGTGCAAAAAGTTTGCCAAAGACACTAGGAACCTGGATAAAGAAATGAGGGCCTGGGATGCTTTCTCTGGGTTGGACAACAGAGTAAAAAATATCCTGACGTCACTGCGAGCAGTGTCAGAACTACAAAACCCTGCCATTCGGGAGAGGCATTGGAAGCAATTGATGCAAGCAACAGGTGTGCAATTCACAATGGATGCAGACACCACCCTGGCAGACTTGCTCAGACTCAACTTGCATAACTTTGAGGATGAGGTTCGGAGCATTGTGGACAAAGCCATTAAAGAAATGGGCATGGAGAAGGTTGTGAAGGAACTGAAGACAACCTGGGCCAGCATGGAATTTCAGTACGAAGCTCACCCCCGTACAAATGTCCCACTGCTGAAATCAGATGAAGAATTGATTGAGACCCTTGAAGACAACCAAGTCCAGCTGCAGAACCTGATGACATCTAAGTACATAGCTTTCTTCTTAGAGGAAGTGTCTTCCTGGCAGAGGAAGCTGTCTACCGCAGATTCTGTAATTTCTATCTGGTTTGAAGTTCAGCGGACCTGGTCTCACTTGGAAAGCATATTCATTGGATCAGAAGATATCCGGGCACAACTTCCTGAGGTAAACAAAAAAGCAGTTCTTTCTTGTCCATGGGAAAACTCTGGTGTCACTCTTCATCATTCAGGGAGCATTTGCTTGCAAGAAGCAGCTGCTTGAATCCTGACTATTCATTTCTATAGTTATTCAAGGTACCTCATGCATTGGCTTCCAAGACATGGCCCAGTTAACTAGAATCACAGATTCAGCTGTGCTGGCTAGGGGTGATGGAAATTCAAATCCAACATATGGGTTGGAGAATCTCCCAAGAAATGGATTATTTGGCAGAAGCAATAACAGATAAAGTGGTATAAAGTATGGTCAATATGGTTTTGAACTACAGCTCTAATCAACCCTGTTACCATGGCCAATGGTCAGGAATTATGGAAGCTGTAATCTGAAACATCTGAAAGACATTATGTTCCCTCTCCCTTGTATAAATAGTTCTTATAAAAAAGTAGCAAGAGTGAAGGATGCTTTTAGCTCTGCTAAATTCACTTTGGTTGATGCAGGAAGACTGCCTTCCATCCTCTGGGATGCTACTAGGGAATGTATAAGACCTATGGTATTTTCTGTAGACACAGAGATAGGAGGGGAATAGCTTCTACCCATGATAAACAATCTGCTGCACTTTTGGGATAAGAAACTTTATCCAGAGTTTTGTATATGGAAGATGGAGGAAGCTGAGAGAAGACTCCTTGTCTTGTCATTCATAGGATTCCAAGCGCTTTGAGGGGATTGATGTTAATTTTAAAGAGCTGGCATATGAAGCTGAAAAAACCCCGAATGTAGTAGAGGCAACCAACAAGGCTGGCCTTTATGAACAATTGGAAGATATCCAAAACAGGTGGGTGAGACATACTGTATACACCTGACTCTTGTGCAATGTTATTTCTTGTCAGGCAGCCTTTACTTGCGGTGTTACTCTTTAGGTTCTTTCTGCATGAATATAATGCTTAATCAGGTTTTAGGCCATGGTAAATCTCTGTATAGCTTAAAGAGCCATCTTGAGAACATTCAGGAGTGTTTCACATGCTATGTACTTAAATCATGCAGTTAAAATATTAGAAGTACAATCCTATGCCAATTTAGAGAGAAAAAGTACCTACAGGCCCTGACATGCCCCAACCAGTCTTTTTCTGTTTAAACTTGCATAGGATTACATCCTAAACTTCCTTTTGAAAATGTAATTAGTGATCAAAAATGCATGTTTTGGTTGTGTGTAATAAAAATACACATGCTGGGAAAACAGAGACTGGCTACAGCTCTCCACATCATGCATGTTTGGTGGAAAATGCATAGTTGCAACATGTGTGGTGACTCCAAAAAGTTCTAGGAACAAATTAGCAACTAAGTGCTGCCTGGAAAGTACAGGTGCATGTGTGTTGGCTTTTTCCAGATTTATACAACTGTGTGTTAATTTTGTCTTTATGTGTTATTTTGTGCTTGTCAGACTGTCTTTGTGTGAAAAGGCTTTGGCTGAGTATTTGGATACTAAGCGGTTGGCCTTTCCCAGGTTTTATTTTATTTCCTCTGCTGATTTACTGGATATTCTTTCAAATGGCACCAACCCACAGCTGGTAAGAGACATGTCAGTTCCTTTTCTAGTTATAGAAATAGTATCTTGCAGAATGTACTGGATACTTGCAGTAGAAAGTGGATACTGTACTTTCAGTGCTGTGACATTGACCATCAAGCTTTCCTCTCAAGAAGCGTTGCATTTTTGAACCACCACTAGATGGCAGACTGTACACTTTCTACTTTGTAATCTTCATAGACTCTTATTACAGCTAGGGATGCTGGAGAAAACGGCAATGGATTCAGATGCATTCAATTTTCTAGGAATCCAATCCATGGATTCTGCAGTAGACTGGCTTTTCCTGAGTTGCATAGAGTTGGAGGAAATATGGACTATTTTTGTAATTTCCGGAATTATAGAGAAATAGGAAAAATGATTTTTTAAAAAAAGGGCACTCCCCCACTCCCCCAAAAATTGAAGGCATGAAAATATGCAGCTTGGGAGGATTTGCACATTTTCACAAGTACAGATGTGTGCAAGTGCAAAATTGTGGAAGTATGCACAAACATGTTTCAGAAATTGAAAAAAATCCAATTTTGTCAATGAATGGACAGCAGAAGCCAAGGCAGTTGACCATCTATGATAGATAGATAGATAGATAGATAGATGAAAAGAATGGCAAAGAAAACAGATTTAAATCTGTTTGACAAATTAATTATGTCTAGTCACCGTATAATTTTCATAGAAGGATGAGAAAAATTTCTTACCTGGGTATAAGGGTGCTTGCAGCTGAAGGGGGGGTGCAGGTGGAGGAGCTGTTTGGAACGTTATACCTGCAAGCAGCATGGGAGCAGTGCTGCAGGGTGGCCAGATGCAAAAGAGGCAGGGCTGCTGCACCTTTGATGGTTGTGTGGGAGGGAGAATTGCAGCAAGTGTAGCATGCATGAGAGGCTGCAGCTACTGAAATGTCCATTCCTTGGCAATGATTAAAGGTACAAGAACCATGTCCTCTTTCACATTTGGTCATGGTACTAAGCTGATCCTGAAGGTGATTGCCGCTAGTTAGTCCAGAACAGTCAGGCCTGCAGAAACAAATCTGTAGTCCTCTCCCCACGTTTGGTAGCTCTTCATTATGGAGCCTTCCTCCACTCCATCCAAGTTAATACTGTTGTTAGGAAAAGCTTCTGCCTGGACAAGACTGAAGCATTTACAGAGTTTGCAAAAGCCACAGCAGTTTTTATAAGGTGTAAACCCCAGTACCAGCAAATTCAAATTATTTGTAACAGAAGGAACATGATTAAGTTTTTTTTCCTTTTCTTTCAAACCACAAAATCCATTTTTTTCTCCTCTTATTCCTAACCCACTCTTTTAATTTTCTTTCTCTGGTAGAGATACTGCTTCTAAAGTAGGTTAGTTTTGTGGGGCAAAGATAGCAGGCAAGATTTCATGAGAGACTCATTTGGTGCTTCCAAAACACCCTTGGATATTTTTGCATCCCAGACAAATCTAGGAGTGACACCTTTGTGGACGTCCCCTTCCTTTCTTCCTCCTCTACTCCTGGTTATATTTGTTTCTATACCTGACAATGCTTGTCATGAGCCTCCTTTTACTGCTTTTTTCTAATCACATGCAGAGCGTACAGAGCAAAAACCCAGGTCAGAGGGTGCAGCTAGTGTTATAGGTGGTAAAAGCTCCAGCGGTGCTATCCATGCTTCATGTCACTGTTGATGGCTGCCAGCCAAAGCAAAACAGTAAGCTCAGCTCTGCCTGTTTCCCCTAGCATCAACAATGCCCACAATGCCATATTTCAGATCGGGGCAATCATGAATCAGATATTTTCAGGTGTGATGCAGTGTTAATATGGGTTGGAGTCCCAAAGGTGTTTCTTAAGGGCATAAGAAGAGCTCTGCAGGATCACACCAAAGCCTGTCTAGTTCAGCCCCCTGTTCACACAAGGTGCACTGAGAAATCCACAAGGAAGACAGGAGTGTGAGTTCTCTCTACTGAGAGCTGGAATGTGGTAATGTGGACAGGGCTGAGGAACCAGCTGGAGTCCTCTGCATGCTGTTGGACTCAACATCCATCGGTCTCCGTCAGCATGGGCAATAGGCAGGCAGGATAGAACCTGGAGTCGAACAGCATCTGGAGGGTCACTGATTTCCCATCGCTGCTCTAGAGTGTCAAGCAAATGTTATCTGTATTCAGGTTCCTGTTAAAGTGCTTGTTGACTCTCATTCTAACTGTCTCTAGATGATAGATAGATACAGATATAGGGAAAGAGAAGAATAGCAGAGAGAAAGAAAGATAGTCTTCTCTCTTATGCTTGCCACCAGTACTGTCCAGAATCTTGCACATCTGTTTTGTTTCCTAATAAACTTCTTGATTTCAGCCTAATTTGACCATTATGTAACTAATTGCTTCTGCACACACAGAAAGTCAAAAAAGCAAGCAAGCAAGTGAAGGCATTGATTTCTTCCAGTGCAGAATGCTTCTCACCTATTTATTGGGCTCAGAACTTCACATTTGATCAATGCCTCAAAACACAGCAGAAGACACAGGAAACTCAAAGAAAAATAGTGCCTTGAAAGGCTCACCAGTATAAGAAGGAATTCTTTGAGTTGTGTCTGTTACTCCTATTTAAAGCGATTTGCTGTAAAATCAAAATAAATGTCAAGTAGAATCAAATATGGATAAACCTGTGGCCTTTTCATTGTTGTCTCTGAGCTCTGTCTGCTGATTCCAGGAGGAGGATTAAATACACAACAATTTTATCTTAGTGGGCCCAGTATTGAACCTTCAATGATTTAAGGGCAATTGAAAGCTTTAGGGGACCAGTTGGTGGAAAATGAGAAGGCTTTATATACAGTTTATCAAATGGAAGGAAGGATGTTTTGTACATAAAAGAAGCTTTATTTCAGGATTGCAGAGAGCTCTTTCTGCAAGCTGCTGAATGCCAATTATGGCTGCTGGGCATTTTGTAAATTTTAGAACTGTGAAAGAAAGAGCATAAGCTAAGAACATTGGGCAATAAATGGAAGCTAACTTTCTCTTTGACAACAATACTATTATTTGAGGTAATGCCAGAGAATGGGGGTTCAAAGTATTGTAAAGGACCCCCTTTCCAAACATCAGTGCTGTTTTGTGTTCAGCCTTAGTTCGTTTTTCAGGTTCAGCGCCATCTTTCCAAACTCTTTGACAATATGGCGAAGATGAAATTCCAAGTGGATTCTGACCAAAACCCAACCAAGCTGGGCTTAGGAATGTACAGTAAAGAAGAAGAGTATGTTACTTTTAGTGAACCATGTGACTGCAGTGGACAGGTGAGGTTATGCCAAGGAACCAGCTTGTTTTCGTGAATAAGTTAGGCTGAATATGAGAGTATGGCAATGATAGTGAAAAATGCATGCAAACTTAAAAAGTACTGCAAAAGAAAGTGCTTTTTGAGCTGATGAAGTAGCAACAGAAACAATATGCAAGGCATTATTTTAAAGCTCAGCTTTATTTGCATTGGGCCATAAACTATTTAGATCATCCTTCCTCAATATGGTGTCCGCCAGTTACTTGGTACCTCCACTTCTGTCAGCTCTGACCAGCAAGACCAATAGCCAGGAATGCTGTGTACTGTGGTCCCAAATATCTGGCAGGCACCAGGTATTTGCTGATTTAGCAGTTTCCAAGACTGTATTTGGGCCTAGCAGACTACGGAGGAGGCTTCTGGATCCTTGATGCAGCATGCATGCAGCCATTCATCCTCCGTTGTGCACACACGGTTGTGTGCCTCAATGACTTTTGCCTAGCCCAGTTTTTTATTCAGTGCTTAGAATAACATAAGATTATTTTTCCCACTAATATTTTTCCCCCAACCCACACACAGAACCAACCCTGCAGGAAAAGGGATGTAACAATGTTTCACCTTTTATTTCCTGTGCACTTCTATAACTGTTATAAAAGGGGATATAACTACTTAACAGCCACTGCAATTACTTCTTGACAGCCCTCAGAGGCTGTAGGATGTGGGTGTTTGCTAGCAAGCAGGGAAGATTGAGCCAGTCCCAAGTATGAAACAATGCCTGGGCTTTTTGTTAGAGATGCAGCACGACAAATACCTTTTGTAGTTATGAGGAGCAAACAAAGAACCATCTCCAGGGAGTGTAACGTAGATGGGAAATACCTGGTTTCTTTTTCTCTAGGTGGAGAGCTGGCTGAACCGAGTGCTGGACAGCATGCGGGCCACTGTGAGGCATGAGATGACGGAGGCTGTGATGGCTTATGAGGAAAAGGCTAGAGAACAATGGCTTTTTGACTATCCTGCACAGGTACTGCTTTGTTTTTGTCCCTGCTTAAACGATCTTTGTACAGGATGTATCTGGTGGAGCCCTGTTTGCCTTCTACTCCTGAGCATCTGCCACTTCTGGAACCTGGGGTAGTCCTCTTGTATAGGACCAGCAGTAATCTGTCCTTCTCTGAAGATAAGTGGGGTTGCTTATTAAGAGGCACTGCCCATGTAGCTTTGGTGTTTCTGGTTGTTAATATCAGTGTTCAACATTGGTTTGTGGGCTGGAGTTCAGAGAGCAGGAGCAACCCATTGGATTACTATGAAGCAGAGTCCTATGAAGGTTGTGGAAAACAAAGCTTTGGTATTAATAAGAGATGTCTACCAAATGTTCCTTGCTAGGGATAAAACCCAAGGGAGAATCAGAGGCATGTGTAGCTCAAGAACTCCAGAAAGCGGATAAGAAATGTAAAGCCAAGCCCAGGAAGAAATAAAGGTCAACAGTAAAGCATTAAGAGTAGCTCTTTAATAAGATTTTTAAAAGCTGTATTCTAATTTCCTACCCCGACAAAAGAACAGCATGGTCCTAATCTTGCCCGCGATTGAGAGAGCAATCCTATATTAAATAGGTAGCAAGAACTCTCTTTTAAAAATCACCCAGAATGTTTTTACCATTGTAGTGTGAAGAATAATTAACACGGGCTACATATTTTAATCTTAAATAGTCTTGGAAAATCTCCCCAAGGTGGAATCTCTATTCTGGTCCATAGTGCAGACTCCTTTTCAGGGCACTTGGGCAAGACATTCTGAAAGGGAATGTCTCTACTTTCTCACAGCTGCTGTCATCTGCTGCTCTTGCCCCTCATCCTTTTTCTCATCACCAATATCATTTCTTCACTTGACAGGCAGAGAACCAGTCAGCAAGCAGGCTGTGGCACCAACTCCTCCTCCTCCCCACATCTGTTGTCTGGGCCTGAGTAAAATGAAGGTGAACAGGCAGGCTACAGTGGAGAAAAGGAGGGGCGGGGCAGGGGCTGTGGGCTGCTCTTGGGGTGTAGGCCCTTATAAGATGCCCACTCATGCCTGCCGTTGGTGCTTGCCCTGCTAGTCCACATCAGGAAGATTGAGGTGTCCCATAACTGGAGCAAAAAGAACAAAGGCACAGTCCAGTTGCTGCTTAAATGGTTTTATTTTTCTGTATGAACACAGGGTTCATTTTAATCACTCTTGAAGCAGGTCAGTGCTTTAAGAATTAGGTTGCCAGTGACTGAAGTTTATCAGATGGTTTTACAGCTCAGAGGGGTTTTGTTTTGCTTATAAAATGAAAAGCAAAGTCATTTCCTTCTAGCCTCTAATAAATAGAAGCTTGAGGGGAAATGACTTCTCTTTTTATAATACATTGAGTAGAGGTTCTTTTTTCTAGGCATGCAGTCTAATTTGGACACTGAGAAAAAACGTTGGTGGGTTTTTTTTCAGTTTTTAGAAGTGTGGAAAAAATTCAGCTTTTATTCTACCTTTTCTCATGTTTAAATAATTATACCCTCCTGACGTTTTACTTCAAACTGCAGTATCTGTTAACCTCTCCTTTCCATCCTTTGACATTTAAGTGGCAGTAACTCTATATCTCATGCTACTTATGCACATTTTAATGGCTTCTCATAGATTACCTGACACAGGTGGCCAGCGGGGGATACCATTGGGATCAGCAGTGTTTAAATTCCAGCTTTTCGTTAATGCCCTGATGGCTTGATCTTTTGTGACCATAACCATATGGTAGGGATGGTCTTTGAAACACCTTCTGCTTTGGGATAATTGCTCTTTACCTTTTGACTCTCTTCCTGCTGTGTTTTTTTGTGTGATGGTTTGCCACTGTCTCAGAACATTGGCCTGTAAAACTGGGAAAAACTAGTTATTGCTGGAGAGATGCAGAAGTGAGGAAAGGCAGGATGTCCCAGAAGAACTAGAGAAAGTCCTCAAGTATCTCTGTGCTTATTCAGCTGCAGTATTTTCCTACACTGGCACAAGAATCAAGAAGCAGAACATGACTAAAGTGTCAGTGTACAACATCTACATAACCTTCCAGGAATTACCATGAATTCTCACTCATAGAAATTCCCTTATTTGTATTGCATAATATTCTTGTGTATGTTATGGATTTGTATGTTTTTGTTTATTAATTGATTTAATAAAATTTAAATAAAAAAATTCCCTTCAGATATGTGTTTGTTTTCTGACACGGATTGATGTATTGCTTCATGGATAGTCTTACGTACATTAAAAGAAATCGCAGAATCTGGCCAAAAAACTCACCCATCCATCATTGTTGGCTCAGCAAAAGTTACTGAATTTCTTTCCCTTTCCAAGGTGGCACTTACTTGTACCCAAATCTGGTGGACCACAGAGGTTGGGATTGCCTTTGCCAGGTTGGAAGAAGGCTATGAGAATGCCATGAAGGAGTACTACAAGAAGCAGGTGGCTCAGCTGAACACCCTGATCACCATGCTCATTGGACAGCTCTCCAAGGGTGACAGGCAGAAGATCATGACCATCTGCACCATAGATGTGCATGCTCGAGATGTGGTGGCCAAGATGATAGCTCAAAAGGTTTGTTGCACACTGTGAGCGTCAGTGTCTTTTCCAAGTGCTTTCTCTTGGGATGGCCAATTCCTTTTGAGGAGGTTGTGCTCCGCCAGGGAGGATGAGTAGGTGGTCAATCAGCAGTGAGATGGCGTCTTAGGAAAACTTGTCCTGCCCCCACACATCCCAACTCATGGGTTCTTGGGACCAGTTTTTTTCAGTAATAAAACTGCTGAAGTCAGGACTATGATGGGCTGATGTTGTTGTGGAAAAGTTGCGGGCTACATTTTTACCCGGCTCCTCCCACTTGAGTCGATTCCTTGCCCTTCCCTTCCTTGCAAGGGGAAGTTCTTGGTGACTGCTCACAATTTCTGGAATTCCTTGCCAAGAAAGGCCCATCCAGCCTAGTTGAGGTGACTTTGTGTGTGTAGGCAAATAGTTCATTATTTATGTAGGCTTTTGGTCCATAAACTGACTTACAAATATGTTGAAATTTGGTTTAACTGATTGCTAATGAATTTTCATGCTTTACCTGCCTTGATTTTGTGTGTTTTATTTTGTATTTTATTGTTGTTCCATTTCATTATATTATACTTGCACTTTTGTTGTGAGTTGCCTTGTGTATCATTTGGTGGAATGGCTGGATACAACATCATCACCATCATCAGCAAATAAATAATAATGACTGCATGGTATGTTACAGAATTTCAAATAACCTCACATCTGATTGGCTGTAACTATCAGTAACCAGAAAAGAGAAGTAAGTCATACAGGATTTCTGGCAGTCATACAAATTTTTCAAGTGAGGAATTTTCTGGGAGGCATCACTTGAAAGCCAAGGCAACCAAAGAGCAATTTCAAGCACATCCAAGGGCTTGAGCATCCTCAATGGAGCCTTTGACTTCTTTTGTTTGAACAGCATTCCTCACACACACTATTGTCTAAGCTTGATTTTGATCATGTTCTCCCTTTGGCCATGTCAGACGAATTTAATTCTTGTGTTCACAGTTGAAGCTGGCCAGCTCTGATTCTGATCTGTTTTCTCTGTCCATTCCATATAGTTTTGCCACCTTCCTTCACCTTTGTTACTTGGGCAGGTGCCTCAGACTCTGCACAAAAGGAACTTGGATGAAGATGGGAAGTTTAGGAGAGAACTTGGGATATCCAGCTGGAGCCAGTACCAACTCCTCAGTGTTTTTATTGATTTTCTGCTCTACTTTTGAAGGTGGACAATGCACAAGTGTTCCTGTGGCTGTCACAACTCCGGCACCGGTGGGCAGATGAGGAGAAGCACTGCTATGCAAACATTTGTGATGCACAATTCCTGTACTCCTATGAATACCTTGGAAACACACCACGCCTTGTGATCACTCCTTTGACAGACAGGTAGATGCTTGGAAGGCTTCACATGTGGGAAGCTGGCACTCGTGTAGTAATTTAGCTTGGCAAGTTGTTAGACAGTCTGCCTTTTCTTTTTCAGCAGTGTGCTATTTCTACATGAAATTGGTTCTGGAGGTCCATTACGTCAAAGGGAGGGGATTCAATTCAGTTCCAGTAAATTTCTAGCTCATAAGATCAGGAAAGGGAGCAGTTGCAGGAAGATGCAGTACAACACTGGGTTTCCATGTGACGGGGGCTTAAAGGAGGACTTCTATGTACCAAAAATCCAAGCTGCTGGCAGAGACCACTTTCTGGGTCCAAACATAAAGTGCTTCTCAGAATTTCTGAGCTCCCCACCAGAAAGAGAGTCCTGTAAGTGATCTGGTCTTTGGGAGACGACTGTGGTCAGAGTAACTGGTAATCAGGACTGGGCAATATTTGGCCCTTTGGATGCTCTGGGGTAGAAATTACATCAACCCTCACTCTTGGCTATGATAGCTAGCTAGGACTGATAGGAGTTATAGGCCAAAACATCTAGAGGGCCTCTTGTTGTCCACCCATGCTATCAATGATGCAGGCTCCTTTGATTCACAAATCCCCGGAACTTAATACCCAACATTATCTTAGACCAACATTCCATGTTCAGCAGGGTGCCTGCATTGTTCCAGTCCAAAGATTTGTGGGCACCATTGGTGGATTGTAATATTTTAATTCAAAACTCTTACTGCCAGTAACATAGACTTAGGGGAGGCATTTCAACCTTTAAGAAGGGGGAAATGCAGAAAAGCCAGGAAAGCACCAAATCATTGGTGGAACAGGAGTAGAGCCAAAGGAAGAGGTCATGACCATCTGGAGACCTCAGGAACTGGTAAGAAAGAAGCTGAAGAGGGGAATCAAGAAGTTTAAATCACTTCAAAGTGCTTGGAGATAACTCAAAAACACTATAAGAGAGGCATAGATAATATGCATGCCATAAGTGAGGAAAGGTAGCATGAAGTCCAGGAAATTGCCAGCATGGTTAATGTGTAGAGTCAAGAAAGCTATTAGGGGGAAGAAAGCTTCCTTTGAAAAATGGAAGTCTTGCCCAAATTAAAAACAAGCAAACAAATGAACAGAAAGGTCCAAAAGCTTGCATGCAGGAGATGTAAGCAAACAGAAGCAAGGAAACAGTTTGAGCACATCACTAACAACATCCAGGCCAACTCTAAAGAGTCCTTTAAATTTATCAGAAGAAAGCAGTTAAGAAAGCAGTTGGACCATTGGATGATAATGGAATAAAAGGAGCACTAAGGGGAATGAGAAGATTGCAGGGAAGCCAAATGAATTTTGTTTTGTCAGTCTTCACAGCAGACGATGTAGAGCAGATAACCATTCCTGAGCTTTATGTATCCTAGAAAGGAGTTTGAGGAATTAAGGCAGATAGCAGTGACAAAGATGAGATTCTCAGCCTTATTGACAAACAGAAGGTCAGCAAATCACCTGATCCAGATGATATCCATCCTAGAGTTCTCAAAGAACTGAAACATGAAATTGCTAATCTTCTTACCAAAATATTTAATAACTCCCTTGTATCAGAGGATTGGAGGATGGCCAGTGTAAAACCAATTTTTAAAAAGGGAACTGGGAGGATCTGGAAAATTGCAGGCCAGTCAGCTTAACAGCTGTTCTAGATAAACTGTTTGAAAACATTAGACTCAGTAAGCACATAGAGGGACAAGCCCTGCTGAAAGAAAAAAACAGCATGGTATCTGTGAGGAAAAGTAATCTCATTAAGCTGTTACAGTTCTTTGAGAGTGTCAGTAAGCACATCAACAGATGCAATCCAGTAGAGATTGTTTACTTGGACTTCCAAAAGTCTTTTGACGAAGTCCCTCACCAAAGACTCCTGAGCAAACTAAAGCAGTCATGGAATAAAAGGGGGAGGGGGGTCCCCTTATGGATTGCTAACTGGCTAAAGAGCAGAAGAGAGGGTGGGAATAAATGGCAATTTCTTCCGATGGAGAGATTGCCAGTGGAGTCCCACAGTATTAGGACCAATGCATTTAAACCTATTCATAAATGATCTTAGATTAGGAGTTAGTAGTGAAGTGGCCAAGCTTGTTGATGACACCAAACCATTTAGGATGGTTAAAAGCAAAAGGGATTGTGAGGAGCTCCAAAGGGATCTCTCCAAGCTGGGAGAAGGAGTATCAAAATGGCAAATGTAACCAAATGTTAAGTGATGCATGTTGGGACAAACAATCCCAACTTCAAGTGTAAGGTGATGGGATCTGAGCTAGCAGTGACTGAGCGAGAAAGGATCTTGGGGTAGTGGTGGACAATGAATGTTGTCTACATATTCAGTAGTGTTGATTCAGGGCCTGATGAATATGTAGGCCCAATGTGCAGCTCTTGTGAAAAAGGCAAACTTCATGCTAGGCCTGATTAGGAATGGAATAGAAAATAGAACTATTAAAATCTTACTCCCCTTTTTACAAATCTTTGGTGTGACCATGCTTGGAATGTGTTCAATTTTGGTCATGTTACCTGAAAAAGGACATTATTGAGTTGGAAAAATCACAGAGGAGGACAGCAATAATAATAATGATAATGATAATATTAATAACAACAACAACAATAGCCAAAGCTCTCTGGGCAGTTTACAACAAAGTATAAAACAAGTAAAAATGATTAACAATATAAAAATGATCAGGTCTTTGAGGAGCGGCTATAAGAACTGGAACTGTTTCACTCAGAAAAAAGGCAGGTAAGGGGAGACATGATAGAGGCATTTAAAATAATGCATGGTGTAGAGAAAGTGGAGAGGGAGGGATTTTTCTCCCTCTCCCACAATACTCAAAACCAGGGTGATTCCATGAAGCTGGTTGGTGGGATAAAATGAAGTACTTCACACAGCACATGATTAAACTATGGACTTTGCTGCTATGGGAAGCAGTTATGGCCACCAATTTGGATGGCTTTAAAAAGAGATTGGACAGATGCATGAGGGAGGAGGCTACCAGTGGCTTCTAGTCTTGCTGGCTGTGTGTTTCCTCCCTCACCAGAGGTGGCCTGCCTGTGTACACCAGTTGCTGAGGAGCTTGGGCAGGAAGAGGTCTTGCACCCATCCTGCTTGAGGGATCCTGTGGGCGACTGATTTGCCACCATCTATTCAGAGTGCTGGACTGGATGAACGATTGGTCTGATCCAGCCTGGCTTTTGTTATGTTCTTATGAGAGCCATTTTGGACCCTGCCACAGAATTCCCTGTCACTTGCTTGATTATTGGCTTGGGAGCAGACTGTGTTTAGCACAAATGTCACTCCTTTCTGTTTTCCTTCTTCTCTGAACACGGAAGGTGCTACATCACTCTCACCCAGTCCTTGCACTTAACTATGAGTGGAGCTCCTGCAGGGCCAGCTGGTACTGGGAAGACTGAGACAACCAAGGATCTGGGCCGAGCTCTTGGCATCATGGTATATGTTTTCAACTGCTCAGAGCAAATGGACTATAAGGTAACTGTTCAGAAACAGTTAAGAATACAAACGTGTTAATTTAAGTTAATTTTATTTTAATGTTAAGAGGCACCAAGGCAGGGTGAAAGAGAAGTCACTTACTTTGCTTGAAAAGTGAAAAGTGACAGCTTTCTCATGCTGTTGCCATGTAAAAAGGTAAAGATAAAGGTTTCCCCATGACATTAAAGGCCAGTCATGTTTGACTCTAGGGGGCGGTGCTCATCTCCATTTCCTAGCCGAGGGAGCCAGCGTTTGTCCACAGACAGTTTTGGTGGTCATGTGGCCAGCATGACTGAACACCAAGGTGCACAGAACACTGTTACCTTCCCACCAAAGTGGTACCTATTTATCCACTTGCATTTATATGCTTTCGAACTGCAAGGTTGGCAGAAGCTGGGACAAAGCAATGGGAGCTCACCCCATCTGTAGATTCAAACCCCAGCCCAGCAGCACAGAAGTTTAAACCACTGCTGAGTGTAGGGAGGTGTAAAAGGGTTCTTGATCAGAACTATATGCTGGTATGGGGTTGGGGTGGGGGATGAGAAATTTAAAACTTCATCAAAAATCAAGATAAACATACTTATTATTACATTTGAAGTTGCAGAGGAGTTGCATTTCAGGTTCATTTTGATAAATTCCCCATCGACATACTTTATATTCTTTCTCTTTCACCTACTTTTTGGGGCATGAGCTGCATCAGAACTAATGGGAATAGCACAAAATACAACAGTACTCTAGTGGATTTTTAGAAATTTTTCCCTGGGAAGATGTAGTGTCCACGTTCCCTTTATTCCCCCCTTCTCCAATGCTATTTATTTTGCTCTTGTGAGAAAATATCACTATGTGACCTCAGCAAGTTCTTTGTTCTCAAGAAGGTGGTTCCCAAGCTTCTGAAAACACTTTTAGCTTCCACCAGTGGAATGCTGACTTGGTGAGGGAGGTTTTCAGCATCTGATGTGGAAATGAAACCTCCTCAGCTGCATTTGCTGTATTGTTGCCTAGACAAAATGCAGCTAGGTGGTGTGTTTTCAATGTATTTGGAACTCACTGCTGCTGTTGACAAAACCAGTCAGCATCAAATGGGGTTACTGCATGTATGCAGTAAAATGTGCAGTTGAGAAGCTCATTTGTGCTGGTCATTGCCTTCGTTTGTCTTTAGTTTCTCAGGTCTTTGATAAACACCTTCAGAACTCCCCCAGGACAGTGTGGAGTGTGGCTTTTTGTAATCCAAATGCAGAGAATTACAGACATCCAATGGAAGACAGAATGAGCATGGAGGCTAGGATCGCCTCTGCTTTTTGCTAGCCCTCCAAAACATGTTGAAATGTTTTCCTCCTCTTTACAAGAAGGAGAGCAGTTGAGGCATTACTGGAATTCTTTGGAAGATGGTGGTGCTTGCTGCTCCCTTCCCCACACCCCACACCAGCTTCAGAGGTAGTTTTCCATCTCTGAAGCCCAACCAGCAAAGAAAGAACTGGTCTGGCTTTGAGGGTGGAGCAAGGGCCCTTTGAAGTCTGACTCCTATTTCTGACCTCAGTATCTTCTTCCCCAGTTGCACCTGGGACTCTGATCTATCCTATGCCCTGCAGGACAAAGTTAGTAGATGCCCTAAATTGCTTATGAGGTTGGGAATAGATTGCATACTTTGCACTGATACAGATTCTCTGGGTAATTTTGCTGATCATTCTCTCCCCCCCCCCCCTCTCTCTCTCTGCATTTGTTGCAGTCTTGTGGAAACATTTACAAAGGTCTTTCTCAGACTGGTGCTTGGGGCTGCTTTGATGAGTTTAACAGAATCTCTGTTGAGGTTCTATCAGTGGTGGCTGTTCAGGTGAGTAACAAGTGCCTCATAAGATGAAAAATAAAACAAAAAGTGTGAGCCAGGGACATAGTTTACCACATACCTTGATATGCTACTTTTATTCTGTTTATCTGACATGTTGATATCCCACCTTTCTACTGATCCATTTCCAAGACAGTCACAGTAAAACCAGATCAGCCATAATATACAAATACAATCTGGTGACAAAAAGTGTGCATGTGAAACTCCTAATGAAGGCACTATATTGACATCTTTTTTCTCTTTTTTCTTGTTGAATTTTCTCTCTTGAATTCCCATTGTTCACAAATAGTATTTGAAATTATCACATTGTCCATGAAAAGGGAAGAAATGATTAATTTAAAAAGAACAGCAATGGCAGGAGCAGTCAAATAATCAACCAAATTATGTGGATAATAAAAGAGTGTTTAAAAGAAAAGAGTCTGGGAAGAATTTTTGTTAAATGGGGTGCTACCCCAGATAAACAGCCGTGCTCTTGAGTGCCACCTGGATTCAGAAGAGGCAGGTGCTTGGGAATTATTGTTTGAACACTGCTTCAAGAATTGTGGTTACATAAAGTGGAATGGAATTAAACCCCATTAGGATTAAATTTCCTTTTTTATTCCTTGGTCTTCTGGTGCTTGATAGCTGTCATTGAATGAGATGGGCAGATTCCATATAGCAACTTTACCCACTTCTGTAAGAAGAAATGCTGCAATAAATAGAATATTTGTACTGTTAACATTGGGGGTGTAATGAATTGTTATAGCAGTGAGAACTGACATCCATAGTTTAATACTCAGCATGCAGAGCTGAGATGTGAGTTCTATTTGCACTGAAGGCCCTGCGTCCAATTCACTTGTGATTAATGGATCAGATAATTCTCCTTCTGCACTTGCATTCACTTATAGGTCTGTTTCATCCTGTCTCAAACTGCTAATTAAACAATTTGCACAAAAAGATGCTTTAGTTTTAGACTTACTTGTTTTACAAAATATGCATTTTGTGTGCATTTTAAACTAAAATATGTATTTTTACACATGGTAATATTTAGAAACAAGTACTATATTGCAAAATTCAGAGAAGTGTGGCAAGTGAAGAAGAAGAATTCTGATCAACGTATTAATTTGGCAAAAGGGGATCAGGTCAGTTTTGCCTAAAGGTGCAGACTGAACAAAATGCTGCCTTTCATTTTACTCTCTATCATTAGTGTTTTAGTTTTCGGGATAAGCTCATGTACGAACTTTGACTAAACCAGGGGTCTCAAATTCGCAGCCCGTGGGCCAATTGCCGGGATGGGGGGGCACGGGGGAGGGGCCCTGCGGCCTTCAAAGCACCGGCGGCGCCCGGGCCGGCCTCCGGGAGCCACGTGGGATGAGCGGCCCACCACCACCACGGTGGTGGAATACTTGATAAAGCCCAGCCTCACTCAGACTCTACTTGCAGTGGCCCCCAGGTAAGTTGAGTTTGAGATCCCTGGACTAAACTTATGGTTGTACTAAAAGTGCATTGCTTACTAATGCTTCCTTTCTCTTTCTTTTGATTACTGAAGCAGAGGTTATTTTGTTATTATTTTTGATAAAAACAAAATAAATCTGCGGGCAGTGATAGTGAACCTTTTAGAGACCGAGTGCCCAAATTGCAACATAAAACCCACTTATCTATCGCAAAGTGCCAGCAGTACAATAAAACCTGAAAACTGTGGTTTTAGTTTAGGAAAAACAACTCATAGCCAGTCCAAGCAAATATGTATGTGTATGTGTATGTGTATCTGAGTATCCATGGCAAAGGACTGACCGGCCAAGCGTAAGTTTGGACGAGTGGCGGATAAAGAGTCATGGCTAGTGATGTCATCACCTGGTGTTGCTGCTCCTTTCTGAGCATGCACATGGCCCCAGGGTGCACTGTTTTCCGATGCTCAGTGGGTAGAGTGAAGCTGGGGCAACTTGGCTCATGTGCCAAGGAGAGTTCTGCATGCCCACTGTGGGAAGCGTGCCATAGGTTCACCACCACTGCGCTAACCCTACCCTGGTGCGCACACCTAGCCCTAATATAGGGGTAAAATACTATTGAAAGGGGTGATTTTGAAAAAGCCTTCCTTGAGTAGGTTTTTCTGCACAGCTCATCATTTCTCCCCATTTTAAACACATACCAAACATCAGAATCATGCGAGGACACCTCATTTTTCTAACCCTAAGACGACCCTGGTGCACACCCTTAACCCTAACATGGGGCTAAAGTTTCAGTGAAAAGAGGATGACTTGAAAAACCGTTTCTTGAGTAGGTTTTTCTGCACAGCTCATCATTTCTGACCATTCTAAACACCTTCCAACCATCAAAATCATGCCAGGACACCTGGTTTTTCTAACCCCAACCCTACCCTGATGCACACTCCTAACACTAATACAGGGTGAATGTTCCATTGAAAAGAGGGCGATTTTGAAAAGCCTTTCTTGAGTAGGTTTTTCTGCACAGCTCATCATTTCTGCCCATTCTAAACACAATAAAATCGGATAACCGATGTTTTATCTCAGAAAAAATACCTTACAGCTAGTCCAAGCAAATATATATATGTATCCTTGGCAGCGCACTGACTGGCTTTGCGAAAGCTTGGACTAGTCCCGGCTCATCAGTTTCGGCTTGTTATGTCATCACCTGGCGTTGCTACTGCTTTTCAAGCATGCACACGGCCCCTAAGTGTACTGTTATTCTATGTTCGACTGCTGGGACGATGCTGGGGTGACTTGGCTCGTGTACTGACAGAGAGGGCTCTGTGTGCCATAGGTTTGCCACCACTTCTTTATGGTAAAGGGATGATCAATACCTGATATGCACATGATTTTAGTTTAGGGAAACTCAGTGGAGAAAGGGAGCCTACTCTGATAGGTTAGTTGTGGTTTGACCTCTTGTAGATGTCTAGATGGTATGGCACATGGCTGTTACATAGCTTCTGATGTAGTACTTCTCAAGGTGCTCTATTTTCTGGCTCATATTACGTTTCAAACAATTTCTAGGAGTTACTGAGCTTTGATATCCACACACATTCTTGAGGAGGTTATGTTGGAACATTTATAGATCTGAGTCATTGTTTATGGTGGCATTCATCATGAGAGCCAGTGTGGTTTAGTGGTTAAGAGCATGGGATTGGGACTCAGACGATCTGGGTTCTAGTCCCCACTCAGCCATGGAGCCAACTGGGTGGCTTTGGGCCAGGCACAGACTCTCAGCCCAACCTACCTCACAGGGTTGTTGTGGGGATAAGATGGAGGAGGAGAATGATGTAAGCTGCCTTGAGCCCTTTGTAGGAAAAAGGCAGGATATAAATAGAAAAAAAAATAAAAAATAAAAATAAAATGTACCTAGCACTTAAATTGTGTTTTGTGTTGAATTGGCTCCTACACTGGTTGGCTGTCTGCTCCAGGGACATGCAATGGAAGGAAGGTGCACTCATGTAGTCCCTCAGGAAAGGATAGAACTTCCGGGAATCAGCCTCAAACTGAAGTCAGCTAAGCCATCCTGAGACTCTAGTAGTGGATGGGCTAGAAAAGCTTTTAATAAATAAATACCTGGGCAAACGTACAGGGAGGGGAAATGCTTGTGTAAATCAGTGGAGTGAGGATTAGATCCTCTTAAGCTTGTCAATGTGCCCTGACTTGGAAAGAGAACAAAGAGTACATCTCATTGAAGGAGACAAGATATATTCAGATAAAGAGTCTCTAGTTAATATAATGTTCATGACTTTTCTCCATTTGTTAAGGCAGCTTTTCCCAATTCAGTGCCCTCCAGATGTTTTTGGACTTCAGTTCCCATTAGCCCAACTGGTATGGCCAATGATAATGAATGTTCAATTTTGTAGTCTAAAGCATTTGGAGAGTACTAAGTTGGGGAAGTCTGGTTGCATTGATCATTGAAATAAAATTAAGACTATTAAAATGAAATTTAAAACTCCATCTTCATGGTTTTGAATATGATTTGGAATCTAGATAAGGAGAAAATCCATTTGATTGTGTCCCTTGTAAAGCTTATGTCACTTGGAATTGTAATTGTTATTGTTTGAAGACAGACTATTAATAGTGAAATTAAACTAATAAAATTGTGTTGATAGTTTCCTCCTCTTGGGAAACACCCCAACCGGAAAAGCATTCATGAGATTATGCTCTCCATAGATAATAGTCACATGATTGATGAATAGTCATGAGGTGTGAGCTACTCAGCAGGACAAAAGAGGCAAGGCATAAAGTTAGTGAGTAAAGGGAAGAATGCTAGATAGATGCATTGCTGTTGTCATTCCATATTCAAGGCAGCAATTCACAAAACCTTACTTAACTTTCAGGTCAATTAAAATTATACCTTAGATAACTAGTGTATGTGGATATGATATTTGGGGCCCAAAGCAGGGGGTGTTATGTTTAATAGGCTTTCTGCCATGTGGGCATGCAGATCAGTTATACAGGGGGATAGAGGAATGCTATATCAAGAGGCATTTTAGATGGCATGGAAAACTTGTATTCCTTTTCTCTCTGCATCAGGTGAATCTGTACAATTGCTCCAAACAGGCTGGTTTGGAATAGACCAGGATTGGGATGTGACCTGATATCACCAGCTCCCTCATCCTTGCTTCACTGAGCTTTGTTGCTGGGTGTTACAGTGTGGGAACTCGGCTCTTCAGCCTACATTTTATGTTCAGGCAACCACAGCTGCCTGGGTACCAGAACTGCCATTGGATAGAGGCAGCCCGTTATATTGTTGCTATTCATAGGGAGCAGCTTCCTAGGTGGCTGCACTCCTGCTGGTGCAGCCCCCCTTATTTCTAGTTCATATTTTATTTATTATTTTATTTATTAAAACATTTTTATGCCGCCCCATTCGCCGAAGCCTCGGGGCGGCTTACAACACTAGATAAAACAATAAGTTAAAATATCCATATAAAATAATCATAATTTAAAACACACATTATAAAATAAGCCGCCCTGGCCAGATAAAATTCAGTTGTGCTAGCATTTAAAATGTTGCTTAAATAAAAAGGTCTTTGCCTGGCGCCGAAAAACAAATAACGACGGCGCCAGGCGGACCTCTCTGGGGAGCGCATTCCATAACTTAGGCACCAACCACTGAGAAAGCCCTTCTCCGAGTAGCCACCCTCCTAATTTCTCTCACTGAGGGCTCCCGGAGAAGGGCCTCTCCCGCCGATCTCAGGGGGCGACTGGGCAAATATGGATGTAAGCGCTCCTTCAGGTAACCAGGACCCAAGCCGTTTAGGGCTTTATAGGTCATTACCAACACCTTGAATTGGGCCCGGACTTCAATGGGGAGCCAGTGAAGCTGACGGAGAACTGGAGTCATGTGAACATAACGTCCAGTCCCCGTCAGCAGCCTGGCAGCTCTATTCTGAACCAATTGAAGTATCCAGACCGTCTTCAAGGGTAGCCCCACGTAGAGCGCGTTACAGAAGTCAAGACGGGAAGTCACCAGCGCATGAGTCACTGTTGCAAGGGAGTCGTACTCCAGGTAGGGGCGCAGCTGATGAATCAGCCGAAGCTGGAGGAAAGCGCTCCTCGCCACTGTTGTCACCTGAGCTTCGAGTGAAAGCTCCGGGTCGAGGAGCACTCCCAAGCTGCGGACCTTGTCCCTAGGAGGGAGTGCAACCCCATTCAGGACTAGGTCAAATCCACCCTCTCCGAAGCCCAATCCGCCAACCAACAGGACCTCCGTCTTGTCTGGATTGAGCTTCAGTTTATTGGCCCTCATCCAGCCCATTACCTCGGCCAGGCACCGGTTCAGTACAGCCACTGCCTCACCTGGATTGGTGGAAAACGAGAGGTAGAGCTGGGTATCATCAGCATACTGATGGTTCCGCAGCCCACACCTCCTGATGACCTCTCCCAGCGGTTTCATGTAGATGTTGAACAGTAAAGGGGACAAAATGGAACCCTGCGGTACTCCATGGCAAAGCTGCCATGGCGCAGAGCCATAGTCCCCCAGCACCACCTTCTGGAATCGGTCGTTGAGATAGGAGCGGAACCACCGCAAAGCGGTGCCTATTGACTCTAGCATCTCCTGTCATCTACTTCGGGCTTCAAAAAAGGTGAATTTGCTCAGGGCTGATGATGAACTGAGTTCAATCATAACCGTCCTTATGGAAACAGAGTTTATGCCGGAAGGAAAATACTTCACTGTTTTGGAAATTATGAAAGATGTGGGAATAGCTAACACAGATCTACATTTCACTCCGATATTGTAAGGTTTTTTAAGGCAGTAGTCCAGTGCTGCACAAAGATAAGCTTTACTCATAACATGGCAGTAGTTCTACTAGCATTCACCTGCTGAGGTGGTGCAAGTCCTCTCGTCTAACAGCAGGCCTTTTCCTGCTGTGATGTGCTACCGTGTAGACATATGCTCAGTCCTAACATGTACCATATCAGCCCGTTTTATGAAGCATCAGTAGACTGCTAAATCTGCTGTGCCTGTTTGCTGTAAAAGGAGTGGAGTTCTTATGAACAGCCCAGCCCCATTTTCTTCCATTTTAAGGTAAAAAGCATACAGGATGCTATAAGAGACAAAAAGCTGAGTTTTAATTTCCTCGGGGAAGATATTAAATTGGTTCCTTCTGTTGGTATTTTCATCACCATGAATCCTGGCTATGCAGGTCGTACTGAGCTGCCTGAGAATTTGAAAGCTCTCTTCAGGTAAGACACAGATCTGCTTCCTTTCAGTTTTTAATCATGTTTCTGACTGAAGGTGATTGTAATACGTTACTTAGTATGTCTCACTTCTCCCTGAAGTAGTCCTGTTTATAAATCATGGTTTCCATTTTACAGAAGGGAAATTGAGGCTGAGAAGTAGTATCCTGCTAGTTTGTCATAACTGCCCTGGAAATTAGATCTGGCTGTTCCTGCTTCACCTCTGTCACTGTTGATCACGGTATCTTATGCAGGGATCTGCCCCTGCCACATCTAGCCTATCTTGGAAAGAGCAAGGGAAACAGGCATATTACTCTGTATCTGAAATTTAGTCCAGGGTTTGAGTGAAAGTTGACAACCCTGAACTGGTCTGCAGTCAACAGGCTATATAGAATGTGTCAATTTCGGCAGTGTGTGTCTTTCCTCCAAGATCTCATTAGGCATGCCTGCTGGGCTCTTCCCGGGAAGATTTAGTGTGACTATTATGCCATTGTTAAAGTTGGCCAGAGGGAACTAGAGAGCTAAAAGTCTCTAAGTTAATAGAACTAAAAGTTAGGAGGGTGATTTGGGACTGCAGAAAATCCTGAGGAAACCATATTATTAGTCAAGCACTTTATCACAGTGACTGACAACCCGGTATAAACTGTGACTGGAACATACTTATGGACTTCTTACCCTGGCCAAGGCTTCATAAGCCAGTCTGTGGTGCTTGGTGTTCCAGTTTGTTTTACAGTTTGGGTCCAGTGCATTGAAAGTACAGATGCAGGGGAAGGATGATAGCAAAGATGCAGCACATGCCTTACATGCAGAAGGTTCCAGTTTCAATCCCTGCAGTTTTATAAGAGGGATCACGTGGCTAGAAGACCCTTTTCTGCCCAAGATCCAGGAGAGGCAAATAGTTTGGCTTAGTACAATGCAGTTCCCTGAGTAGTTTGGTTACATCTGTGGGCTTCTGTCCTAGGCCTTGTGCAATGGTTGTGCCAGACTTCGAGCTGATCTGTGAAATTATGCTAGTGGCAGAAGGATTCATAGAAGCCCGGCTATTAGCTAGGAAGTTCATCACCCTGTACCAGCTATGCAAAGAACTGCTTTCCAAGCAGGTAAGCAGATTTCATGTCTTGTGCAATATCATCTAATAAGGAACAGTACAGAGATATTTTAGCTTTGTGAACAACTGAAACAATTAGTTTTGCATACATCCAATGTTTCCTTTCAAAGGTATTGTAGGCTGTGAAATGGGAACATGGTTGATGCTGTTGTTCCATTGTGTATTACTTTCCTTTATCTGGTGCATCTAGAGGAGGTAGGCCTTTCTGAGACCTGCTGTTCTTAGATTTAAAATCTTCAAAGCACAAAACTGGTTCTCAGGATTTTTCAGTCAGGCCTGTTGGGATTTCATCCCCTTACTTCATTTTTTTCACCTCATTGGTTCAGTATTGATTGCTTGCTGGCTTTCAAGTCCTTCCAGCAGGAAGCCGAGGATCAAAGTGAGAATAAGATGAAGGTTAGCTTCTTCTCCTTTGATAGCATGCTGAGATCTGCAGATACTCTTCCAAGATTTGCTGTGTGGGCTATGTACAAACCAATTATCCTCTTTTCTCTCTCCCACCCCCACTCCCATAATTAGGATCACTATGACTGGGGATTGCGTGCAATTAAGTCAGTGCTGGTAGTTGCTGGATCCCTCAAGAGAGGAGACCCAGACCGTCCTGAAGACCAGGTGCTGATGCGTTCGCTTCGGGACTTCAACATCCCAAAGATTGTGACAGATGACATGCCAGTGTTCATGGGCCTGATCGGGGATCTCTTCCCTGCTTTGGATGTCCCCAGAAAGCGGGACCTTGGTTTTGAATCCTTTGTCAAACAAGCTGTGCTGGAACTCAGACTTCAGCCAGAGGACAACTTTGTGCTCAAAGTAAGGCCCTGGCCTTTCACTGTGGCCAGAATTTCCTATTTTCTTACTTATCTTGAAACGGTTCCTGCTGCCTCTTGTAAAAAAGGAGTGTCTAAGGCTATGTGTGTATCTGTGAATCACTACTGTAGTTTTTTGCATTGTGATTGGCTTAGTGTTTTCACTGTTTGTCCCTCAGTATGCTTCTACTTTTAGCTATTGTTTCCTATCCAAATGGGATCCTTAGTTTGTGACCATTCATATTTCATGTTGCAAGGAATCATTTTGTTCCTGCCAGTGTGGATAAGGAGTTGCCAATTCAGGAGTGTAGTAATTCAGCTTTAAAATTTCTTTGTGCCATATAAATATTCTGAATTTTACTCTTTAAGAGTGGTTGTTGGTGGCTCATAAAATGGAGCGCTGATTGTGCGTCTGCTTTTGTTCACAACATGTTGTTCTTTTTTCATTGGCCTGTGCCTGTTCATTTTTCATTCAACGTGCAGGTGGTACAGCTTGAAGAACTCTTGGCAGTCCGGCATTCGGTCTTTGTGGTGGGCAGTGCAGGTACGGGCAAGTCGCAGGTGCTGAAATCCTTGAACAAGACTTACCATATTATGAAGCGGCGGCCTGTTTGGACAGACCTCAACCCAAAAGCAGTTACCAATGATGAACTCTTTGGTATCATTAATCCTGCAACAAGAGAGTGGAAAGATGGTAAGAGTATTCTTGCATCTGAAAAATCCAATAGGAGAGGCATTTTTCAGTCAACTTGCAGAATACCCAAAATGTTTGCTTTGATAGTTCTGTGTAAGTGCAAACTATTTCTTATAAAAAGCTAGATCTTTTCCAGCATTTTCTATCTTTGGCTCTTTCTATTTTCACAGATGAGGCTCTCATGAAAAGTAATAACTTTGTTTCTCTCTAGTGTGTTGGTGCAGCAGGGCTGCTATTGGTTGTCTGCACTTTTCTCATCTGAACTTTAATGCAGACTCTCCAGAGAAATCTTTCTTTTCTTAATTTCCTTGCTTCTCTTCCCCATCCTACTCACTTAACCTTTTCATAACCAAGAAGAACTTGTTTCATATGAACATTTTAAAAATGCATCACATACTTCCACTCTTTCTGGGCCATAGTGGAGCCTCCTCTGGAATCAAAACAGGACAAAAAGGTGGTGTTTGTGATCCAGAAGGAGGGTGGGCTGGCCAGTGGGCTGGCCCCCATGGTAGGATGCTTTTGACCTAGTTGTGATCAGATGGGGAGAGAGCACATCAGCCTGCAATCCAATGCCTTTCAGGTTATGCTGTCTTCCCACATGTCTCTGTAATAGTCCTACCCATCTGGCACACTCCCAGCATGGTGAGACTTTGGAACACCAGCACTTGACACCTAGCTGGCATGGGCGCATGAGGGACTTCTGGAGATTCTGAACTTCGCATCTTCCCTCTGGCTGTTCCTCAGGTGCCAGACATTATGTTTTGCTAGCCGTGCCCAGCTCTGCTACCTTGTTGTGGTTTATGGAAACAGACCTGCAGTCTAGGCCAGAGCTTTGGAAGCATCATCCCCAATGGGACTTAGGAGCAAGTGTGAACAAAAGAAACTTCAGCAGTGTGGATGGCTGAATGTCCATGAGGAGAATATTCATTTCTATTTCACTTGCTGTGATACTGACAGTGTAAATAGAGGAATCTAGAATACACAAGATTTCCAAGTGAATTGGCCATCTCAAAAGATAAAACGCTTGGAAGATATACCAAGGGCAGAAATTTACAAGAGCCCCAGGCTATATTCCCATGCTAACTATAGACCTAGATGTGCATTGCCATTTCAGTTTGGATGGGCAGTCTTCATTTGCCATTGGACCAAAAGCTGCTGGCAGCCTGTGTATGTATTCCCTTACCTCTGGGGAACACTTCGGGGCACATGGGAGGGGGAAAAGCTGCAGGAGGGAAGAGAGGACAGGGAAGTTCCACTGCATGAGTGAAGGTCCACTAGTGTGACACTGGATTGAAGCCTTTTTGTGTATATGCTTCTACCGGGTTGTGTATGTGCACTATGGAAGCACACTGTAGGATGGAAGCAGCTATATACTAGATAGTTAATATCTTCGAAAATGCAAGTGCTTTAAGGTTGCTAGCAGCATCATATGAATTTTTCAGAGGAATGAGCAGGTTGCACAAACGGGGAAAAAAGGCAGACTCTTACTGTGGGCACCATACCCTGTGACTCACCTGCAATCTATTTAAACTTAGAAACTCTTGATTAGGGTGATGTTGTTTCACTGTGGGTAATGTCAGTTTGCAGGGAAAGGGGCGAAGAACAAAGTAATCATAAAATGCTTTCCAAATCTCTCTCTCTCTCTCCCCCCCTCCCTTTAATTGTTCTCAGTGGTATTAAGTGGTGTGGGATTATTTTCAGTTAGATTATTTGATCACATTTATTCAAAAGGAGATTCTATTCATATCCTGTTGTTTTTGTAATTATCAGATTTAACTAACTGCATTTAGTGTTTGCTTTGCCAATTTGCATGCAAGCTGAATAAAATCTCTAGAGGTTATTAAAGAGTGAGCGCATTGGTTCCTCTGAGAATCCCACTGAGTACCTATGATCACTTTAGGACTGTTCTCTTCGATTATGCGAGACTTAGCTAATATTACCCATGATGGCCCCAAGTGGATTGTGCTGGATGGTGACATTGATCCTATGTGGATTGAATCTCTCAATACTGTCATGGATGATAATAAGGTAAGACACAGGTGCAAAGATAATAAGCATTCTTGAGTGCAGAGTAACCTGCCCTTTGCCAAAACTCAAACAAATGTAAACTCTAGAATCAAATTGCTGTAGAAAATCTTCATCGCTCCCTTTGTTTCAAGTATCTGGGAGAAAATCACAATTTCAGGTGCAAGAAATTATAATCAGGAAATGTTTACCTGTTTAAGTTTTCAGAACATTGTCTTCAAATAGTTCCAAGAGACACTGCTTTGTTGGAAGTGGTGCCAAAATATGCACACATTTTGTCTGAGATCTCAGTAGGAGGAGGAACAGCAGCAGCAGCTGGTCATTTGTCATTTGTTGCTGGTGAAGTTCAACATCTGAGAACCAGAATCTACAAAGGGCACAGTATTATTATTATTATTATGATGATGATGTACATTTCTACAGGATTGTGCATAAGGTTGTGTTATCATTACAGAATCATAGAATAGTAGAGTTGGAAGGGGCCAAGAAGGCCATCGGATCCAACCTCTACTGTTGCAGGTCACCAATTTATATCATCCCACTCAGATGGCTGTCCAGTTTCTTTTTGAATGTCTCTAGTGTGGGAGAACCCACAACCTCTTTAGGCAACTGGTTCCGCTGTCATATTGTTCTAATAGTGAGGAAACATTTTCTGATATCTAGCCTGAACCTGGGTTGTTGCAACTTGAGTTGATTATTCCATGTCCTACTCTCTGATATGAGTGAGGAGAGATCTTGACCTTTCTTTTTGTGGTACTTATAGGGGGATATCATGTCCCCCTCAGTCTTCCCTTCTCAAGGCTGAACATACCCAGTTCTCTCAGTCTCTCCTCATAGGACAATGTTTCCAAACTCTGGATCATGTTTGTTGCTGTCATATGGATCCTTTCTAACCAAGGAAGAATTGGAGAAAGCTTGAGAATTTACATTCCAAGTTATTAGTCCCCTTCAGTATAGAGTTTTGCTGTTTTACGGACCACTGTAATATGCTGTTCATGGGGATATTAACGGAAACCTCTTGAAAACTTCGACTTGTGCATCTGTTAAAATGTTGAATGGGGCAAAGTGCTGGGATCACGTGACCCTTACATGTCTCAGTTGCATTAGCTGCCAGTGTATTTCAAGAAGCTGGTTATCATCTTTAAAGCCTTGGATGACCTGGAACAGGGCTACTTGAAGGGCTGTCTCCTCCCATGTGAATTTTCCTGTCCACTGAGTTCAGCTGTTTGGTCCCTCTTGTATTACCTTCAGCAGTACAGCTGATGGTGACCTATGAGAAGGCTTTCTCAGTGCAAGCTTCCTATGTGGAACTCTCCTCTTGCGGTCAGCTCATCATCTCCTCTACCTGTGTTCCTCTGGCAGTAGAAGACATTTCTTTTTGCACAAGCATTTTATTCTTGCTGTTACCTTATTTAATTTATTCTTAGTTCTAGGGCTGGGGCAAACCCTAGCTGCATCCATTCCTTTAGCATTTGCATACTTAAATTGCTCAGCCCAGTCTTACAAAGTTTGCTGAACCAAGGGGAAGTCATGAATACTCATGGAATGAAGGTTGCACGGTGGGCGATTTTCTTTCATGTCAGGTGCAGCCTGCAAAACTTGGGCATGCTCACCAGGAACCTGTACTCAGGGCTGGTGCAAACTGGATGGGAGTCCAGGGAGCTGAGGCCAGGGAAACTGACAGATTCGTCATACATTCATAGTTAGCCTTGGCTCTTTCTGTTTTTGCTCAATGTTGCTTTTGGTTAGGTAATTGGATTTTCATTCTGGATTATTTAATTATGGATTATTAGTACTGTTTTAATTATGGATCATGGCATTTATGTGAATTATGGTTTTTATATTGCTTTGAATGAATCCATTTTGGAGAGGCAAAGCAGGCTGTAAATATTTGTATAAACAGATGAAATGCCCAACCCAGGCTGCTGGTATGTTTCGCAGAGGTCAGCGGGTGACTTGTCCCGTGTTGTCCCCTTTGTTCTTTTTTGCTGCTAAGCTGACCATATCTACCCTTTTGCAGGTGCTCACTCTAGCAAGCAACGAAAGGATTCCCCTTAATCCCACCATGAGGCTTCTCTTTGAGATCAGTCACCTGAGGACTGCCACCCCAGCCACAGTTTCCAGAGCAGGTAGATGGCAGGGAAGGGAAAGAGCGTGGAATTTCCCCTGGTGTAGTAGAAAAAGAACAGGCTCACCAGTTGGCGTGGTGCAGTGTTTAAGAGGGGTACACTGGGGTTTAGGAGATCTGGGTTTGAGTCCCCACTTAGCCATGAAGCCCATTGGGTGGCTTTGGGCAAGTCACTGATTCTGAGCCCAACCCAACTCACAGCATTATTGCAGGGGTAACATGACAAGGAGGAAGCAGCTAATGTGTTCCTTGAAGGGAAAAAAACAAGTGAGATATAAATATGATTAGTTAGCAAATAAATCCTAAGGCTCACGAAGAGAATGTCTACGGCAGAGTCTGGTGGCCCTGATGACCATGTCCCCTGCCCACATCACTGAGGGCTTTCTGCATTGGCCCTGCCTTCTTGCCTTTGGCTCTGCCCACCTGTGGAACTTCTCTAAAATCCAGATTCAGGCCTTAGGCTGAAAGTGTTTCTGCATTCCCAACTTGAGGGATATTTCTCAACCTTTCCAATCCCCTTTCCTTTTCTGTTATGTTCATTAGATTTGATGAGCCTGTGCAGAGGAACTGTTTTTAGGAAATTTAGGAACTGCATTTAATAAGTTCAGGGCACTTTATAAATCTTTATTATTAATGATGATCATCATTTGGTAATGTGCCTGCCAATTGAGATATGTGCCTTTTTGTATTTTGATACATATTTCTCCTTAGTTTGTGTCCTGGCATTCATTCTTCTGTTTGCCTGTGAGAGGCAGTAGTGAATGCAGCAGCTGTTATCTGTGAATCCTGAGTTTTGCACCAAATTTGAGTTTTTTTCATCAAATTGTCTGCTTGTGTAGCACATTTCCCGGCTTGTCACAGCTTAGCAAGGGAGCTATTGCCTGATAATCCATGGACTGGGGATGAAAGCAAAAGTAAGATGCTTTTGCTGCCTTTTTACTCAGCTGCTGTCTGTTCTCACATTATAGACGTGCTGGAGTTATTTTTGGTAGATTCTTACTTTATTTCTAGCACACAGATGTAGGTTCTTAAACAAGCAAAAAGCTACATTGGTAGTATAACTGGTAAATCAAAAGACAGAAGGCTGGGCAGGATATTCAGCTGTGTCGGTTGCACTGGTCAGTATGGGATTGCCGAGAGAATATCAGGTGGCAACTTTATTTGGTGCACAAGGTAGAATTAAACAATGTTTGTTCCTGCACAGTCCTAGGTGATCATTACCTTTTAGTTATCTGTAATTTAGATATGGAAAACTGGACTCCCAGTTGCTAATGTTGACTTTTTTTTTTCTCCAGGGATCCTTTACATCAATCCAGCTGATCTGGGATGGAATCCTCCTGTGAGTAGCTGGATAGACAGACGAGAAATCCAGTCAGAAAGAGCCAACTTGACCATTTTGTTTGACAAGTATTTGCCAGTTTGTCTGGACACCCTTAGAACCAGGTACAGTTCAATGGCACGAAGGGTGACTTGATGCAAAAAACCACCGACATTGCACATTTACTGAATGTGCATTCCACATGAGCTTTTGATGATTTGGATTAATCCCTTCCCCATGTTTGCAGATGCCTCCTGCGGCATAGTGGATCTACTCTAGTTTCTCTGAACAGGTTCTTGCTTGCATTCAGTGTCATCCCTGTGGGGTTTGACAGGGTTCCCCCTTTTTGTCTCCAAAAATGAATAATGAATAGCTGTCTTCAAAGTGTGGCTCCTTGTATGAATGTAAGGTGCTCCAAGATCTCTGGGAGGAGACGGCACTTGTCATAAATACCAATTTGCTTTTAACTGTGCAGAAACACTGTAGTGACACCTGCTGACAGAAGAGTCTTACAGAAGTATCCTTTCTTGCGCCTGTTCATTTGACAAAACAACGGGATTGTAATCCCAAGAAAATGTCATAATGTACCATCTACAGCCTGTGAACAGACAGTTGTGCAGAGGGGGCAAATAACCGTCTATCGAGGGCAGGAAACTTTTTTCAGCCCGAGGGTGGAATTAGCTCCAGACAAGCAGAATGAGGCTGTATGCCGGGAGCTGCAAACCAGAGTGGGCCACCTCTCCACCACCACCTCGCCCAAGCAGCCCCAGTTTGATTCATTTTCAGGAAACGTCAGGTGTGTGGGGGGGTGTGGCCAGCTCCTTCAGGAACTGCTATTCTGAGGTGCCTGAATCTCCCCATATTTGTGGTTCAAGAGTAAGTCAGTTCCATATGCTCTTGACTTAGACAAAGTAAGCATATGTGCTTTTCCAGTCAGACATCCACCAGTACACATTTATCTTCACACAAGGTCACTGGTTCTTAAGCCAGGGATGGTAGAGCTCAAGCTTACATGCAAGAGAAATGGAGCTTGAAGGGTTTGGCTTTTGTTGCAGGTGTATCCTCAGCTTTCAATTCCCATGATTAGTGTAGGCTGGAGGGGAAAGGGCATCCTGATGCCTCATGCATGTTTCCTGCAGAGCTCTTGAGAGGAGCAACAGATGGTTCCAAGACAAGTATATTTTGTAGAGCCAGCCCCTTCAATAACTATATATATTTATATTTTTAAGCAAAGTGCAGGTCTCTTCTGGTTTCACATGTCTGTAAATGTAGCCTAAGCCAATGTAAAATATGAGATGAAAGGACTTATTTTATTACTCTGTTATTTGACCACTTCTGAACTCATTGCATTTGTGGCAAATCAGTGCCCTTAGCAAGGTTTCCATTTCACTTCTTTCAAGAGGATCAAAGTTTTAAAATGGTTCAAACTTATGATTACAGTTATTACTCAGCTGCGTGCTGATGGTATTTTATTCCTCTCTGTAGCAGTGGATAAGAAAGATATACACAATGAAAGTTTTAAAAATGTTAATGTTCAGAAAGAGGATTTATATGCCTATCTCCTCATATTGTTAAATGGCAGTCATGCTAAATCCAATTAAACTTCATAAGTTTTCAATTCTTCCATTATAGATTTAAGAAGATTATTCCGGTTCCTGAGCAGAGCATGGTTCAGATGTTGTGCTACCTCCTTGAATGCCTCCTCACTAAGCAGAATACTCCTCCAGACTGCCCGAAAGAGCTCTATGAACTTTATTTTGTCTTTGCTGCTATCTGGGCCTTTGGCGGAACTATGTTCCAGGACCAGGTAAAAAGAGCATTTCCTTGATAACTGCTTAAATTTTCAGCTCCCTAGAAGCAATTGTCTCACCTGCAAAATTAGTGGTGGTGTTGGTGCAGTCTTATCAGATGCAGTAATAGGGCAATGAGTCAATCTTGTGCCACAGGGGAGGAGTCCGGAAGTAAAAGGTGTCAAGAGAGTCAAGAGATAGTGCTTCATGGAAGGCACCCTCTTTGCAAAAGAGGAGACTTGTGAGTGTTTGGAAGTTGAAAGTTGCTATTGAAACTGTCTTAGCATATGCTCAGTGGTTTGGAGTGGCACTTTGACTTTGCAGGAGTTTGCAAATTTAGATGAAATTTTTAGGTGTTAGTTAAAATTCAAGCAATGGTCCTGCTTCTTCTGTTAAACTTTATTGTTGGGTTTAAACAACATGACAACCCCCACTCAAAGGTAAGTATGGGTTCAGTGAGGCTTAATATTGAACTGTGGGTTCTTATGGCTTGTTAAACATAAACAACTTGCGAAGAGAGCCCGTGGTTTGTTGTTCAGTTGTGAATTGTGCCTTGGTTGTAGTTAGCAAACCGTGGTTTGTTAGTAAGCATGGGTTTGGACAACATGATGACCTACATTTCAACAACAGCCTGTGGTTCAATGACAACCCTTACTCAACCATTGAGAGTGGATTATTTTATTGTCTGGACCCAGCCACTAAGTGTTTCTTTGCACTGGGGTTCCCAGATATGATAAATAACAAGGCTTGATACTAGGGATAGACAGATTGCTGTGTGAACCCAGCCAGAGACAGAGAGAGAGAGAGAGAGAGAGAGAGAGAGAGAGAGAGAGAGGTCCTTAAGTGTCACATTGTCATGACTTCTACACAAGGAAGGTTTTGAAACATTGTTGATGTTGTTATTGTTATGCCGATGATGCCATTGTAGATTATATAGCACACATTCCTTTCTCCTTCTCTCTCCATCAACATAGATAGGATAGTAAGTGCTACATCTTTAGAAGTCTTAAATCATTATCACCATCCTAGGATTTGTCCGGCTTTAATATTCAGGATTTTTAAAATATTAAGATCATTTCCATAGGCCCTTTGTGTGTTCTACCTGTAACTGTTCATAATTTATTGGAGAATTGAAAGGGTAGGGAATCAGAGCCAAACTCAAAGCAGTGGTTTCCAAAACAAATGGATACATTCCAGTCAATGTCAGTGGCCAGGTGGCTTGGTTTCAGATGGCATACTCTTTAAACCAAGAGCTGGGTGCATTGCTCTTCTGAATGCTATAGGGATCAGTGGTGCCAGACAGCTAATTGGGGATCCCATTTGTAGTAAACTTTGGGGAATTCCTAGTGGAACTTGGAAGCTTACATACAGTTTGTATGAAATCTTTGCATAAAGTCTGCATGAGGTGTTGCCAGTACTCCCCTTTTCCTTTGCTGGCTCCCCCTGCATGTGGGCCAGTACTTCTTGACACAGAAAAAAAAGTGAAATGAATGACATTTCAAAAATTGTCAACCTCATCTATAATTCTAAATTTCTCCCTCTGCCCCTATCCGAATTTTTAGGAGGATAAGCTTAGAAGCTTAATCAGTATCTTAGCTACTTGATTTCTGAATAGAATATAGTTAAGTTAGAATTTCTTTATAGGGAGTAGTGCTATAGTGGAGCCAAGGCTTGCTGGGATGCTGCTCCAGCACATTTTTGTTAGTAGAGATGATGTGGATGGCATCTGCTCCCATCCGCTTCCTCTGAACTTAGTTGCAGTCCTCACAGCGGCTGGGAGGACATGAATTTTCTCCAGTTGTGATGTAGAGTTTTTATTGGTGGCTTGTTCTTGAATGCACAGAAGACCTGCTTCCAGCAGATGAATTCCTAGAAGCTGTTAGTTGCTATTGATCAACCCCTCAATTGCCTGCAATTTTGGGCTCACTCTCCTTGGGGGTATGGCTGTGGGGGCTGTCATGATGAGTGCCTGTCCTTCAAGGTTTGCCACTACACAGATGAGAGTAGGAATATAAAAGGGTTGTTTTCTGATTTTCTGTTTTAATCCAACTGGGGCTCTAAAATCTTCCCCCACTTTTCCCCTCCATAACTGCTTTCCTTTCCTTGTAGATGCACAGAAGCGGAGTTTATTTTTTCATAACTTTCTTGGCCAGAGGAGAGAGGAAAGGTTTTCTTCTCAATTTTAATTCTGCATCTAAATTAGTCTTATCCAATTATTTATTTAATCCCATTTTTCACTGCTGTTATTTAGTCAGTAATTTAGTATTTCATATAATTAATGCAAGCCAGGAGCTCTTTCTTCATTTCTCTATTCATTTTCTTAACTTTTGATGACAGGCCTTAGTGTAATGATTGGTGTTTCAATTGCGCCACAGTTTGTTTTATCTTGGAAGAATTTATGTTGGAGAAAGGTTTCATACTTCTGCAGGTGCCTGCATTAATTTTCCAACATCTATTTCTTGTGTTTCAAGCTCCTGTCTCTTTTATGAAACAGAATGCACTGGTAAAAGTGCCTGTGTGCTTCATCCAGGGATTCTATATTTCCAGCAATCATAAATATATAAATTTATATTATATTTATATGGGGCTCCACTTTTCCTCTTCTTGTTCCCAGTTTTCTTATTTTTCTGTTTTAATCCAGCTGGGGCTCTAAAATCTGTAGGGGCAACTTCATGTCCAAATTTCTAACTCTCTGGCGGAGTCTGATTGGAATGCCTGCGTGACCCTCTCTCCCTAACTTCATTTTGGGACCCCAAACATGCACGCATGGTGATTTTGCTATCAAGTTTGGTTTCTTTCATCTTTTCCCCATTTCCATCTTCTGTCATCAGACCTAATTTTATAACATCTTGCCTGATGAAAAGATGTGGCGATCTTGAAAACTTGCGTGCTTTTGTGATGTTTTTGTTATGATTGTTATTATTACTATTATGTTACAGCTCTAGCCTTCCCCTCTCCCTTTTGCAAGGAACCCAAGGCTACTTACAAGGTTCTCCTCCATTTTATCATCACAAGAATCAGCCTGTGAGGTAGCCTTTGGCGTAGAGTCTGTTACTGTCGCAGAGTGAGCCAGTGAGTTTCACTACTGAGTGGGAACTAGAACCAGACCCATAGTGGCTCTCACCACTATGCCACAGTGGCTTTTGGTTGGTGTGTTAAAGACATTACACCAATATGGATTTTGATTTTTTTTTCTTAGGGACAACACTGCTACTTTGGTTTTTGAGGGAGTGGGTTATTATAAAAGGTCTTCATTGCTTCCAATTGTTTTAACTTCTTTGGTGATTTCCAGAAGGTGATGACTAACTTCTGTGTCTTAGTCCAGTTAGAGAATTCAAACTGCAGTTCTTTCATTTTGATTCTTTCTACCTTTTCATCTTATTTTTCTTTGAAGGATAGTGAGAGTTCAGTCCAACTTCTTTTCACTTTGCTCTGGGAGTTTGCTGTATATTGGACTTCAAAACACTTTCTTTCCTCTTTCTCTTGCTGGATTTTTTGGTCTTGCTTATAGCTGCACTCTTGCACATTATGGGATATTCTTATTCAGTCAAGTTGGGTTTTCTTCCTTCTAAGTTTCTAAATTTTTGCTCCACTACTCTACACTATACCAGTGTTTGAAATTATAAACTAAACAATTTTTCCTCCTCATACTGAAGTTTCTCAATCCCCTTCATAACATTTACATCCTTTCCATTCTCACCACATCATTCCATGCCATTGTCCTTCCCTTTAGTACATAGGCTGTCATGACATCTTGCGGCAAGATGAGAATCTAAAGAACTGGCTTGTTGCAGCAATAGCCTAAGCTGTAAAAAGGCCCTGCCTTTTCCTGCTTCATGGACCTGCATGAGCCTTACATGGTCATGAGGGTGCGAGAATGAATTCTCATATCTGCTTTTAAAGAAACCACAGTTACCCATGATGCCCAGTTTAAGTGACTGTGCTTTGTTTAAACTCTGGTGGAATTCCTGCCTTGTAGCAGAGCACGTTTCCCTTTGTTCTGAAGTCACAGATTCCTGAGGCTGCATTTGGCCAAGCACACACTCTCCTGGAGGAGGGCTCACGATGGGGAGTCTAACCTAGCCTGTTTCCCCCCTCCCCGCAGCAGCCAGTAATCACAGAAGCACAATGTCTCAACAGGACATGGAGGTTTTATCTTTACCTTAATCCTGATGATATAATAAGCTTATAGCCATTGATTTCACTACCATAGGGCTATATTCTCTCAGTCATGGAGAGAACGTAGTCTTGGGATAGTGGATATCAGTGGCTACCAGAAATAGCAATTGCTAATATTCATGGGATCCAGAGAGAACAACTCCTCTGCATTGGGTGTAGTTTACTCTATAATAAAGTTAAATTGCATACTGGTGCTGATGTTGACCTGTCCTTGATGAGGCCCAATTTTTTTTTGAGTTCATAGTGTTCATTTAGAATCCTTAAAATAGGTGAGTGGATTGGTTTTTCTGATTAAACTTACTTTACCTAGTGGGTAAAGTCAATGAAGCCATCAGTTTCTGTAGGTCCATTTTGGTGGTGGAGAGCAGCTAAGTTTTTGAGATTTGCAGAGCTTATTTTATAAGCAGAAAAAGAAACAAAAAGGCAATCTTAACCTTGTGTGTACACTGTAAGATTAGTATGCAGGGCTGAGAATCATGTCAGGTAGTAATGTCTTAATCACAGTCCTTTACAGACCAAATGACTGATGGCAGTTGTTTTTGCTAGCAAGCTTTGTATGTGTTTGTGTGTGAGAGAGAGTGTGGACAGCTCAGATGTAACAGGGTTGTTAGACTGTGATTTCTTTGAGCGTACACAAATGAGGAGCTTGAACACTCCCTCTTTTCCTCTCCTGTTTGTGTTGTCTTGCATGCCCAGGTGTGGAGAAGATGGCCTGATTTCTTGGAATGCCTTCTCATGACATCCAAACTAGTGGTGGGGAAATGTCGGGAAGCACAATTCCAGTCCCCCCACCACCAAAAGCAGGAGCGATAGCATCATCTGCTGCAATGCTAGAGTA